ATCTGAATGTTAAGGTAGTAGAACTATATGAATGTTAAGGTAGACCAATCTGAATGTTAAGGTAGACCAATCTGGATGTTAAGGTAGTAGAGCTATCTGAATATTAAGGTAGACCAATCTGAATGTTAAGGTAGACCAATCTGAATGTTAAGGTAGTAGAACTATATGAATGTTAAGGTAGACCAATCTGAATGTTAAGGTAGACCAATCTGAATGTTAAGGTAGTCGAGCTATCTGAATATTAAGGTAGACCAATCTGAACGTTAAGGTAGTAGAACTATATGAATGTTAAGGTAGACCGATCTGAATGTCAAGGTAGTAGAACTATATGAATGTTAAGGTAGGCCTATCTGAATGTCAAGGTAGTAGAAGTATATGAATGTTAAGGTAACCAATCTGAATGTCAAGGTAGTAGAACTATATGAATGTTAAGGTAGACCAATCTGAACGTTAAGGTAGTAGAACGATATGAATGTTAAGGTAGACCGATCTGAGTGTCAAGGTAGTAGAACTATATGAATGTTAAGGTAACCAATCTGAATGTCAAGGTAGTAGAACTATATGAATGTTAAGGTAGACCAATCTGAACGTTAAGGTAGTAGAACTATATGAATGTTAAGGTAGACCAATCTGAACGTCAAGGTAGTAGAACTATATGAATGTTAAGGTAACCAATCTGAACGTTAAGGTAGTAGAACTATATGAATGTTAAGGTAGACCAATCTGAACGTTAAGGTAGTAGAACTATATGAATGTTAAGGTAGACCAATCTGAACGTCAAGGTAGTAGAACGATATGAATGTTAAGGTAGACCAATCTGAACGTTAAGGTAATAGAACTAGCTGAATGTTAAGGAATACATATCTGAAATTAAAGGTAGTAGGCCTATCTGAGTGTTAACGCAGTAGACCTTTCTGAAGATTTAGGTAGTGAACCTATCTAAATGTTGAGGTAGATGTCAAGACTTTGTAAAAGAATCAGCAGGCGATGTGATCCAACTCAAGCTGGCTATCTTCTCACTAACACTGTTGTACATGTTTGACTTCACTAAAATATTCATTAAGTGGTGTACATTCGCAACACGTCCAACAAAAACACCAGCACAACCACATTACGGCTGCCGGAATATTTCGCTTAATAATAACTCGCAAAGTGGAGGGACAAATGGTTTGGGTGGGGAGGATGAACTTCAAACAAAACCTTTTCATAAATTAAATGACAAACATTGGCTCTACGCAGCTCACCAACTTCATAACTTTGTAAAAGAACCTTTGGACTGAAGATAAAGTTTTTTAACCCCCCACCTCAAGCACCACCAGCACCACACCATCACCACCACCACCACACCCCACCACACCACCACCACTGCACCCCCACCACACCACCACACCCCAACCATCACCACACCACCATCACCACAACACCACCACCACCACACCACCACCTCCACACCACCACCACCACACCACCACCACACCACCACCACACCACCACCACACCACCACCACTGCACCCCACCACACCACCACCAAACCACCACCACCACCACACCACCACCACCACCACACCGTCCTCCTCCAAAATCATAAATGAGTGCTGTACTTTAAGTCCCATGCTGTGTCACTAATAACGTAGCAAAAAACTGAGACAAGCTCTCGAACTCAAGTAGCGTACAGTACTAGAAATCAGCTTACATACGCTCTTGTGGGCCGGGGGAGGGGGGGGCGGGAACCAGTTATTTCAATTCTCAAAGAAGATTGTCGAAAAGAACAGCTGAGTTGTGAGCAAATGTTTCTGATTTAGTTAAGAGTCCAGCAAACAATGAGGCTGATGGATAACGGACTTCTGCTGGCCACTGGTATACGATGGCAATGGCCCAAATTGCACACAAAATGACCCCCAAAAAGCACACGATGAACCACAGAGCACATAAACTTCAAATTTACTTTGTTTTGGTTGCGGTAGATCAGGGACGTCTGGCCCAAGATGGGCCTTTTTGGGCAGTTATTACAATCTCCGGTGTGCGGGGGGGGGGGGGGGGGGGGGGCTCCAAGGCCTTTCTTACTACACCGTTCGTCACGGGTTTCCCATGTGCCAGCACGTCCCTGCAGTAGATACTAGTACTCTTATAAAATAATCAAAGTCACAGGTCGCAGCAGTTCGCGTCACACATTCCTAGGTGCGGTGCAGTCCATTCCGGCACGCTACACGGTTGCAATGCTACCGGCGCTACTGTAACCACCGCGTCAGTCTACTGAACTGTAGTGCGATTTGTAACAGTAGCACTTACTACGCCTACAACAGTGAAACTGAGAACTTTATCGACATGCTTCTAACTTCTGTGTAACAGCAAGACAAAAGTGTCAAAAGTCACTAAAAAGTGTTTAAATCTTGTTAATGAACTTTAAGTTTATACTTTGAACTAAGGTTATGGGGGACACAAGTATAATTAAGTAACTTACCGCACTAAGTGTGTCAGAAAAAGTATCTAGGTTTCTCTTCAGAATAAATATAATATGAGAAAGTTATCTACACTCTTCCTTAACGTTTTAAGTTTTATTACAGACCAATACATAGCCAATGACAGTGACCCTTTTCCACACCTTACGTTTACTTTTGTTATTTAAATGTTAGAAGGGGAAATCATTGTCGCTATCTTTGAGTTATATCTTTCGCAGAGTATTATCCCTTTACTGAATTTGTAACATTTTATTTCTGAACGGTATTAGTTGAGAGAAGAAGGAAAAGAAAAAAAAAACACAAAAAACAATAGAATATTTTCCAACAATTCAACCAACACAAGCCAAACTCAACTAAACCCCACACAATCAAAACTAATGCAACCCAGCAAGCCCAAGCCAAAACTCAAGCAAAATCAACCTCCTAAGCACTCGATCATTTAATAAGTCACTCAGTCACTAACTAAATAAAATGAGTAAAACAGAATAGGGTTGTTCTAACGTTATGTTCAACCTTATGAGGTTTTCGATAGACGTAGAGGCAATATGTAATTGCAAAAAATAATTCTGAAGATAAAAACGTGTAAATCTTCATTTTTAAAAAATTAAAAATGACCGGAATATTGGAGGCTCTTGTATGGCTTAATCTGGTTTTTTACTTTCATTTTCCTAATCAAAGGCGACAATATCAGGAAATTCCCGATAACACAGCTGATCAATCAGTCTGTAATATAGGTCACCGTTTTTATCGAAGAGGTTCTCATGTCCTAGTGACCCAAGTCATGTAGTCGGAAAATTTACGTAGGTGATGCAGCGATGAAGTGGTGGGTGATTATGTATACGGGGAATAGATGGCTTTATTGGACCCATACACGTAAGCCTGGAAACACTAGCATGCTAAGCAATAATTAGAAGGAGATTGTGGAAGTGGTGGGTGGACTGTGTGCCTCAGTCATTAGAATCGCACATGAAAACACGATAACCTCTAATCTGCTGACGGAAGTATGGAAAAAGGGAAACTGAAACAAGTAAAACGAGATTGATTTTTTCCCGGAAAAAACATTGAAAATCTCTTTTGTGGTGGACTTCGCTTACTCCACGTCTCTGTGTGTACTGGTATATCAATGCCAGTATTACTTGAATTTCTATTTTTAGAAATGTTAATGCTGACTTACGATTTAAGTTTTTGCCTTTAATACATTTTATTTTAACACACTTCCCCTTGTTTAGTGGACGTAACATGGTATGGTCCATGGTACCAGCACAGTGTCAGTGTGACTGAAACTGAAAGATGAGGAGGGAGACAGTTGATTTATGATTTGATTGAACGAAAATAATCAAGGTGGGTTTTAAACTATTTACTTATTTTTGAATTTCGTCGTAGTTGTCTTACTTAGTGGAAATCTTTATTAATATTTGTTATTGGTTTTTGTTTTGTTTCTATAGTTATAGTCTATGGTGTTAGTGTTAGCAAAATAATCAGTCAATGAGTTCAGTACTCTCGTCTCTATCTAACACACAGTACTATGATAGTATGTATTGTAACTTTAAAAAAAAAAATTAAGCGCTAACTGTAACTATACTAATTAATTGAGTCACTAATTGACTAATATTACTAATACTAATGTCAATGTTAGTGGAGGATTAGTCTCAATCAATTATTAATAATTAGGCCTACTCTACTACTACTGCTGTATGTACTGTATTATGGAAATTTAATAATACAAACATGCTAGATCTTAATGATGATATAGACCTATAATGCTAAATTATATAATAATAGTACTAAGTGATGTAACAAAGATCAGTGATATAAATATAATAATGAATAATGCTTAGTCATTGATACAAAAATGCTAAATTAAATGATACAAAAATGCTAAATGATACAAAAATGCTAAGTGTGATTTGAAAACTCCAAGTGATAAAATAATTATAATGCCATTAATGAATATATGAATATGAAAATGCTAAGTGATTTAATAATGCTGATGGGGGGTTAAAAAAAAAAATGCCAGTAGGCCTGCTCAGTGATTCTGAAAAATATAAAGATACAAAATTAAAAATGGAAGAGGAAATAGAAATGAAAATGTTTTGGCCTGCTAAAAAAATTTATTTGGGAATGATCATAAAAATAACAGAAAGAATTTCTCTTCCATCATATTGTCATAATAACTATTTTTAAAAAAAAACTTTTGATATCATGTAGACTTTATATTATATTAACTATAGGCCTGTCATTTATACTTTATAGCAGAACTAAGGTCTAGTACGCTCAACATCAATCGGAGGGAAAGGGTGGGGGTTAGTTTACTCTGGGATATTTAGTGACATTTTAGTAAGAGGATTGGTTTTTTAAGTGGGCACAATGATTCAATTTCTGTGTGTGTGTAAAGGGGGGGGGGAGGAGGAGGGTTGCTTTAAAACTGCATTGTTTACTTTAAAATTATGTTCTTATTGCTTCTGTAAAAAAAAAAAAATGCTATTTTTATTTTTATAATTGAAATCCAGAGTTGAAGAAATGTCATCAAGAGTTCCAATGGGAAACTCCTGTTTATTGAGACAGCCTCAAAGGACGCATATACAAATATAAGGACGCTACGAACTGGTGTCAAGGACAAAAATATGGAAAGTTGGACTGAGCAGCTGTGTTATATTTTCAAAAGTAAGTTTTGTTATAAAAAGCTTGACTTCCTTGACAAGGTTGACAAACTCATGGATGAAACTTAAGGAAAACTCTTGCTGAGATTGTGTTGGGAAAAAAACAGCCACCTTTTAAAATTTTTCCATTATTTACAGCTTAGCATCATTTTATTACTAATTATAAATTATTCAGTTAGGGCAAAATATGCTGAAACTCTCGGTCATGTACGATTTTTTTTTAATCTTCTACTTTAATCTTGAACAACTTAAAGGAAAATAAGAAAAGAGTTTTTCTTTAAAATGTAAGCTGTTGACCTGTAGTTGTTTTTTTTACCTAGTTTAGTTTTTAAAGTGGCAATCTCATTTGTGTCTTTTAATGCACGATAATAGGAACTAATGCTCTCTTGAAAGTGGAATGATTTTTCTTTTGATTTAACCATTGACAGGTGATGGTTCTAAGGCTCTTGCAGAGTGTACCAGTTTAAAAAAACATGGCAACCGTTGCTACAGGTCGGAAGATTACCAAGGAGCCATTGAGGCATACACAAAGGGAATTCAGATCCTTGAGATTTATATGGCAAAAAATGAAGGTAAGATGTGATGTCTTTACTTGTTAGATTTTAGACTCAGCCATGGGTGGACAAGGATGGGTACTTGTGGATGACTGCTAGAGAGTTACACTGACAAACTGCGACAAGTAGAGATTGATGCTGTCAGCAATTACTTAACTATGGCAGCAAACAAGTAAACAAGTAGACAATGAAAAATACTAAAAGATAATACCAGTACACAACTCATTAAACAGTTTCACCTATGAGCAGACATCAGCAATCATTGGCTAATGACATCAGCAATCAGTGACTAATGACATCAGCAATCAGTGACTAATGACATCAGCAATCAGTGGCTAATGACATCAGTAATCAGTGGCTAATGACATCAATCAATTGGCTTGTTGCAGCAAAATAAATCATATTAGATTGTTTCTTTCTTTCTGTTTTTACTCTGGTGGTGGAAGGGGGTTGGGTGGTTGAGCCAATCACTCTTTATGGTCTAGGCTCCAATGTGCTTGAATGTGCCATATAACATGTTACCCCCGTTTCTGGAGCTCGTGTGTTATGGTGACAGTTTGGATCCCAGTTGTGGTTAAGCCTATAAAAGCATGTCTTGTAGTCATTTTTCTGTTTGTTTCTGAGTTACCAAGCTCTGGTGCATGTGCTTCAGTGTGCACCAGGGATCTGACTTTGTTTGGCCCGGACACCTCTGGCTTTACTGTTTTCTGCCCATTGCCAGAACCATTTGTAACATGACCTTAAACTGTAAAGTAAATATGTTTGTTTGCAGGAAACATCCAGATATGCACCTGGGACAAAGGTCTTGCCCAGCTCCATGGCAACCGCTCAGAATGTTGGTTCAAGTTGTCAGAATGGAATCAATGCCTGGAAGATGCCAAGAGAAATGTTGACTATCATCCTGAGTGGTACAAGGTAATAGGATGAGGCTTTATTATAACTTGAGGCTTTATATAATCTGAGACTTTATAAAAATGAACAATGTCATACTTCCTACAAACTGTAAACCTAAAGTATTGTGGAGTGGTACAAGGTAATAGGATGAGGCTTTATATATACTTGCTATATACAGTCTGGTGATAGTTTTAATGGACTGTGAATTCTTGTACTTAAATAGCCCTACTATATGCACTTGACGTGGCGTTACTTATGACCTTTGCTATTTTCCTGCTAGTTACATGAAACACTAGCCCCTTTTTCAATGAAAGGTGTTTTTCAAATTTTATTGTATCAGCTTTTGCCTCTTATTTTTATCACTTGTTTTTCTTTAATGTATCAGAAGTCAACCATTTTTTAAAAACAAATTGTTTTGTCCACTATTTTGTCCAATATTTTATCATTCCATCATTTCATCAGCACATCCATTATTTCATCAGGATATCCATTAAATTATCAGCTAATCTATTTTTTTCATCAGCACATCCATTAATTCAGCAGTATATCCATTATTTCAAAAGCATATCTATTTCACCAGGGTCATTTTCGTGTGGCTAGAGCTTACAGAAACCTGGGCAAGTTCAGGAAGTCGGTGTATGCTTTTGTTCAAGCTTACATGAGGCTGCCATCATCAGAAGCCGAGGATCTGAACAAAAAAGTATTATACGAGTTGATAGAAACGGCATTTGTAATAGGTAATTCAGTGGGGTACACAATGGCTTTTCCCCATAACAGATTTGTGTTAAAAACTCTTTCGCTGCAGAATGTTTTATTTAATAAAATATTTTTTTCAAAGAGCAAAGAAGAGTGAGAGGTTAGATCTATTAAAAAACTATTTAAAATATTATTGTTTGGTTTATGAGACTAAACTTGGTATCAAATGAAAGATAACTGAATGTTTGTACACTTATTTCTTCAGTTTAAATAAAATAAGTAACAGGAAAGAACCATAAAATGTGAAAACATATGCAGAACCATTTTTTCCCCAAACCCTATGATATAAACTCCATCTTCACTTCTATAACTCAAATCCTCTAAAACTACTACTATCAGAATCATGCAATGGATCTAAATAAAAATCATCTTTACTATCAAAGAAAACAAGTATGAAACAATTCCAAAACTTTTTGGGCTGTTAATCGTCTAGGAAACTTACTCACCTTCTAAGGCCTAGGGTAGCCATGGCAACAGTAGAAAAAAATTGCAAAGGATATTATTAAAATAATACTTCAAATGACAACAAATAAACCTTGGTTTCGCTTATAAACAGTGAAGTACCACTCTTCTATGTAAAAGTCTTAATAAAATATAGCTCTTAAAAAGTTAAACCGAGAAATAGCAAAGAAATAAATATGATATTGAAACAACGCAGAGCACGTTCGTCCATGCTTTTTAGAATGGCGGATGAAAGCACTGCGAGTTATGCTGCAGCCAAAGGGTTAAAGAATACAGCATATGGTAAAATCATATTTTGGTGTTGTAAATTCAATACAAATAAACTAGCGTATTTCAAAATTTTTTAAATTTCTTTTTATAATTTTAATCAATAGAATCAACTTATTTCATTATTTTTTTAGGGATTTTTACTTTTCAAATACTACCTCTCTGTACCAAAATAAAAGCAAAAAAACATTGTAACAATTGTACTAACAATTGTACTTAACCCTACCAGTCCTGAGGCCCTGAACCCAATTGTCTATACCTGGGCTTCTGAGCATTCAATAGAAAAATTTTAGTTACATGCAAACAAGTGGTTGGAATAAGATTGAACTTGGAGACATTGTAGAAGCTAGGTCTACCTCTCATCTAGCGCCAGTATTCTATCTCTGTGTGCTAATCCACCCAGCAGGTTGAGCCGTGTTTCACACAGAGGTACTTCTTGCAAAGTGAGCACCAGATATTGCTCTTCACCTTCTTGCAAGTATTGTCTTTGTATGATACTCCAGCATTTTGCTTGTGGTACCTGGAGTGCTTTTTGATGCACACAACACAGATATGATTAGATGATGTCCCATGGGGAATCTCTTGAAAAAGATTGCCTGGGGTCATCCGTTGCGGGGAGGGTTCCTTTTGTGGGTGGCGGTGGGCTGTGATAAGCCTAGACTTACATCGCTTTCTGTTTAATTGCTTGGTTCAACAGCGCTCGTCTCATTGTGAATTTTCAGGATTTTCCCTTATCAAACCACACAAATTCAATTCAAACACATTGAGGCAGATATTTGCAATGGCTAATCATGAGTTTTGACCACAATTGTTTGGTTATTTTTAGTTTGTGACACATTTGTTTCACACAGTAGGCAAAGTACTGAAAATTAGGTATAGCGGTATAGCGGCAGATTTGGAAATTACCGAAAAATCGTTACAGCGGTCTGGTAGGATTATAAAAAAAATTTAGCCTCAGCCATCTTTTGTCATCGACAACAAAATTTGAGGTCTATTAGGTGACCAATTGTGTCACTGAGGTGTTCTTCTTATTACAAATTTCAAAACATCCAGGTTACAGTAAGTAATCGATAACCTATTTACTTAAATCAAATTCTTTATTAGAATTCCTTCTCAAAATTACTTATCACTAAATAATTATCACAATCAGTATTTTTGATTTTTGATAATTCTACCAACCTGGGGAAATTTTCTTCATCCTTTAGGGGTAATAACAAGTAAATAATATTATATAATTAATCTATAATAATATCATTTGATAAAAACCTTTTAAGTTATGTTGCTAAATTGGGTTGAGGTACAAGATGAAATCACTGCCCACCCTGCTTTAGGGTTTGACCATCACAATATAACATAACTGATTAGACCAAGGGCTTATAAACTCTCTATCTAGCCACACAGTAAAATTAATCACTAAACATCTACCAAACACCATTCCAGTATTTGAATGAAATGTCAGCACTTTCATTAAGGACTAGCAACAAATCAAATAAGTATTATATTAGATAAGAGGGATTATATTGTGAGCAACACATCACAAATTATATCCAATAATGTCCAACACAGTATCACACTATATGCCCCAGTACATCTAACACTATATCACAAAATGTACTCAAGTATGTCTAACACACAATCACAATGTATATCCAAAACAGTATATCCTATATGATATCACAATCATAAAATATACCCAAGTTAATCCAGCACATAATCACAATGGCTACAACATATACACCTTGACTTCGTATTTAAGTATTTTCCTGTGTCCTTTCACAGCTTCACAACTTGATTCTCTCTTGACAAAACTCCGAAGTGTACCGACCACTCTCAGGACACATGTCATTAACTTCTACCTTGAAAACAAAGCCTGGAACATTGTAGAGTTCATTGTGACTAAAGTGTGGAAACTTACCGACAGTGATCTGTGGAGACCTAGATCATCATCAACTTCGAAGTGGGATGTGGACTTGGTGCATTTCTGTGATAAAGATCTTTTGAACCAGCAGTGGTGAGATGTTTAGTTGAATGACATCAGATTGTAGATTACTTTTTTTTTTAAATTCCTTACATAATATAGTTATTTATTCTCACAGTAATTAAAATAATTTATTCTTACATAATTAAAAATATTTTTATCCAATCATTATTTGAATCTTATAATTTCTTTCATCTAAGCTTATTTTTTTTTTACATCCAATAATTTCTTACATCCAGTCATTCCTTACAATCAATCATTCATTTAATAAATCCAATTATTCTTTGCATCCAATCATTCCTTGCATCCAATCAATACTTAAATACATCCAATCATTCCTTGCATCCAATCATTCCTTGCATCCAATCATTCCTTGCACCCAATCATTCCTAAAATCCAATCATTCATAAAATCCAATCATCCTTATATCCAATAATTTCTGACACGAAATTGCACCTTATACCTGCTCATTCAGGTGGGTGTGTAAAGTCCTGCATCACTTCCTAGTGTTAAAGTCAGACCATCATCTGCTCAAGTTTCACCCCGGAGACACCTACTTCCATGCCACCATCAGCATTGTGGTACAGTCAAACACACAGAGATCTGTTCCAAAAACACAAGAGCCTGTGTGTGTAGATAATGTTCCTGACAATGCTAATGTTGATCATCATGGTGGTGGTAATGCTGATGCAACAAGATTGCTCTGTTATGTTGTGGAGAAAATTGTCATCCCCACAGGAGATCTGAACATTCAAGATGACAAGGGAAATACAGTGCTGCACCACCTGGCAACTTTAGAAGTAAACAATGAAACTAACACACTGACTACTGAATTTTTCCTGACCACTGACATATTATCACTGGTCCCTCATTTTTTCACAGACATATTTTCTGTGACTGTTTTATTTTTTAATATTTTCTTAATTGTCTGGTATAAGAAATTGTGTCATTTTTGCTTTTTGTATTTTCAAATTTAGTGGCTAATAATTTTAGCCATTCTTTCTGTTTTTTAGGAATCTCAACTAAAGATAAGTTATTGCTATAATGGGCCATCCATAAATGATGTTATATATCTAGGGGAAGGATGGGAGGTCACTAATTTGTGACCATGTGTCATGAGGGTGTATATATTTTACTAGGCCAGTTTTTTTTTTCCTGTGGGGGCCGTCATTCAAAATTGATATTGTTTGTAGAAAGTACCTAAGTATGTTGTATCTCAGAATTTTGACCCCCTTTTGGATATATTTTTTTTCTTCTTCAAATGCAGAAATATTCAAAATCTGTACTGAGCTACATCCTGGGCAAAGGTGTAGACTGTTTAAAAGAAAACAAGGATGGTAAAACTGCACTGGACCTAACCAGCCAATCAGATAAAAGGAATTTGTTACGTGGGAAAAGTAGGCCCCATTTTTTTTTTAATTTTGAGTGATGCATGCATCAAACAATGCCATTGAGATGAAACAACATGTCATAGACGCAGCAATAACACAAAAACCAAACAATAACACATTGACACAAAAATAAAACATATACCCAACAATAAACATTGACACAGCAATAACACATTGACACACCAATAACACATTGACACAACAATAACACATTGGCACAACAAAAACACACTGATACAATAACACACAGACACTACAATAACATATTGACACAACAAAAGCACATTGTCACAACAATAACACATTGACACAACAAGAGCAAATATCTCTTATTTATTCAACTGAATTCTAAGCTCATAAATGACACTTTACAAAGATGTTGGTTTTTCAGTTTGTTGGGCTAAAATCAACCCCTCCCCACCTCCCTCAACACCACTGACCCTCACTCTCGCCCCTCAATATCCCTGACCCCCACTCTGGCCCCTCAACACCAGACAAGCAAAAAACATTTCAGGAAGTTATAAATCTTTTTTAAAATGTGTTTTAATCCTCTTAAAATTTGATTATACTTTAGTAGATTTTTAAAACAAAACAAAAAAAATTATACTGTTTTAAGGTTCTTAAAAAGACTATTCACTTGAGTTATTGAATGGGAAATGTTATATGATTGTTTAAATTTATATAGCACAATTCTGCTTGTTTTTGCATTAAATCATATTGCAATGTGACTAAATTGTTTCCATGGGCTTCTAGGAGTAATCTGGGGTGAACTAAGTTAAGGGTGAAGCAAAATTGAAATTAAAACAAGGGGTAGTGGTAAACATGAAGGAAGATGAAACAAAAAAAGCAGAAGTTTCATCTGAAAGCCTCCTACAGCAGAAAGGACAACGGAGAATAAAAAACACAACTTAGCTTGATTTAGAGTAGACTGGAAATTGTTAAAATCTTACACCTACAGTAAACAGGAAATCATTTCTCTAATGAAGTCTGAGAGTTTTTGGGATGAGGTCTTAGAGCGGCCGGGCTTACAGGGCTTAGTGGAATGGGGTGGCTACAAGGTGCTTGCGGACAAGAAGGTCACACACGTTTCTTTCACATCTAAACTTAATTAAAGGAGGGATGAGTTATGATTAGTTATTGATGTGAGGGATACCCTCTTTGTTGACAATCATGCCACATTCTGTTTGCAGTGGTAGCTCAACTTGTGGATGAGACTGACAAGCACAATAAAATTAAAATTCCAGAGGAAAGGAAAAAATTGAAAGCCAAAAATATCAAAGTATTGTCCAGTTGGTTGTCTTGTCATATAATCCCAGGTAAGAGTGTATTTAAGAAATTATTATTTTTTGTGAAATAATAATTATTATTGCTTGTCATTGAAACAGAGAAATAATTGTGTAATGGCACATCATTGAATACCTACTTCTTTACTTGTAATTATGAAGCAATTTTTTCTTTCTCATCAATTTGACAAATATGTTGGTTTTTTTTAGTTACATAACTACAGATAACAAATGTGTTTTTGTTCTGATTTATTTAACAGAACAGTTGACAAATTTATTTTTCTCTGACCTAATTACAGTTGAAGAATGTGTGTCTCTTCTCTTTTTGGGCGAATTACAGTTTGTGAGCTAATTACAATTGACAAATGTGTTTATTCTTTCTGACCTAATTACTGTTGATGCATGTGCTTATGTTTCTTCGTGACATATTTAAGGTTAGCTAATCTGTTACTCTCTCTGTTTCATCCTGCCAGTCATTCCAAAAGAACTTGTAAAAATCAGTGCTGACAGCTGTAAGGATCTGCTGACTTGTTTGGCCGATGATGGCAAGTGGCTGGTGCTGAAAGAACTGGTCACTCAATTTAAAGAAGCAAAAGGGAAAACCACCCTGCCCACCTTTGCTAAAGAAATGTCACTGATGAGCGTGGTAGAAGCACCTGCTAAGGAAATATCAGAGTCAGACAAAGTTGATGTGGTCCGTTTGCTGGTCGATCATGAAGCAAGTGTGGATTCACCAGAAGCCATTGAAGCAAGCATTCGAAATGAAGAGTGGAAGGTACTTGGAACTGACAATTTTGATTTAATACTTTTTACAGAATTAATTTGTTTTATTGATATCAGTCCCATGTACAACGATATTTCTAATAATAATAATAATAATAAAGTTCATTTAAAAAACACACTTCATGTACAAGTTAATTGTCTGTGAAACACATTAACAACTTCTTCCTATCAGATGTTTATGATTGAAATAACATTTATTATTGTATTATTTCAATCAAATGATTTATATTCTTCAAAGTCACCATTGCATGTCTGTTCCCAAATTGTGTATAATTTCTTTGAGTAATCAAATAATTTTTAAATGACAATTGTCTGTCAGGTTTATTGCAAATTTTGCTTTGTAAACTTATCACATTACAAGTCTAATTACATATATATTTTTCATTATCATATTATTAAACGCAAATGAATTTTAATTCTCTTAGAGTTTTATTAAAACCCACGTTACCATTTTCTCAGCTGACCGTGGAACTGTTAGACCTGGGAGTGAACCCTGATGGAGTGACACTAAGCCCTGGGGACACACCATATCATGCAGCTTTGAAGTTGGCTTTGAACAAATTTGATGGTAATTTCATCTTTATCAGTCTAGACCAGCGGTGGCAAGCTAATTGCGTGCAAAGCAGCTGTGAGCATGCAGATCCCTCAATGATGGCATGCCAGCATGTTTTCGCTAGAATCTCAGTAATCATGTTTAATTGCCATAAATAAGTTTCTTTTGGATTGCAATTTTGCCCTTCAGTCTCTAAAAGGTTTGCTACAACTGATCTACAATCTTAACTATAAAAGAACAATTTCGTTTTACTAAACATCCTCACTCCTCACACACACTAGCCCACTCACATTAAATAACCTATGCATTCATAACACCCCCCCCCCTACACAACAACCTTCTCCCACACAACCTTCACCCACACTACAACCTCCAAAGTTTGCTACATCATATCTCTAAACAATCACAGGAGATTTCTCCATGTTGGAAAAACTCAAGGAAATTCATGACCAGAAGAAATCTCTCAAGAAAGATGTGACAGTTACAGACAAAGATGGCAACACCCTCTTACATATGGCAGCTCAGGTATTTTATGGTCAAAGACAAATTGTTTACATTATTTGTGTCTGAAGTAAATGGGCTAGTTTATTTATTCAGTATCAACAAAATAGAAGGGGAGACAACTTAGGAAATGTTGCAGTTTTATAAAAATAATTTAAAATCTTAAAACTAAATTATATTTAGAATGTCTAAATATTTTATCTTTTTACAAAAGTTGACATCAAATTAAGTTATGGCAAAGATACAATTTATTTTTTATAAAATTTCTAGACTTCACATTTAATGGGAAGAAACTATTTAAAATCTGTTTGTATCCTATTTACACCTAAATAAGATCATATTTGGCCCTGCCCTTTCCACCCTAGTACATGCCCACCAAAACATAAACAAAGAAACTAAAAGCAACTAAAGCATAGGAAACAAAAAAAAGCATGATAAAGTTAACAGAAATCCATATTAGTCAGAAGGTGTTCAGAATCACACAGATTACGTAGTGAGCATAGTTTCATTTATAAAATAATTGTGAAGAAGGTATCTATCTTTAAAAAGAGTTTGTAAGTAAATTAATTTTTTATAAATATTTATAATAAAAATGTAAAATTGCAGTGCATGCTTACCATTGGTGTACACATTGCAAGTGTCCTATAACTGCTTTCACCATTTTATATTGTGCAAAGACCTTTAATTTAATTTTACATTATTTGGAAGTGATAGTTTTAACTATAGTAGAATTTTTCTTATTCTTCCTTGTCGAGTATCAAAAGTTTTACTGCAAAGTTTAATTTTTTTTTTCTGTTGATATATTATATTAATGGTGACACCTAAGTACTTATATGCCTCTATATAATATAAGCAATAATTAGCATTTTATTGATTATTACCAAACCATCGCATTTGCTTCTTGTACCTTCACATTTCAGGATTCTTGAATTCACAGAATCATAAAATCTTCATTGGAACCTAACTAATTTGCATTTGCGATTTTTTTTTTTTTCCAAAGATCTGTGAAATTTTAAAGACTACTAATTCTTTTGTACATCTTTATGTAATTTTTAATTGATTGAATATCTGCACCCTCTATGTACAGCGCATGCTCTCATTCTTTTATTGAACTGTACCTTCGATACATGCCTTCTGTGACACATGGAGATTTCCTAGTTTACCCTCCTGACATGACAAGGAAATCTCAGTCATTGAGTTTGTTACTTGGTTTTACCTTACCGTGAGTGCAAAAGAAAATGGCAGTCAATGAATCAGTTTACAGAAGCAGGTTACATTAGTATGCAGTACTCGTGAATGTGTTATTGTGGCAAATAGCCATTAGACGATGTTGTACTCTATTTTTATCTATTTTTTACATCACCGTTTTATTATTTTTGTTTTATCTTTTGAGCCAACTTTTAAATGGAATCAAAGTGCTTGCTTTGAGAGCATGATCTGACTCATACTAAGGGGTTATATTATTCGACTTTCACAAGCAAATGATGACCAAGGAAATATTCAACTTGAGGGGTAGCCCTGACTTGAGATGTAACTTGAGATGTATTAAGTTTTTAAGGGAGGGAGATTTGCTTAATTTGTCAGAATCACTCTCTCATCCTTTCCCTATTTGATTCAATGGCAATAGTTGGTCAAGACTCAGGATGCAGTGGATGAGCCGCAGTGTGTCTTGTGTGTTTCACTGTGCTCCTTATGAGTTCTATGTCACAGGTGTTGTCGGAATTTTCATTGTTACAATGTCCTACTACCTACAGGACTCCATCTCCGGGTTCAACTTTAGAATTTGCCTTCTTTTAGATGAGTTGCCATCAAAGGTTAACAATTTCCATTCACTCAGAGTGCTGGTGATGTTTTTGCATTTGCTGGGGATTGAACCTGAGCCCTCTGGCTTGGGATTGACTCAGTTTAGATCAGTCGGCCACCCAGCGCCATTATTTAGGGGTTAAACTCTAGGTACAAGCCTTTATAATCATTTTTAGTGACTTGTACCAAACTGTCGGGATTCCTCTGATTTGTGAATGTTCGAGGTATTACTGCATATATAAATATACATATATTTTGTGGGTGTGCATTCTATTGAAAAGATAAATCCTTAATTTTGTGTATCCTAAGGCAACATCCCATCAGTACAGTCTAAAAGCATTGCAGCTCCTTTCAAAATGGCGAATACCCACTAACATAAAAAACAAAGAAAAGAAAATGGCTGTTGATTATCTACCAGACTGGGAAGATGATAGACATCAATACATTCAAGTGCCCACTAGTACTAAAAGTAAAAACAAATCTAAAACAGAAAAAGGTACAATATTATGATAAGTATTTTCCAATGATTTAGGTTACAGTAACAGTAACGTCAGAAAAATTTTAGAAATTTTATTCTTAAAGAATCAGGAGTCATTTTATAATGATAATAATGTGTTTTATTTCCCTTTCTTTACAGTTTATTTTAACATTTCTAACATTGCCAAAATTAGTCTGGAGAGATTTATTTATAAAATTTGGTCAAAGAAATTAGCTTTAACTTAGGTAGAAAAAAATAAATCTTAAAGAGGGCAGTTTAAATCATTTTTTGGGAAAGGCTAGTCTTCATAATTTGTACAGAGAAAAGTGCAATATTTAGGAAGGTTTTACAGACATAGAAGTATAAATTGTCCATGGTATATAAAATTAGAAGTTATATCATTAAGCCTTGAGGTTAAAATTACATTGGTATCTGTATTAAAGTACTGGCAAGTTAAAGGATAAAATACTATTTAAAACAAAAATAATCGGCAAAACTTGACCTCAAAATATGTGTAAAATAAAGATAATTATCATTTCTCTTAACTTAAGGTACTGAGGAGGCTGCGTCGAAGACAGACACAAAATCAAAGCCTTCAGTGGAAGAGGTATGTGTAAGGATAAGGTATGAAGGGAAAAGTTACGTATTGGGATAAAATGTGTTGGGATAGTGAATGTACAACAAAGGTTTGCCATGAGTTAATGCCCGTGTTAGTACCTCGAGTTCACTTGCTGGGGGTCATTATGAGTTCAAATAATGGACGTCATCATGCGTTCACTTACTGGATTGTGCTGTCATTTCAATTATTTAAACACTTTTTAAATTTATTATTATTTTTTTTCTTTAGACCATAGAAACCAAAATTTCAACATTGCTGTCCAAAATACCTGAAGCCACTGGTTTTCTTAACCCAACACAAGCAGAAAGTAAATTCGTTGTTCCGAGATTGCTGGATTCTGACGATGACAACGGTGAAGAAGGAAAGTCACCTGATAACGGATTGGGGAATTCTAACAACAGTGAGTAAAAAATTTTCTGTAGGTAAGTCTCAGGGTTGATGGTCTCATCATCAAAAGTTCAACAAGAAAAAATTGATTTCTTTATTTCTCTGTATCTATTTTGTATCTACAGTTATGTTGAAGATGTAAAGAGATTTATTTACATTATAGTTCTTGGCTCAATTTTTACGAGATAAAGAGAATGAAATAACAATTTTTTTTTAAATTGTTATTCATTAATAAAGATGGACTAACAAGAGAGGACCTTACCCAGGTTGATATTGATGAACTGTCAAGAATTGACAAGATAGAGATTGACCCAAAAGACTTTGACAGTTTAGAGTGGGATATTGAGTGTACAGGTAAACAGATGAGTGGGATATAGAATGTGTAGGTAAATGAATGACAGGGATATTCAATATACAGGTAAATGGATGTGTGTGGGATACAACGTATAAATGGATGAGTGGGTTATTAATTGTGCAGATAAATGGATGAATGGAATATTGAATATACAGGTAAATGTATGAGTGGGATATTAAATGTACAGGTAATAGGATGGGTAGGAAAGTGTATTACAATAATGTTAATGTAATAATGAAAAATAATTTTAAATAATCAAGATTATTGCAATATGTTTTTATTTTTAGTTTTTCTTAGAGTGTTTTAGTTATTAGTAGAAACACAAAAACCATTTCTATGCCATGTTATTGTTTTTTAGAGTCAGTCTGGAGGACATTAATCAGCAAAAGACAGGCCACTGTTGATATTGGTCTGCGGAAATTGTCCTTGAGAAACCTAGTGTTGATGAAGTTGAAACAGCTGGGTTCAGGAGACTGGAAGAATTTAAAACAGGTCAGTTCTTGTAGGAGTTTGGTCAGGTCATGTATGAGGTAGGTCAGTTCTTGTAGGAGGTGTGTCAGTTCTTGTAGGAGGTAGGTCAGTTCTTGTAGGAGGTAGGTCAGTTCCTGTATGAGGTAGGTCAGTTTTTGTAGGACGTAGGTCAGTTCCTGTATGAGGTAGGCCAGTTCTTGTAGGAGGTAGGCCAGTTCTTGTAGGAGGTAGGTCAGTTCTTGTAGGAGGTAGGTCAGTTCTTGTAGGAGGTAGGTCAGTTCTTGTAGGAGGTAGGTCAGTTCTTGTAGGAGTTAGGTCAGTTCTTGTAGGAGGTTGGTCATTTAGAAACTAATGGCTGTTTTTTTTTTAACATCAAGTAACAAACCGGTTGTAGCATAATAGCAAGTACACCATTAGATGTAGAAGTATAATGGTGTAAGGGTATAGTATGTGGTATAAGAGTGCAGGGTATATGATTGTATTACAGAAGGCTTTAGAGGTATATGGTTGTAAGCCAGTGGTTCTCAACCTTCCTCACGCCACGACCCTTTAATACAGTGCCTCATGTTGTGGCGACCCCTAACCACAAAAGTATTTTCGTTGCTACTTCATAACTGTAGCGTATATGTGTTTTCCGGTGGTCTTGAGCGACCACTGAGACAGGTTTGTTCAATCCCCAAAGGGGTCGCAATCCACAGGTTGAGAACCGCTGTTATAGGCTATATTTGTATAATCCCATTTCCATCACTTCAAATATAAAACACTATAGATTTTTGTTTACTTTTCTAATTGTCTATTCTGGTGCCACTTATGATGAAAACAATTCCATTAGCTTTATTGTTATTGGATTTTTAAAATGAAATTAGGTTTTACTGGCATTGCTAGCAGATAAAAAGTAGATCATAACATCTACTTCCTTATGCTATCAGAGGAGAATAAGGTCATAAAATCTACTTCCTAATTCAAGTATTTAAACCATGACAATTTGAAACATGAAAATAAAAAAATAAAAATTAGCATGAACAGGAATTTTTCAACTCTAGCATCCTTTGAACTAAGATGAGTTAAAAGCGAGTAATTTCTATCATCCAGAGGTCTAGGAGAGATGTGCCAGAGACACTGAAACTGTACCGTCTGCCTTTAACTTCTGGTGCCTTTATTTTATGGGAGAGAGCCATCGCCTTTTCACCCCGCCTCAGTGATCCGCAGGAAACAAGCGGGTCGCATGACAGCCAGGAGTCGGCCATCAGAGAAGGGAGAGTCTACGCCGAGCATGTTCGAGTGTGGGAGATAGGGCTGAAGAAATCTGACTTGCAACCAGCCGTTGCCAAAGTCGTCAAGTCACATCAACGTGGGAAAGAGTGCGTTGTCAAGGTATTCTAAAGGTGTTCTTTAGGTGGGGCAAGACAGGGCACATGGCATGGTTGTGACTTAAAAGGGCATTGATGGGTCATCGTCACTTCCCCATCCAATGATTGGACACAGATACCTAGCTAAAAATAAATGGGATGAGTAAAGTCTCTTTGCTTGTTGTTAGCAATTTTTCATGTCCCTTTCTGCACTGCTGGGATTTACATTGGGCTTTCAGGATAATTCTTTTTTTTTTTTTTTTTTTTTTTTTTTTTAATCACATGATTATTATTATTATATGAAATATTTAAATTTAAATGAGAGCTTCAGTAAACTATTGTTTAAATCAAGTGTGGCCAACCGAAATGGCTTTAAGGTTCACTTTGATCTTGAGTTCACTTTTTTTTTGTTGCTGCCACCTAATAAATAAAATAACACCAAAAAAATGCTCTAGGGGATTATTTATCTATTCCTAATACACAAAATGAAACCAAAAAACTGTTTTACTGGTTTCATTTTTCTCCCCAGAAATTCCTGATGACATCACACCAAAGTGAGAAGACCCTTCCAAAACTTTTCAGGGAATGCACTGACCTACAAGGACATGATGAGGTACTCACTCCTCCGGCCAGTCTGCATGAGAATGAGTTCACCATCATGAAACTGTACACAATGTCATCCCAGATGGTGGAGGCCGTTCTAAATGATGGGGATTCAAAGGTGACTAGAACTTTTCATACTTGCCTACCATTTTTTGCTGAGTTCAACTGCCATTTATTCAAACTTCATACTACACTTAATGTAATTTTACTGTTTTTTTTTAAAATTACATCAGAATCATTCAATTATTAGCTTGTTGTTCCCTCAGTGGGACAGTAGCCATAACAATCCATTGCACTCTCTAACCACTCAATGTTTCTCTACGTTGTTTTCATAGTTTCAGGCTTTCTACATTTACATGTCTTCTCCATACATTCTTGGGCATCCCATATAATTTTGACTTTGTGAATTCCATAAAAATTAAAATTTAATTTCCCAGTAAGATAGAGTTATGGTGATATATATGTATGTTACATTGCCATCATAAATTTTTTTGCTGGTTAAAAATATATATTTAAAATAACCTTGTTGCTACAAAAAAATCGTATGTTCTAGTTTCAGCTGACTTTCCATTCAGAGAAGTAGGAATATCAATTGTCATTTATGGATTTCAGAATGACAGAAACATCAGATCATATTTATTGATTTCAGAACAACATAAATATCAGATCTTATTAACTGTTTTCAGGTTGACTTTCCATTCAGAGTGACTGAAATTGAGCACACATTCATTCATTTAAAACCTGAAGCTCCTCTGCTACTTTTAGGCCGCAGTGGGACAGGGAAAACCACCTGCTGTCTCTATCGCTTGTTCAATGAGTTTTTAAATTATTGGGAGCTGGCCAAAGAATTAGGGAGACCGCATATTGAATGTCTCAACAGTAAGTTCTCTGATTATTAACTCTTTCTGAGGGTCACTTTTTGCCTGCAATTCAAATAAGGATATCTTTTTAATATCTAAACAATAGTGTATTGTTGGTCAAGAAAGAATTGTGAAAAATCAATTTTTATTTTTAAATTAAACAACCTCTAAAAACAAAGGTTATTTTTATAAATCCTTTGTAAAATGTAATATCGAGCAATGGGGGCTGAAAATTTGACAAAATATACATACAAGTAACGTACTTAACAAGAATCTTAATTTGTGTTCCCCCCACCCACCCCCCACTCCCCAAGGCTGGCAAATGCACATTCATGCCCCTGAATTATATTAATATTCTAATGACCCACCAGCTTTTACACCAAAGATTTATGTTACCAACTATTTCAGAAAAACAAAAGAAAATATTACACAACAAAATACACATGCAATATTTTTTTAAAAAGAAGATTATTTAGCGCAGTAATCCCAAATTTTATTTTGTGAAATTAGTGTTATCACATTTCCTTCTTTTTCCCCCTTAAAGAGCAGGAAAAACTAATTTTTGGGGGTGGCGGTTAGGGTTGAAAATTTGATAGAATGTGTTGTCATCTACAACATGTCTTGAGCCAAGTTTTCATCTCGGTAGGTGGATGGGAAGTGGGTCAATAGGCCATGCGAAGATTTTGCCAGCCACTCACGAACAAAATCAAAGCTAATAAAAAGGCTTTAAAAGCAACTCTTTATCCTCAACTCATTATTTTTGTCATCAGAAGAAATATTTTTTAAAAATTTTGAGAGAGCAATGCTTCTTCCTAAATCTCTGAAGACTTTAAACCAACACAAACATGTAGATACATTCTCTCCCTGTGTTTCATAATGTTTGTAACACTTCTCCTCTCGTGTTATGTATAACTAATATGTAACCAGTGCTACCTTGGTGGCCAGATGCTGGTCCAATTCTTCTTAATTATTAATATAATGAACTGCTACAAAAGCACGAGATAATGCAGAGGTTTTCCTCATCACCATTAACTTTTATTCACTCGTTAAGATTCACAATATAAAATACTTCTCAGAATTGGAATAAGACAATTTTCATGACATCATATATGTCATTCGCTTAAATCCAAACAGATGAACGATAGTTGTTCCGATTCTATGAGATATATCTTTGGATCAACGCAAGAGAAAATTCACAATGCAAGCACACATTTCTTCATGTTTAATCTAATCTCTCAACTTCCTTCCTCCCTCTCTGGGCATGACATTCAAAACTTCACCTTGATACTAAAAATAACAAAACAATTCTTATAATTATGAAGCTGTTTTATTTACTGATTTTTTTTTTTTACCAGTTTCTGATGAATCCAACAATAATGGTCCAGAAGTTCCAATCCAGGAAACTGATGTAAATGAGGGTCAAAATAGTGACGACACAGATGATGAAAGTGATAACAATTGTGAACATCTGCATCAGGTAAGTGAATCAAACATTTTATCATATTACCCAACTCTAAACATCTCATTATGACAATACTCTGGGTGAGTCAGAGGATTGGTTTTGAATCTTATGAGAAGCACTGACTGATTAAATTCAGAGCTAGAGATTCTAGCACAAGGGAAAGACAAAATAGAACTATGATATTTTGTTCTAATATATTTGCCTTCCTTAGCCCAGAGAAAATCACAATCAATCAGTTTTGTGAGCTAAAGACCAGGAATTATATTGTACTCAATAGCTGCCTCTATCTACACCACTAGAATATGGACTAGAAAAGAAACAAATTCTTCTAAGTACTCTGGATTAAAAAAGTGAAAGCTTTGCAAAAATTAGGTCATATATAGAATGATGCCAGTGACAGTTAATAATAAGAACAAGTAAACATAATAATTTTTAGATTCTATATATTTTGTTCAAATAATTTTGTTTAATAGCTATATTTTTTTGTCTGACCAATTTCAGATTTTTGTGACCAAAAACCCAGTTCTGTGCCATGAAGTGGAGAACAGTTTTGTTAAACTTTGCCAGACTCCTAAATGGTTGTGTGATCATGTGGCTGAGAGAGCTGAGGACGTTCCAAATCGACTGCAGGCAAGTTATTCAGTTGATATAATTCAGACTCTCATGTGCTCTGCACTACTAAGAACATCATCACACTGTGGGTTTTAAAGTTGTTGGCTTATGAACAAAAAGCAGCTTGAGTTTCCAAGCCAGATAGTTTAAATTTTAAAAAATAAAAATAAAACCTGATCACATTCTTTTAAAAATAGAGATTTAAGACCTGTAAATTGATTACATTAGTTCTATATATCATTTAGAGTGATTCTATAATATTCATTGGCATAGATAATTATGAAGAGGGATACACAATAAAATTATTCTTACATAATTTATTTTTTTAAAATGTAAACAAGTTATATTCATGTGAAAAGAGTGGTTTAGCAGACTGTAGTGTAGTTCTTAAATCCACAAATGCTATAATCTGCTCTGTTATAAACTTAATAGTTGTATTTTTATTTGCTGAAAAATGGCATGCTTTTTATTTATAAAGTGCTGTATACCCTCCAACCCTGAAGCCTCCAAACTATGCCCTCCAGCCTCAAACCTCTACCCTCCAGCCTCAAACCTCTACCCTCCAGCCTCAAACCTCTACCCTCCAGCCTGTAACCACTATCCTCCAGCCTCCACTGTCTGGCTTCCAACCTGTACCCTCCAGTTCAGAAATGTGGTTAAGTTTGTAAGTAGCAGTAGTTTTCCCTTCCACAGGACATGGAAGATAACTCCTTTCCCCTGTTCCTGACATCCAGACATTTATTACTTATCCTTGACGCTTCTGTTGATGGTCAAGCATTTTTTCCTCGAGATGAAGACCTGGGGATGAAACTGTACATACCAGGCTGGGAGCCACAGGAAGACATTTTAAACATCGGCCAGCCATTACGTAGAATGAATCCAAGAGGTTTCCAAAATGGTCAGTAATCTATCATTGCTTAGTATTGTAACACAATTGTTTCCAAAATAAAACACACTTTAAGGACTACTAGTTCCGTCGTGGCTCACGCAAATCCCTCAGGGCTCACGCAAATTCCTCAGGGCTCACCCACATCTGTCAGGGTTCACCCACATCTGTCAGGGTTCACCCACATCTGTCACAGCTCACCCATGCTTAATAATTTTTGACATTTTCATTTTTAATGTCTGAATTTTAAAATAAAAATACAATAACATATCTTTATATAACAGTTAAACATTTTTAAAAATACTTTAGATAAAAATACAAAATAATATCTGCATATACCCTGATGTAAATGTGTTTTTGTTTTTTTTTAAATACTTTAAATAAAGAGAAAAAAGTGTATCTGTCTACCACAAGTTTAAATTTTCAAATTAAATAACAAAGTTCGAAAAACACAAAATAATGTCTGTGTACCAAAATTTAATTTTTTAAATAAAAAATACTTTAAATGTAGAGAAAAAAGTTTATCTTTGTGTACAACAAATTTAAATTTTTAAAAATTACTTTAATAAATGTACACAAACATGCTATTTCTTTGTTTAAAACTATTTGCAATTATTAAAAATTAAAAAAACTCAAATATATCTTTGTGTACAGAAATTTTAAATTGTATATACATACTTTTAATAAGAATACTAAAGTACAAAGGTGTGTACCCTAATTTTAGTGTCTTAATTTTAAAATATTTTTAAAAAATGTTAGTAGATATTAGTGTACTGAATTTTTTTTAAAATTGTAATAAAAATTAATCACAGCAAGAAGAGCAGATAGACAAGCAGATCCAAGAAGGGAGAGCACTTATGAAGTTTTTGTTCATGAGATTTGGCCAAAGATAAAGAAAGAGGTAGGAGTCTAAAATGTTTATGAAAGAATTAACATAAGTCTAAAAATATAAATATACCATACACATAACACCTAGATCAATAAAGTACATATGATGAATCAATACACGCATGATATTCTAATATTCAATAAACATAATAGATAAAATATTACAACACACATGATACTCTGATGTAAAATAAACAAAATTGATAATTATGCATTACACTTATGTTTTATCAGAGCACCTTCCATCCATCACTGGTTTGGACAGAAATTGTGTCCTTTATAAAAGGATCCTCTGAAGCCCTGGAATGTTGCGAAGGTTACCTTGCTATGACCCAATACATTTCTATTGGAAAGAAAAGAGCTCCAAACTTTGATAGCAACAGGCCTCTCATATATGAAATATTTCTATGCTATCAGAACTACTTAAAAAAGAACCATTTATTTGATGAGGCTGATGTCGTTTTTCATATCTATAAAAGACTCAAGGAGACTGTAAGTATTGATCTGACATTTGGTTTGTTATATTGTTTCAATTAATGTAGGACATTCTGACAGTTTCAGGGTGTATCATAATTCATATTTTACTTTTTTTCATGCAAATTGAAATTCCCTATATTGTTTTAGATCTCTTTTCATAATTTAAATAACAAACTAGCTTTTAGTAAGATGCTTGATTATACAATGTTAAGATATACAATTGTAACTTGCTACTTTTTTTTTTATAATGATGTCATAATAAACATAATTTAGAATGTAAAATATTACAGCACATGCTGTAACTGTAACAAGAGGCAATATCTGGACATTTGTTTTAACACAAAATAACATAAGAAAAGAAAGCACTTTGACTTACTGGTTTTTTTTTTCATTTCTTAATTTCATATTTTAATTTCTCAGACACAAATTATAATGTTCATTGCAAGTAATTCTCCATCTTGTTCCTGTGACATCACAGCAGGGGAACATCTACTGGAGTCCCCACAACATTTACATCGATGAAACCCAGGACTTTTCCCAAGCAGAGCTGGCCCTTCTGGTGTCATTATGTCGCTTCCCCAATCAGATGTTCCTTGCTGGGGACACTGCCCAGAGCATCATGAGAGGAATATCATTTCGGTTTGCTGACTTGAAGTCCATATTTTTCCATAGGACTCACCAGACACCAATTGGACAATCACAAGTGAAAGTAAGTGTCGAATTTTCTCTTTGTTTTATGTGCATTATTTGCTCTTTGCGGCCAGACACTAATTTTGTTCATTTAGCTCTGTTCTAACCTATTCCTTCCAATATATTCAACTATTTTCCACATACCTTAGTAAAAAAATTTCCAATAGTCTTTAAATATTAAATTTTCTCAAGTGTAGAGTTTGGCGTTTGAAAAAAAGAAATCATATTCCTTTATAGGTCTGATGAAATTTGAAAGAATAATATTTTTAAGTTATCTTTTAAAGTTTGTAATTTAGTGGGTAAGTTTTCAGAATGACTATATTAATAATTACTAATACAGAAGCCTTAACCATACAAAAATTCAAATGGCACACAAAAGCTAGCCAAAAAAAAAATGAAATATATTTTTGATAAATTTGTTTTAAAACAAAAAACAAAAATTGGATTGCAACTTATAACACAATTTAAATTTACAATAAAATTTCAAGGTGAAAAGTTACACTTTTAGTTTTGTCTCACCCTCAGAAGCCTGACAAAATTCGACAGCTGCGACACAACTATCGATCTCACACAGGAATTCTTGCCCTTGCTTCGGCTGTCCTTGACATCATTCTTGAGCTATTTCCTGAAACAATTGATAAACTTGAAAAAGATCAGGGAATGTTCGATGGACCAAAACCTGTCATTATCGAGACTTGTAAATCAGGTTAGTGGTAACAAACCCTGTCATAACTGGGCCATGGCATCTTTGGCACTGAAATATCTCCCAACATTAGTTTATATGGGAATGGGTCTTTCTAACTATATTTTCAGGCAAGTTGGTTGTGAGAATATAATGTGATTAAAACCCTATTAAAGTATTTGTGGAAAATTATTGTGCAGTGTAAATTTTTTTCTCTTCACAAGAATCACAATTATTTGTTCCATATTTGTTTAAATTTGTGAGATCATTCACCTGATAATCTCTTTTAGCTGAAGAAGGGTTTTCAACTTGCATAATTTATTATCAGGATAACTCCAGTTGGGAAAATCTATTAATGGAATATTAGTACAGCTGGAGAAATATCCAAGTACATACAATAATGTCACTGGCATATGGCTTTTACAGTAATATAAATTAATAACTTATAAATGTATTTATAAATGCATATTATTTGTTGAAATGTGAGAAAATTTTTATTGATGGAATTATTATGACATTTTATTGGTTAACATGTACGAATATTTTTAATCAATGGTGTGAACTGTTATTGTTAACATATACCAACATTGTTTTTACTCATGTACAGAAGACTTAGCTCACCTGGTGAAAGGCAACACAAGGGACACAACTCCCATTGAGTTTGGTGCCCACCAAGCCATTTTAGTTGTGGACGATGAAGCGAAAAATACGCTACCGCGGGAGTTGAGGGACGGGATTGTTTTAACCATCTACGAATCTAAAGGCCTTGAGTTTGATGACATTCTCATCTACAACTTCTTCAAACATTCTCAGGTTTTTCATTCATTGAAGTAATGACAAAAACAGTTGAAATCACCTCAAGGCTTAAACTAGTTTTCACAGTTAATTGGAAAATTTATACCAGATTTTATTTTTATTTACAAAACTAGCATTAACATTTGTAAAAAAAAATATATTTTTTTAAATTATTAAAAAATAAGTAAAATAATTTTCAAGTTCTGATTTAGTTTTTGCTATTTTTTAAAGGCATCAAAGGAGTGGAGAGTTGTGACCTCATTTTTAGAAGAGCTAGTCAAAACTGTAAACAAGTCAAAAAGTCGTGAAAGGAAATCTGAGAATTTAGTAGTTCTGAACCCAGGTAAAACATCCATTTATGTTATAGAAATAAGAGGATTTTACAGAGTCAATTCTCTTTTTTTCTTTAAATTGTGTACATAGAAATTTAGTTTCAACTTGCTGTTAAAATAAGCACACATTTTTTAAACAATTTTTTTAGTCCAGTAAAATGCCACAGAGAAATACAATAAATAGCTGCTGTGTGTTCCCTAAATTTTTACTTCAACGAAGCATTGTGGCAGCCACCACCTTTTTTGTTATTTTGATATTGACATAGCCGTAGCCGATTAAATGTGTAATGCTGTACCTACCCCACCCCATTCTATTCGTTCTAAAGAATGTTATAGGATCATGAAATTTTGAGATTTCTTTTCTGGTGGGTTCCTACTTTCTCCCTATCAATAAACCATCGGCTTTGCTAGCCGGGAGAGAGATTGTTGCTAATTTTACTAGACACGGGACATGTTACCAGGAGGCTTACATAATTGTACCATTTGTGTGTGTGTGTATTTTAATAATTTTATATTTCGAGGATTTGACCTTTTCACTTAGTGTGTTGTATGTTGATATAGTTTTTATTTCTGTATATTTGAATTTGTAATATAATTAAATTAAATATTGTTAGTATTACTAGCTTTGGTATAATTTTTCTTTGTATACTGGTTTTCAGTCATATGTTGCATGTTGTTCAACACATGAGCCAAATCTTAAAACTGATTAAATTTGCAAAGCCACATAACTGTACATACTACTATAAAAACAACTCTACTCTTTAGATGTGCTACAACAGAAAGGTAGACCAAGAGCTCTGACGTTTGAAAAGCACCTTCACAAGCTGCTGGACACTGACCTAAAACAACTTTACACGGCAGTGACACGAGCTCGAGTCAACGTGTGGATTTTTGATGAAGATACAGAGAAACGAGCCCCAATGTTTGAGTATTTCAAAGAACTTCACCTGGTGAAAATTTTAGATGGAGAAGGCACAGACAAAGATAATAAAGGTGTGTTTTTGTGTTTTTTTTTTTCTTTTTTTTTTTGCTGGTTTTTTTTTGCTTTAAAAAAACTATGCTGATATTTTTTAAAAGAGGTTATAAGGTTAGTTTGTTTTTAGGGTCTTGTTCCCTGGGATATTGCTGTGCAAAGTACAACACCAACACTTCAGAACAGTTTATGTTGTCAATTCAAAGGGATTAATGTAAAAATTTTTTAAAAGCTCACTTCCTAAGTCTTCTTGGATTGATTATATTCGTCAAGTTCTTTTCACACGTTGAATGCGTCGCACTATTCCTACTATCACTGAACAAACTCAACTCCTTTTCATAATAATTATAACTTTAATGTGTAAGTAAATATTATACACATAAAACGTGAATATAGTGCAGCTCGCTATCAGACCTAAATAATACACATCCTATCACTCCAAAGTTCCACTCAAGACTGCCGCACGACTAAAACATATGTCAAGATACTGCATAGACAATACGTCACGAATCAGCATAAAAAATACGTAATAGAGACAATGGCGGGAAGAGCGTTCACTAACTATAAGAGTCAAGCGCGGGAAAAGCGTTCAACAACTAATGAACATAATATTCAGTCGCAACAATTACTAATGAACTCCCATACTCGACAACCTTCAATCTTCTAAAGGAGAGTATGAAGAAGTTATCATTAAAATACTCTAGTCAATCTTCTAAGGGAGAGTATGAAGAAGATGCCATTTAAATACTCAAGTCAATCTGCTAAGGGAGAGATGAAGAAGTTGTCATTAAAATACTCAAGTCAATCTTCTAAAGGAGAGTATGAAGTATTTTGTCATTAAAATACTCAAGTCATACTTCTAAAGGAGAGTATGAAGAAGTTTTTATTAAAACACTCAAGTCAATCTGCTAAGGGAGAGTATGAAGAAGTTGCCATTTAAATACCAAGTCAATCTGCTAAGGGGAGAGTATGAAGAAGTTGCCATTAAAATACTCAAGTTAATCTTCCACCTTTGTCTGGTTTACACCAGCTCTCGGTCCAGTCACTTACTGAAGATAACTAAAAATTATAAATTATTTTTGTATCATTTAATAACTGGGAGATAAATCTGTACCAATAGCTAAGAGGGAGAAAAAAAAAAGAAAATTAGTAACAGATAAAAATGCATCAGAATTTTGCTTTTCAAATTTCTATTTAAAAAAAATTTTTAAAAATATTAAAACATGACAATAGAGACCGACCGAATTTCGGCTTCGGCCTCGGTTTTGGCGCCGAAAGTGGCCATTTATCACTTTCGGCCAAGTTTCGTTTTCGTCCGAAACTGAAAGATAACTTTGGTTTTTTTTTCTGTTTCAGCCAAAATTAACTTAGACTTTCGGCCGGACTAATTCTCAGCAAAAGCGATATTTAACAACAACAAACTAAGCGAAATTTAAGAACAAACTAAACGTAAATGTTCTTTAATAACAAATTAAGTGATCTTTAAGAACAAACTAAACGATCTTTAAGAACAAATAAAGTGATCTTTAAAAACAAATAAAGCGATCTTTAAGAACAAATTAAGCGATTTTTTAGAACAAACTAAACTATATTTAACAAAAAACTAAGGGACATTTAAGAACAAAATAAACGATCTTTAAAAAAAACTAAGCGATCTTTAAGAACAATCTAAGTGATCTTTAATTTAAAAAACTAAACAATCTTAAAGAACAAACTAAGCGATTTTTAATAACAAACTAAATGATCTTTAAGAACAAAACATGATCTTTAATAAAAAAACTAAATGATTTATAACAATAAACTAAGCGATCTTTAACAGAAAACTAAATGTTCTTTAGGAACAAACTAAAATATCTTTAAGAACAAACTAATTGATCTTAAGGAACAAAATCAATTATCTATAAGAACAAAGTAAGAGATCTTTAAAAACAATCTAAGCGATCTTTAATAAAAAAAACTAAACGATCTTAAAGAAAAAACTAAGCGATTTTTAAGAACGAACTAAATGATCTTTAAGAACAAAACAAATGATCTTTAATAAGAAACTAAATGATTTATAAGAATAAATTAAGCGATATTTAACAGAAAACTAAATGTTCTTTAGGAACAAACTAAAAGATCTTGAAGAACAAACAAATCGATCTTAAGGAACAAAACAATTATCTATAAGAACAAACTAAGCGATCTTTATGAAAAAACTAAGTGATCTTCAACAACAAAATAAGCTATCTTTAAGAACAAACTAAATGATTTTTAATAACAAAGTAAATGATCTTTAAGAACAAACTAAATGATCTTTAAGAACAACTAAGCAATATTTAAGAACAAAATCAATGATCTTTAAGAACAAACTTATCGACCTTTATGAACAAACTAAACTATCTTTTAATAACACAAACTAAGCAATCTTTCAGAAAAAAACTTTGCAATCTTTTTTGAACAAACTAAATGATCCTTAATAAAAAAATGAAAGATCTTTAAACAAAAACTAAGCGATTTTTAACGACAAACTAAGCGATCTTAAAAAAACAAAATAAATGATTTTTAACAACAAAGTAAGCAATCTTTAAGAACAAATAAAGCGATCATTAACAAAAAACTGAACCATCTTTAACAACAAACTAAGCGATCTTTAAGAACAAACTAAACCATCTTTAACAACAAGATGTTATATTAGATGTTTATTTATTAATATTCATGATTATCTAATTTTTATAAAAAGAATGTAAATATTTATACTTTCTTCCATCATTTTCGATGTATGCAGAATGTAGGTGGGAACGAATTTCAAAATATCTAAATATTTCAGTTTCGGTTTCGGCCGAAAGTCATTTTTAACGTTCGTCCTTTTTTCGGTTTCGGCCGAAAGTCATTTTTAAACTTTTGGTCTATTTTCGGGTTCGGCCGAAATCAGAAAATCACTTTCGGTCGGTCTCTACATGACAAACACACAAATTAAGACTTAAGTTGTGGCATCTATCACATGGTTTGCTATGGATGCTGGTCCTAAGAACTGCAAAGTTGTTTTTTTTCTGTGGTGTACTTAGATTCAGCTGTTTTGTGTAACATTTGGGAACCATAAAAAAATAAACATACAATTTCATCCGATACTTGCAGCCTAAAAATATATTTTCTACTAAATTATAGTAAATTTCCACACCAGATTTTTCTAAATAACAGCTTCTAAAAATGTATGTTTCATTTCAAGGCAAAGGTTTCATGGAGACATCTACCCCAGAGCAGTGGAAACAAGCTGGAGATAAACACATGAACCAGAATCAATATAAATTGGCAGCAAAATGTTACAAGTAAAGCCATTGATAATGCTTAATGTTAAACTCTAAATTAAAATGTTTTAATTTATCATCTCATTCAAGTAAATAAATGTAATACATACAGCTGATCAAATTTACTGCCTATTGCATACAGCTCAGAGTCAGCTCAGAGTATTCAAAATAAATTCCGGTTGAAGTCAATAAAACTTTTAAAAAGTGTCCTTTCAAAATTGTCACAGAAAAGCCAACAAAACACGCCTGGAAAAACTGGCCAAAGCCTTCATAACATCTGAGGACGCTGCCAGGGAGGCTAACACTTCAGTGAAAAAAAGCAAACTATATCTGAAAGCTGGAGCCCAGTTTTTGTACTGTAAGGCCATGGAGCAAGCTGTTAGATGTTTTCAAAATGCACATGAAAATAAATTTGCTGCAATCACTTTAGAAAAATTTGGACGGGTAAAAAAAGTGTTTAATTTTCTTGTATTGGAAATCCCTTATCTTAAGTCTTCCTTATCAACCTATTTTCATATTTTTAACATTTGAAATTCGAAACACTTTATTCTGTATATGTGACAGCTTACTTACGATAATAATAGCAATCATATGATGCACAACCTGATTTTTTAATTAAAAAATGACTTATAAATCGGATATCAAACATAAAATATATTTTTTGTTACTCATTGAAAGCTTGATCATTTAAGATTTTTTTAAATTTCTAGTTCGGCAATATGTCATAGAGAAATAATCTGCTATTGTATATAAACGAAAAACTGCCCACATTTCCATATTTTTAGAATTGGAAATTCAAAACCTTAGAACCAGTTGTATCTCAGAAACAATTAGTAATTTAAATCTTATGTCTTTTCCTCACTAAAACGTAGCCTGGATATTTTTTACTGTTAAAAAAAAAAAAGAAAAAGAGTACTGGCTAAACTAAAAAAATCTACATTGCTATAAAAAGACAGGGTATAGGAAAACACATTTCTATCCTTTCGAAAATGAAAGAGTAGGGACCCATTTTCAACAAGATGATGGTGGGCTTGGTATTTCTAGATGAATCTCATCAATAGACAAGCCATGATAATTAGATATACCAGTTTTTTATAAGATAAATAAGATCACTTTAGGTCATGTCAATAATTCTTACTCAACATACATGATAGAAAGCTGACCAAAGGTGTGAAAATAAAGGATGAAATGTATAACATTAATAGATAGGTGACCCAAGGTCAGAGAGTAAATTATGAAATGTATAAACCTATCTGGACAAAGTTGATTTGATTTTATATATTGTTAATATTTTTTTTTTCAGTTTGAAGAAGCATCAGAGCAATACAAGAAAGTCCCTGATCTTGACAGTGCCACCCACTGCCTTGAGCAGGTTGGCCAGTACAGGCGAGCAATACACCTGAGGGTGGACAACAACCAGTTTTCTGAAGCTGTGGATTGTTTGCACAGATATCAGAACCTTGTCAAGGTAGACACATAATGTTTGATTTTCTAAAACATTTATTTGTGAATTATAATATTGTTTGTCACTCTAGTGATGAAATGAAGGCAGTGTCAGCTCCCTAACCCAGATGTATTCCATTTATATTCATGAAGGGTTGTTTCCAGCCAAGAGTAAATGTTGGGCTGACAGCATTCATAAGTCATTTAAAGTAACTGTTCTTAGGGAACAGTAAACTCTGAGCAAACAACACATCAGCTTTTAGGGGCATAGTTACGACTAGAGCCACCTGGGGCAGGCCAAGATTTTAGCCAACCCACCCCCCCCCCCTCCTTCTCCTATAAAAACCCTTCTGCATTTGGCCATAATGCCAAACTACAATCTAAAGTCAAAAAAGTCCAATCATGATGAATAACAAAGACATCATCTTTTAGGGGCATAGTTACGACTAGAGCCACCTGGGGCAGGCCAAGATTTTAGCCAACCCCCCCCCCCCCCCTCCTTCTCCTATAAAAACCCTTCTGCATTTGGCCATAATGCCAAACTACAATCTAAAGTCAAAAAAGTCCAATCATGATGAATAACAAAGACATCATGCGAAATGTTTCTGGCCTTTGATCTTACATGTTATAGCAGCCATAATGGTTGTGACCTTACATGTTATTATAATATTTAGAATTTTTTAAAAAATTAGTATGTCAGTTAATTACAAAATGCTATTTTCTAAAATAGTGATAAAATTAAATTTCTGCCAACTAATTGTCTTGATTTTTTAAAAAAGACCTTTGAAGTTGAAGGTCAAGCTGTTCCAGACATTCTTGTTGAGAACAAACCAAGAGAAGAATACTCTGAGAACAATTTGTGGCTCAGGTGAGTTGTAGATCAATTTTTTTTATTTTTTTTTTGCCTTTTTTTTTTCTTTCTTAAAATGATCAATGATTTCCAACCCTTGTTGGATAAATTTGAAAATAAAACCTTGCACATTGACTTTAGCCAACTCTGGGACATTAATCATGTGATCTTAAAGTAGTATAAAAATGAAAGAATTCCTAGGGGGCTATTAAAGCCAGTAAACTGTGGCTCATTGTTATGAGTAATGAGTTCATGCAAAGGAAATAATGAGGCATGCATGGGCATCACTACTGAGTATCATAGGAATGGGCTTGGCCAAGGTTCATTATACTTGATTTTTTTTTTATCAACTACTTTCAAGCTGACTTCCAATGGCTTTTCTTTTTCTTTACTTACATTCACTTTGTAAACTGCTCTCAGCCTGACTTTTAATAACTTTTTCCTTTAACTACCTTACAATTCTCCAGGTTGGCTGAGCTTCAACACAGTGAGGGTAAAATGGAAGACTTTCATAAAACGGTTGCCAATGTGACAGATAAGCAGAAAAAAATTCCTCTCCTCAAAAAGTTGGAATTCTGGAAAGAAGCAGCTGAACTGCTGCATGATGATGGTATTGTTACTGTTATATAGGATGTATGATGCTATTGATACAGTTGTATGCTACTGGGGTTACTGTTATATATGATGTATAATGCTATTGTTACTGTTATATAGCATGTATGATGGTATTGTTACTTTCTGTCGCTTGTAAGTTGATCTTATTTTCCCAGGAGCTGAGGAGCAAAGAAAAGAGGCTGTCCATCTCATGATGAGAAGTGGGCAACTGGACACAGCTCTGGTGTATGCCAAAGAAGGATTCTTTAAGCCATTAAGGGCAGCAATCCACATTTCCATGGCAACGGAATGTAATAATGATGTGAGTTTGAGGAATTTTGAAAATGTTCCATTTAAAATCTTCTAATTAGAAAACAAAAAAGAAAATTAATAACAGAATATCACAGCTTTTATTCTTGATACCTCATCAAATGTTGATTGCCCATCCTCACTACATACCACAATCATGTGTTCTCTTTATCTTTAAAACTAAATAAAAATATACCAATAGTTGTTCTACTTTTTTTTGTCACAAATGGCCCCCCAATATTTCAAGGTGGCAAAATATTGCTTACCACAGAAATAAGCAACAAGCCACGCAAGGTAGAGGCCGACCGAATTTGGGTTTTGGCGCCGAAAGTGGCCATTTTATCACTTTCGGCCAAGTTTCCGTTTCGGCCGAAACTGAAAATTTAACTTTCGGCTTAATTTCGGTTTCGGCCGAAAGAGAAAAGTTAACTTTCGGTTTTTCTTCGATTTCGGCTGAAATTGACTTAGACTTTCGGCCGACTCAGTTTTTTGGTCATCTAATACTCAGTGAAAGCGATATTTAACAACAAACTAAGCGACATTTAAGAACAAACTAAACGATCTTTAAAACAAACTAAGCGATCTTTAAGAACATCTAAGCGATATTTAATAACAAACTAAACGACCTTAAAGAACAAACTAAACGATTTTTAAGACCGAACTAAATTATCTTTAAGAACAAAACAAATGATCTTTAATAGTAAACTAAATGATTTATAAGAATAAACTAAGCGATCTTTAACAGAAAACTAAATGCTCTTTAGGAACAAACTAAAAGATGTTTAAGAACAAACTAATTGATCTTAAGGAAAAATCAATTATCTTTAACAACAAACTATGGGATCTTTATGAACCGACTAAGCGATCTTTAACAACAAACTAATCGGTCTTTAACAACAAACTAAGCAATTTTTATGAACTAACTAAACGATCTTTAAGAACAAATAAAGCGATCATTAACAAAAACGGGACGATCTTTAACAACAAACTAAGCGATCTTTAAGAAAAAAACTAAAGGATCTTTAACAACAAACTTGGCGATCTTTATGAATAAACTAACCAATCTTTAAGTAAAATAAAGCGATCATTAACAAAAACTGGACGAACTTTAACAAAAAACTAAGCGATCTTTAAGAACAAACTCACAATCTTTAAGAACAAACTAACCGATCAATAGCAAGCAACTAACGATCTTTAACAAAAAACTAAACCATCTTTAAAAACAAATAAAGTGACCTTTCAGAACCAATTAAGCGATCTTTTAGAACCATATCAGAACAACAATTTTTAGAGACCCGGTTTAAAAAAATCATATTTTTCATTTATTTGGCCCCCCCACCCCCATTTTTTTTGGGCCAAATTTTCTCTTACCATACTAATTTTTTAAAAATTTAAAGCAATTTAAATTACTTTTATATTAAAATGGTAAAATCCAAAGTATTCATTAGATCAAGGGTCTCAAACTCAAATCATCAGGGGGGCCGCAGGAGTTAGTGTCTGAATGAGAGTGGGCCACATCAAGTAATCCACAAAAAAGCGATTACAACTGTTACAATCTGCTCAACCTTTATAAATAACTATAAAATCATTAAGGGTTCTCAAGAACTAGGATTCACTTTCATCCACCTACTCACTGTTGTATACAAAAATATATAAAAACATTTAAAAATAAAAAAAAAAATCAGAATTAGACTAGTCGGTGAGATTCGACTGAAACCGTCGCGGAGAGTCACGTTATAGATATGAGAATGGGGGAAAAGGGCCGGCGCATTTACACTAAACTTTTCTGTCATGTAGCGGGCCGCAAAATATCGTCTTGCGGGTCACAAATGAGTTTGCGGGCCGCGAGTTTGAGACCCCCATATTAGAAGTTTATTTATTAATATTCACGATTATCTCATTTTTTTATAAAAAGAATGTAAATATTTTTACTTTCCCACATCATTTTCGATGTATGCAGAATGTATGCGGGAACGAATTTCAAAATATCTCAATATTTCATTTTCGGTTTCGGCTTTGGCTTCGGTTTCGGCTGAAATTCATTTTTAACTTTCGGCCTTTTTCCGGTTTCGGCCGAAAGTCATTTTTAAACTTTCTGCATTTTTTCAGTTTCGGCCGAAAGTCATTTTAATCTTTCGGCCTATTTTCGGCTTCGGCCGAAATCAGAAAATCACTTTCGGTCGGTCTCTGACGCAAGGGTGTGTTGTCTCTTCTCTCTGCTATACACTATAAAACTAATGGCATAAAGAGCTCATACAATACTATTTAACTCATTTAGTTTGCTTATTAACCACCGTCTTGCCCTAATATTTGAAAGGGAAAGTTTATATTGCAAATTAGTTACAAACTTTATTCTTGTGAGTTATGAAGATTTTCTTAAGTAAAATGTATTTTAAAAAACCAATGAGCACCAAATTTCAGATCTTAAAATAAAGCAAGTCACTAAAAAAAATTAGCTATTTTGCCATGACCACTGAAAAATTCTCTGGGAGAAAGTGAATTAATATTTTATCTTAATAAATTAAATAACTGTGGCAACCACAAAGAAACAAATTTATTTTAAAATATTTTACGGTCCAACAGTTGTAAGGCTTATGAGCTTCAGTGCTACCTGCCTGTTTTGGGAATTCATTGTTTCTCCTAAAAAACACACGTTACATTGATTTATTAAGACTGGATGTAACGTTTTAAAAAAATTAACATACAAAATTATTTGCATTATAAAATAATTAAAGCGGAATGCATTTGTACAACCAGAATATATTAGGAGGATGCATGTCTCACATTACATCCCTCACACTACATCCCTCACACTACATCCCTCACACTACATCCCTCACACTACATCTCTCACATAAAATCAAAGTTGCTTAAAAGATTGTCTCTGTCAGGTCAAACTGTTCTTTCAAAGTAAGGACCAAAAGATATAAAAATTTAATTGTTCCCAATCTGCCAGTGGTGGTTCTCAGGCTGTTTTGAATAATCCTGCTTATTATTGTAATTATGGAAGTGAGCTTTTTTGTGTTTGTAAAAACTAATTTTTTCTGTGGAGATATTTACAAGCCCAAAAATGAATATAAATATTAAGACAAATTTCCATTTTTTTTAAATTAAAAAAAAAGTTTGATCTTAGCTCATAGATATTCTGGGCTTGTCATTTCCTCCCAATATATGCCCTGGGGTGGCATTATTATTGATTGCATTATAATGCCAATAAATATTCTGTTGTGAGCGTTTCTCAATTACATACAACAGGATTTTAATAAAAATTATGTATGTTTTTAGAAACTATTGAAAATGTGTAAAGTATGTTACAAAAGTTCTCAATATAACAGGATATACCTGAAAAACACTGCAATACTCAAACACCTGAACAGCAAAATGTTTGTTTATCTCCAGCTCAAAGTAAAAGAAAATTTCACAGCAGCCCAAGAGATTTATGGTGAACTGGGAGACCGTCACGGTCAAGCTCTTGCAACACTGCTGCTTGGACAACGGACAAAGGATCTGAAACAACTAAGAGAAGGTATATGTTAACTGAAATTGATGTACAATGGAGGAACACTGTCAGCTGATAGTGCACAGATCTTAAACAGAGATGGAAGAAATCAAACTTAATTTCTTCATTACAATTGTTTTAAAACTCCAGGTTTAAAAGACATCTGGCTAAAACAAGGAAAACTATTGAACGGTCATGTCTATTCTTTTTCCAGCTAACAAACTGTTTGATGACCCAGATTCCCCACATTTACCTGGCCAACTGGAAAGCTTTGTTGCAATTGCTGAACTGTTCAGAAACAAATTAATGCTTTTAGATGATTGCAGTGATTTCATTAAAAATATCATTGGCTTAGGACAGAAGGTGAGACCATGGGTTCATTATTGTTACCTGCCTGATCAAAAATATCATTTAAAAAATTGTTTAAAACATTTTAATAACCCATTAAATTTAGTTTAAAATGTCAAACATAAAGTGTTTTATTTAAAATGAAATTTTACACCCCCCCACCCCCCACCCCCTCCATTCCAACGCACGAAAAGATGTGGACATTATTAGTTTGAAATCCATTGGTATTTTAAAAGCAAATTCGAAGTTAAGTTTACCAAGTTTGGGCACAATGCAACAATTTACATAACAGCTTGGATTTTACCTTCAGCCTTCTTGTATAACTTTGGCTATTGTAAGGAAAATACATTTTACAACCTTCTACACACATTTGGAACTTTCTAGACACTTAAAAAATATCTTTAAATTTAATTTAATAACATTTGAGGAAAAATCACAGAAACAAAAGAGACATATCTAAAGGACATTTTTATAATATTAAAAACTTTTTTTTTTTTAATTGAAAGCTCTAGAGTAAGGTATAGTCTAAACTTCAAGACTTTAAAAATTTAATTTTAAAAAAATGAAAAAAATATTAAAACTTATATACTTATTAAATACTAAAACTTATAAAAACAAAATGCCCCAACTCTCAGCGTTTTCCATGAAATTTATTGAACCGTTCTAAAATGTGACTTTTAACGATCAGTAAAATAGGGAACCTAAACAGTCCATTCAAGTGCATTTGTACCCAGTTTGATCTAGCTCTATCTATTCATTTGTAAATTTATTTATGTATTTCATATAAAAAACAAAATCTGGTCCCCCAACTCTGAACAGTTTTTTATTTTAAAAAATTCGAACCCCATCAACATTTTCTTCTGGATAATGAAGAGAAACAACTATGTGGCCCAAGTTTCCATCAATCCATGTAGAAATTTCTGTGATACAACCAGACACATTTTCTCATGAATATATTAGATACATGTTATACCAGAAAGATACATGGATGAACATTTGAAATATTTTTTAGTTATTATTTTTTTTATTTAGAACATTCAACCAATTACAAATCAACCTTTACATGTTGATGAATACCGGTATGCCGTTTTTATAGTATTTCATTGTTCAGTGTCTTGCACCATTTTTAACTGTAACACTCCCATAACATTTTCTGATTACTTAAAATCTAGACAGAAACTTATTGTGTTAAGAATAAGAAGCTTATAAATGAATGTTCAACCAATACATTTTTTAATTAAAAAGATCATTCTACTCTGGACTGAAAATGTTACATGTGTAACACATGATACCTTTGAGACATTGCTATACTCATAAAATGCACCCACCCATTCAGTGACATAATTTTTTTGGAGCTAAATCACAAATTTATTATTTATGCGTACTTCATTTTATTATATTTTTTTTCATCTTTACCAAGTTTATACAAATTTTGTACGGTGGTAAAAACAAACAATGGCAAAACTATGTGGAATTCTATGGCCTGGAGCTCGATGTGACAAGGCAGAAGTTGACATGGTATCCACACCAACATCCATTATACGAGAAAATTCAAAAGCATGATGTTGCTGCCAAGTATTACACAGTGGACGTAATAGAGGTAAGTTCTTTCTTTTCTTACTTCTTTATGCCTTTTTACCCCATGTGGGGCATAGGCCGTCCACAAGAATTTTCTATTTATCACGGTCCTGTGCATTCCTTTCCAGTCGCTTCCAGATTTATCCCATATTTTGCATGTCTGCCTCTAGCTTGCATCTTCTTGTATTCTTAGGCCTTCCTCTCTTTCTTTTTACCTTTGGATTCTATGTTAGGGATTGTCTGGTGGAGCTATTTGGGGTTTTTTGGAGAGTATGCCCTATCCACTTCCATCTTCTCTTTATGATGTCTTCATCAATGGGCACCTGGTAAGTCCTTTCTATCAGATCTTTGTTGGTGATGGTATTTGGCCATTTGATGTTCAGGATCTTTCTCAGGCATGTGTTTATGAAGGTCTGCAATTTTTGCTTACTGCTCGCTGTTGTTTTCCTAGTTTCTGTTCCATATAGTAGAACTGGTTTGACATTTAATTTGTGTTAAAGATTCTGTCTTTGGTTTGCCGCTTCAGCTCCTAGACTCTCATTTTTTTTTAATAGCACAGATGCTGATCTAGCTTTTCCAATTCTAACCCTTACATCCGTGTTGGATCTGCCATTTGTGTAAGTTGTGGAAAAAAAGGGTGAATTAGTTTGTAGAACATGGGTGAGTTGGTGTGTGGATTTTAGTTGAGTTGGTGTGTAGAAAATGGGTGATTTAGTGTGTAGAACATGGGTGAGTTAGTGCATAGAACATGGGTGAGTTGGTGTGTAGAACATGGGTGAGTTGGTGTGTAAAACATGGGCAAGTTGGAGTGTAGAACTTGGATGAGTTGGTGTGTAGAACTTGGATGATTTGGTGTGTAGAACATGCGTGAGTTAGTGTGTAGAGCATGGGTAAGTTGGTGTGTAAAAACATGCATGAGTTAGTGTGTAGAACATGGGAGAGTTAGTGTGTGGCACTGAGGTGAGCTAATATGTCGCACTGAGTTGAATTTGTGTAAAAGGCTTCTAATAGTGGCTTCAACTTTCATGACCTCCTATTATTAAAAAAATATGTTTGATACTTTTACTGATTCACAAAAGCCAGCAACTAAATAAATAAATAGAGAATTATTATAATTATTAAAACCCAAGTTTAAAACAGTTAGTATAGTTTATTAAAATAAACTCATCTCCCTCCCAAAACCCAAAAGATATATGCTACCATGCTTGAACACTCCACTCACCATTTAAACACCCTCATACCTTAGTATTCGACATATTTCTGGACCTTATTTATGAAAACATCATATGATTACCACTCAGAGCTAAATGTTTGCGTTTCATTTATATAGTCAGTGAGAAATATGTCATGCCCCTTCACAGGCTGTCAAAGTGCTAACCAGATATACGCTGGAGAGCATCAAGGAGCTGACAAAAGGTGTTCGAAGAAGTTTACAGCAACTGATTGAGCAGAGAGCACAGAAGATAACCTGTAAAATATTCCATGAAGAGCTCAAATGTGATCAGACATCCTGCAAGAATCAACACAACTATCATTCAAACAAGGACACTGATAGAGCAGCGGTTCTCAATTTGTTGATCTTAAATGTGAGAATTTTTGTAGAATTGATTATATTTTTAGCAAAGATTACTTAGTATCAATTTAAAAACATGGCCCGTATCATATATAAATGGTATATATATCTGTTACAAACCTGTCTCTTCAGATAGATTGATTCTAAATATTTGATTTTACATCATTACACAGTCTCAATAAAACAAATTTACACTATCAGTAAATTAGATAACACTATAATCTGTAACATGCTATCTCATCTCACTGGAATTTTTTACACTTTAGTTATTACATTGGAATACCTAACAGTCTGTAAGCAACTATCTCACTTGATAATATCACACTATAATCTTTCACCAACTATCTCACCAGGTTGAGTTAGACAACAATTTGTTCCAAGCAGCTGACATGCTAGAAAGGTGTGGCATGGCGGAAATGAAGACAATTCTTCTTGAAGAATCCAATTGGAAATCAGTGGAAAGATTGCTAGAGTTTCTAGTTCCTTCTAGACCCTACCCTGATCCTGACATAGAACAAGTCTTGAAGTTTGTTGCAACTATTGGGAACTCAAAGGAAACCCTTGCCCAAGTAGAAAGGTTGAAATTTTAAGCTTAATTAAATAGGTGTTTCAATAATCAAGTCAGCAGATAACTGAGTAATCATCAATCAATTAATATTATTTTAAAAATTAATGTTAAAAGGAGTTAAAATCACCTGGTTTGATGTTTTTTCTGAAAAAAATGTCACCTATCGGCAGTGTGATTGGTCATATTGTAAGCGCTCACTATAAAAACTACATCATTTTTTAACACTCTCCCAGTGAGAGTGTCTGTGTTTCCATAATTCTTCACTTCTACCATGTCAGCAGTGATATAGTTTCACACCATCCTGTAGCAAAATCTTAGCACCAGGCATACTTGCATTGTTATAACAAATAACCAGTTCTAAGAAATGGCTTGCCGTGGAGCAGTGTTTCTTGGAAATCACTGTTTGATGAATCAAATTACTATTTTACTTGATTCAAGCATGGCATTGAAAACATAGCATTGTAAGGAAACTACAAGCAGAACGATGTGGGGGTTACAATGAGAGGTCCAATAGTCATAGGTCAAGGACCGGCTCAGTAATAATTTGGTAATGAAAATGGGTTTATTCATAGGTAAATAGTTTCACAGGTCAAGTATTTCATGTTACAATTTTTCTTGAATACACATCAAAAAGCTTTCTTAGTTAAATATCAATTCAAATACTCATCAAATATTCTGAACCTTTTAACAAATGGCCGACCAAATATCATTAAATAGAGAAACAATTACTGGAGCGTTAAAATGTTGTGTTCTCTCCCCTGTCCTGTATACACTATATACCAAAAAAATCCAGTGCCTAGGCAACACCGTTCCAATCATTACATTTTGCTGATGGTACCATCAGTGTTGGCTTAATATCTGAAGGAGAATTTGATACAGTGACATAGTTAACAATTTTATACTGTGACATAGTTAAAAAGTTGATTCTGTGACATAGTTAAAAATTGATTTTGTGACATAGTTAAAAAAAATTGATCCTGTGACATAGTTAAAAAGTTGATTCTGTGACATAGTTAGAAAGTAGATTCTGTCACATAGTTACAAAGTAGATTCTGTGACATAGTTACAAAGTTGATTCTGTGACATAGTTACAAAGTTGATTCTGTGACATAGTTAAAAAGTAGATTCAGTGACATAGTTAAAAAGTAGATTCTGTGACATAATTACAAAGTTGATTCTGTGACATAGTTAAAAAGTAGATTCTGTCACATAGTTAAAAAGTTGATTCTGTGACATAGTTAAAAAGTTGATTCTGCGACATAGTTGCACGCTTTTTTTTTGTTGGAGATAAAAATCCTCTTCACTTGATTTCTGTTTGGGGGAATCAATCAATTGCAGATCTAACAATATAATACAGTATAGAGCAAGTAGAGAAATAAAATTACCTAGGGTCAACACACACACACAAAAATCTTAACATGGCATGCCCATGACCTAATTCTGTATAAAAAAAGTAAACCAAAGACTTTCCTATCTTAAAAAATTTATACAATTTTGGAGTTAACAAATTGTAAAAATATTCTTCAGTGCAACAATACGAGGACTATTGAACTTCAGCAGTAACTGCTGGTGTGGGAATTCAACTAATACTCTTAAATTGACTTATCAAGAGAGCAAGTGATCTCACACAAACAAAACTACTTTCACTTGAAGAAAATGCATTTGTAAAGCTAAGAAAATTTTGGAGGATACATTACACCCTCTTCATCACAGATTCCTAAGACCAGCTCGATCAGGGAAAATTCTTTCCCTCAAAGTTAGGACCAAAAGATATAAAAATTTAGTTTTTTCCCCACTTTTTCAGTATTTACCAGCGTTATCCCCCATCGATTACAAAATCTGGATAATTACTCTTAAATTCTATTTAGTTACCAAGGGAAAAAAATTTGGGGTATATAGGACAGCAAATTTTTGCCCTTGAGAAATACTTTAGATGTCTTGTGTTAGTCTAGTTTTAAATCTTGTATCTGTAAAAAATATGTGCTTAAAATAAATTAAATTTGCACAATTTAATCAAAAAACAATTTCATTTGTTTGGATCATTAAAAGAATGTTATCATATCAACTTTGATCAATACAGATATGCACAATTTAGGGCGATATTCAATCAATTTTTTAAAGCTAAAATCAAAATAGTGAAAACAATTGCAATGTACATATAATTTTAAAGTCTAAAGTTTAAAAACCGCTGAAAGTAATTTTTATTATGCTACTCTGAAAGCATTTTCATGGATGGAATTATTTTTTTTATATTTTTTGATAAGTCTATCCAAAGATTCTGCTAATACTAATTAAATTATCAGAATTAAAATTTAAAATTAATTTTCGTATTGATGTTGATAAAGAACTTGTTATGAGGCTATTTGATAATCACTTTTTGTACTAACTAAAATTTTGAATTTTCCTTATATCTTTTCATTGATTTTTGTTCAGATATTTTCGGTTTCGGTGGGTAGATGTAAACACTCACATAGAGCCAATGGTAATGGTGAGGTCAACATGCTGGGTAACTAAAGCAGTGTTTTGGTCATCTTTGCTACAATTGAAGATAGATGTACAGAAAGAAGTTATACGATTTGAGGTAAGCCTTCACAGGTGAAGTATTTATGCTAAATTTTCAAAAAATAATGACAGCATTGGAAAAAGAAAACAGTAGGCAGTGTAATAGAAGCCCGACCCAGCAGGCAGCTCCCAGAGAAAGGGCCAACATACAGACACAGACAGCTCCCAAAGAAATGGCCAACATACAGAAGTCAGACAGCTCCCAGAGACAAGATCAACATACACAAATCAGACAGCTCCCAGAGAGAAGGCTAACATACACAAGTCAGACAGCTCCAAGAGACAAGTCCAACATACACAAATCAGACAGCACCCAGAGACAAGACCAACATACAAATCAGACAGCTCCCAGAGACAAGACCAACATACACAAATCAGACAGCTCCCAGAGACAAGACCAACATACACAAATCAGACAGCTCCCAGAGACAAGACCAACATACACAAATCAGACAGCTCCCAGAGACAAGATCAACATATACAAGTTAGACAGCTCCCGGAGAAATGGAAGATCAACAAAAGTAGACTTTTCCTCCCTTCTGCTACATCAAGCACATGAGGCCTTTACAAATGATGAACTTAAATACACAAGACCTTCCTGTTAAAAACCCATGTCACTAGACAGAACTGAATAGAATAAAAAAATTTACACTGGTCCTGAAATCTAAACCAGTTATCATGTTAGTAAAAGATGTATATGGACAAAGAAATATTTTTAAGTCTAAGATGAATAACAAAAACTTATTAAAAAATATTTGCCTGGCATTGTAACCTGTCAATTAATTGATAATTCATTTGTAGACTAAAATCATTGAGCGAACTTTAAAGAAGATTATAAAACTTGTCCCAAATTCATTTTGTACTGAAACAAATAATTTTATGATTTTCAGAGTCAAATAAGTCAGAAATTGACCAATAGAAGTCCTGAAAACTTATCATCTCTGGGACTGTATCTGTCAGAAGCTGAACCAGGAGGTCAACAACAGATGCACTTTGCTGGCTCATTGTTTATGCAATCATTCAACGAGATCAGCTGCTCAGGGGACATGCACAAGTCAACCAACCTTTTTATAGAGATGATGAACCTTATTGGTCAGTGTGGTCAGGGAACAAGGCTGCCATCTTCAGACTTGGAGTACATCATTTTCTGGATGGAATTTCATTTTTGTGTGTCCATCTTTACCTTGGCCAATGTAAGTTTTTAAGAATTTACATTTATCTTCTCCTATTAGTGAACCATCAGTTCTTTTAATTTTTTAATTCTCTAACCCAAATCTGATTTTATGTAAATTTCCTCTTTCTTCTTACAATAAATAAGATTAATTTTTTATATAAATTGTGAGATTTTTTATATACATCCCAACTTGTACTGACAACTATATAATGTACATTACCTTTCATATTTTTACTTCTAATGTACCAGCATTGTGACAGTTTTAAGAGTAATATGGTGACAGTGATTGTTCACCTGAGTTGAAGAAACCTAAAACTTTCTGTCCCTATTGATTATACACAGCTGATTTCATTATTTTATAGATCAACATTATTTCTTTAAAATGTAACTTGGAATTTTAATGAATAACACCTTTCTGAGTTTTTCCCATCTAATATTTTTTAAAATTTTGTTATATCAGTTACATAGGAAGCAGGCTTTCTACTTGCCCAATTCTTTGTTGACTCGGGTCAATCTGATCAACACCTGTAAAAAACAAATGGATTCAAAACATTCAGACAAAACAGTGCTGCAGGCTGTTTTAGAGCAACAGCTTTATTCTGATAATGCCATTATGGAGACACTAAATGATCTGATCAACATTTTACTTGGCACTGAGGAAAGGTAAATAAAACATTTCTCTCACACCAACAGCTAGTTTCTTTGGGTGTCAGGCGCAGCCGCGCAGCATCTCACAGACGCCGCGCAGCAGTTTTGAGTACCGGCAGCTAATTTCCACTTAAGTTTGTGTTTGTGTCTGAAGGCTGTAAAATTTTGCACACAACTTTATGATTTTGCACACAAACCAACAAACCTTAGAGGGAACATTGGTGTCAGGATAATTTGGTCCCCGCACCATGTTGGTTACTTGCCTTTCAGCTTTGGTGGTTGGTGTTTTCACCTCCTCCCCAAGAGTAACTAGCCTGCCGGGCTGGCTGACATGTCCATCTCGCCTTGATGTCTGCTAATAGCTGGGAGTAGAGCAAAGTAACTGTAAAGCCATGGCTGTGTCTCATACACTAATCACACATTTGTGACCTCCCCCTTTCCCCTCTAGATGGATGATGCCATTTATAGATGTACCCTTAATCCAAGGGTTAACAAATAAAATCAAAATATATTTTAAACTTTGACATATACTATTTATGAAATTAAATCATTTATCGACCAATCTACATAGCATATTTCAGTTTTGTATTTAACATTTTCAGCAGTTTCAGTTTGTTTCGATATGTCAAAGGCCTGTGTAAAGGAAACAGTGCTGAGAACCTCCTTGCTGAAAGAATCCTTATCTTAACTCTGGTGACACTACTGAACATCCCAAACCACTATGTCAATGAGAAATTTGAAGTTTGTATCAGGAAAAAATTATTCCAGGTATGAGTTCATTGTTTTTATGATGAAAATATAAAATAGTTCTTCTGTTATGCCTTAATTACTTAATTACTTCTTGGCCCCAAGGTGGCAGGACAAAGTCCCAAATACAGTGGTCCTACAATGGGTTAATTTGATCAGCATCCAGACGCTCCTACAAAAGGGGCAAGCCAGATGGGCAGGGCATGTTTCAAAAATGCCAGACAGCAGACTTCCCAAAAGAGTAATGTTTGGTGAAGTCTACAGTGGGAAAAACTCAGCAGGTGGGCTGAAAAAACGCTTTCAAAGACTGTCTTAATGCTTCAGCCAAATCCATGGACATTTACTCAAATCCATGGACATTGACCTTGATTCATGGGAAATACTTGCTATGGATCATACAAGATGGTTTGGCAAACTCACAGTTGGAGCACAATCCTCGGAGAATAAATGCACTGCTCATGCCGAAAGTAAGCGCACTGCAAGGAAAAGCAGAATGGACTCAAATCATACTAGGTCCCAAAACAACATGTCCCACATGCAGAAAATCATTCCAGGCACAAATGGAACTGGCAGGTCAACTGTGTACTCACTGTGGAATATAGCCTTGGTCATCTTCACTTGCATAGTACAACAACAATTACTTGTAAATTTGATATTTAAGTTTTAGATTCATGTGTTTAAAAATCACATTTTTTTAGCAATATTTCCTATTGTTAATTTCAGCTGGATTTTAAATTAGTATCTCAACGAGTTCTACAAAATCTCATTCGTGAGGCCAAGAAAAGTAAAAGTTACAGTGACATAGCCAGAAACCTGCAGCAGTTCTTCCACATTCAGAAACACAATGACCTCAGGTATTGTATTTGGCATGGCAAGGGGAACAACCCGCTGGGGTTAAAGCAACTTGACCTCTCAAGGTTTTCTAAAATATCTTTCTACAATCATGATATAGCACAGAGGGGGAAGGAGGAAAAGGTAAGACACTAACAGTTGCTGTTATTTTCTGTTATATTTATTTCACAACTTGTTCCTTACTCAATATATACATGAATATAAAGTCCAGTGCAGGCTTATCAGAATTCGTGGTTGTAATGGTGATAATTAGCTTGTTAATGTGAATTTTTCTTGGTACATTGCTGTCTTCAAGGAGGGTTTTGAGTGTGGCCATTTTATCACTCGGTGGTTCAATTCAGTAACCACATCAGTCATAGTTGCAGTTCAGTAGTCACACACATTAATTGAGGTAAATGAATAATTATGAAAATTAGATTCTAACTTTTATTTATAATGATGCTCCATTTATTCTTTAAAAAAAGAAAAACTCATTCTTGTCTTTTATTTAAGCATAACATAAAAATAATAGCTGAATTAACTATGCTTATATTAAATTTATGGGAGAAAATTCCGCTGTAGCATAGCAAGTGGGGGGAGGGGGTGCACCGTGGTGGCATCCGCTCCCACCCCCACCCTAAAACTGAGACCAATTTTGCAAAAGTCATGCCTTTTTAACAAGTGAAACCTTTTATTAACTTTTTATAAATTAAAAAAAAAAAATTAAACAAACTTTTGATTGATTAAGAAAAAAAAAGTTTTTTCATGGATGTAATTCCTGGGAAACAAAATACTTAAGATGACTTCCAACAACATTAGCAATATCCAACATGTCTCCACTACTGGCCTTGCCCCATCCTTAATTGTAGCTCTGATTAAAAAATATGGCGTAGATAAGAAATAAATGTGCTATACTGGAGGGTTTCAATTATGTTCAACCTGGAAGCAGTTTTCTCCAGGTATTTTGAGTCAATACCCGTCGGGTCTGAGTCCGGGTGTTATAAAAAGAGTTATCTTCTTTTTTTCTGTACTGGGTATGTATCACCCATTGACGTTAAGTGAAATGTGCAAGTATTGAAACAGGAGCGATCGCGGGGCATCATGTTTGAAGGACTCAATACACTAATAGCTTAATAATTTAATGCTTACCCAGTGGATTTAAACCTTTTTAAGTGCCGCAACCCCTTTATCGCCAAATTGTTATCATCCAAAAACAGAATTATACCTTTAAATTGAAAATGGTCTTGTAAAAAAAAGGGGGTGGGGCAGAGCATTTTTGTAGTTAAAATGGCTTCGATGCTGTGACTTTAATTGAGGTTGGAGGGTTCTGTAGAGGGGGCTCTGTAAGTCAATCCCCAGAGAAGTATTGGTCAATTCACACACCTGATTTTAGTTTTGGGTGAAAGCTGTCAACTTTTAAGTTTAAGCACACAAAAAGGAAACAAGATACAAAAAAAAATTATTCATATCATTTTAGTTTTAAAACATGAAGAAAAAAAGCTGCCAAAATATTTGTATTAAATTAGCTGCTGACATCTACCTAAGTCTAAGTACATCTTAGTTTTATTTTTTGTTAATGAGCAGTGGTGTGGTCAGAGTGTCGTAACAATTAGTAGCTGTTATGCTCACTGTTAATATTATTTAAATTTTAAAATTAAAATTCGAATAAGACAAAAATGCATTTTAGACACAAGAACCCCATTTCAAATTAGAGAAATTCACAATCGATCTTTGCAGTTTCATTTAGTTTACATTTGGTTTTACACCAATTGCTAGTTAGTTTATATTATTATTAATTTAATTCGGTTAAACTATACAAACAATTATGTTAAAAAAAGAAAAGATGCACGCACCCTTCATTTCTCATGGAACACATTATAGAAAATGACAAGACAACTCTTTCCTTAAACACCCTGACCCGGTTCCGTTTTCACTCTTCCGGGGATGTGCTGGGTGTGTTAATACTCGGCATTTCCGAGTATCCTTGTCAGTAACCGGTTCAGACGTAATTTCAATCTTATGAAAATAAACTATCCGGTTTACCATTCAATGATTGTGTGACAGTAATGCTGAGATCCAATGAGGGTCCTTGTTTAAGGTGGAGGAATGATAGGATATCCTTTTTTTTAAAACTGTTTTTTATAATTTTAATGAAGTATTTTAAACTTAAACTAATTAAAAAGTTAAAATAAAAATGATTCAACAGCATTTATGTTTTCTCTAATACCAAAAATTCAGGATTTATATAATTATTCCGTTCAGGGAACCTAAATTTCCATAAGCTGTTGCTCTCCGATTAAAAGTATAGCAATAAAAAAATCTAAATTCCAGTATGCGCAGAAACATACCTGAATTTTGAATTTATGAAAACTTTTCTAGAGTAGGGGTCTTTTCGCCACATTTTTGGCCCCCTCCTCGATTAAGTTTTCAGTGTAGGCAACTTTTTTGGCGCCACGACTTGTCTGGGGACTCTGTTCCCTATACCTACGCCCCACTCGTAACTAAGCCTCTGTTTGTGTGGGCCTTTTTAAACGAATATAATTTTCGCTCCCCCTAGCGGCAAAACCTGGCTACGCCTGTTATCTCTGAAATATTTTCTTTACCTTTTCATTGCCAAAATTATCTTCTCTCAAAATTGAATGTATGGTTTATAACTGATAATTAAATACTCGTTGATACTCGTTAATATTTGTTGATATGTTAATTGTTATGATGTAAAGTTATCCCAAATTGAGTCTCTATCCACTATAGTATTATGCCATCAATATTGTTAGATTTTAAAAATTGGTTATGTTTATGATATGTAGTATGTAGGCCTATGCTGGGTTCAACTTCTGTGATATGTTTGCTGCACTCAAACACTTGATTTATGTAGTTGACTTTTTCCATAGTTGAATTTCCCCTTAGTTGTTTGATTTAAGTTTTGACATTATATTATCAATCCCCAGCAACATGGAGCTCCACAGCAAAAACCCATGCAGCAACCTGACGCTCCACAGCAACAACCCATGCAGCAACATGGAGCTCCACAGCAACAACCCATGCAGCAACATGGAGCTCCACAGCAACAACCCATGCAGCAACATGGAGCTCCACAGCATTAACCCAATCAATAACAATCCACGCAATAACAGCAACCAACACAAACTTCCTACTCTCAACCCAGTGAAATTAGAGTCAACCCCCAAACTGGCCAGCCCAGACAACAGCGACTAATGGAAGGATGCAATGGCAGCTGGTGTTCATTTTAAAACGTTAGTTGATGGGTTTTGTTGCACAGGAAGTTAGCCAGACCAAATTTAAATGATATTGAAATTTGTAAAGAACATAAAAAAAAGCACATGGCATTGTAAGCAAAATCATAAATGAAACAACTGAAGATTTCATAAAATGTATAAATAGGGCTTATTTTACTGTTACTTTTACAAAATGTCTCAAAAAAATTTTCTTTAAAACTTTATTTTTTTTTACTTTTTATTCCTGTAATAATAATTCTGCATATTTTTTGAAGGTAAAGCTGCTTGTGATGTGGGTTTGAAATAAAATATTTTTTTCCTGTGTATATATATTCACTTGTGATAATTTTAATGATAAACTGTTATATAATAACATATTGTCTTTTTTTAAACACATAAATATATGCATATTATATTTTATGGATTTTTACTTTGTATGAAATTTGTGTTTATCAAGAAATGAACACAGACTAATTCCAGCTTAATGCTTTCTTATAGCCATCTGGTATGTTTTAATGTAGATGGATATAATTTATATTTCAATGCACATGGTCATAGGAAATATTTTAATGTAGATGGCCATATTTTATTTTCAATGTACATTGTCATAAGAAATATTTTAATTTAGTTGGCCATATTTTATATTTCAATGTACATGGTCTTAAATAAGAAATATAAATGTTGATGGCCATGTCATGTTTTGATTAACTTAGCCATCTGTCATATTGAATAAGTTTCATAACTTAAATCGTATGTCCATAAATAGATGTAGTCATTAATTTTCATTGTTGTTAACAGATGTAGCCTACTTATGAGTGCCTAAAGCTCTTTTTGATTTTGTGAGAAATTTATTTTAACTCTATCTGCCATGTTTTATTCAGTTTTCCAACTACAAACCAGATGACAGTATTACATTATCATGTAATTTATTTTAATAGAGAAATATTTTTTCTAAGAAATGAAAAGATCTCGTGATAACATCTTGTAATCACTGATAAAATGGCATTGTTATTAGTAGTGGTTCATTTTGTTTTAAACTTAATAAAATACCATTATTAGTAGTCCGGTCAATTTATTTGACTTTTACCATTATGTATAAACAGGGTTGTCTGGTCAATTTGTTTGACTTATACCACTATGTATAGACAGCGTTGTCTGGTCAATTTGTTTGACTTATAGGCCTACCGCTATGTATAGACAGGGTTGTCTGGTCTTACATTTCTCCTGTCAACCTTACATTTCATGATGGTATTTAAAATAGCACAAATATAATTTATATAATCTATGTTTTTATGGACATTGTTGTTAATAAACTTGCTTCACTAGTTATAGTCCATTTTCTTTTACCTCATTATTGCAACATATCTAACAAAACCCATACTTGTCTTTCTTTTCGGAACACTCAGCACCGGCTGGGATACCAACCTTTTTTTGCCTCAAGTTCCAAGATTATTAAAAAAAAATTTGGCGTAATAAAAAAAAAAAATAAAAGTGGTAATGAAACAAAGTGTTGAGGATAGTAAGTTCAACGACTTTTGTAAAGGATTTTATGTAACTAAAATAAGTGCTTTCCAGGGCATCACCGAAAATGCGGTAAGGGGAAAAAAATTACAGAATATCGTGTGTTTGTGAAAGTTTTGTTGAATTATCGCATCCACACATCAACAGAAATGGACTCTCTGATTCTCGTAGCGTCGCAAAAATTTGGAAAGTGATTCCGATCAACAGTCAAGATCCAGGGTGGGGGAATGGGTGTAAGGGAGCAGAAATCAAGGGCTCCCAATCAAAAGAAGGGGAGTCGCCTGGAGAGCGGTGAGCCCTCCATGATTATGTAAAATAAATAAATTATATTATAAAAATATAAGATGTTTGACAGGTGAACGTGGTAGTGCTTGGAAATGGTGTTTTGCTGGCACTTTTTCCATAACAGATTTACACAATTTAGATGCTGACGAGATAAACTTATAAATTATATACATCAAAATATTTCAACAATTTTTTTTTATTTTACTTTTGGACCAAAAACTTCAAGAAATAAAATTTTAATATAAACTGATAGTTTCTTATTTACAAAAGAAGATAAATTATAAATTTTATTTGGAGAGTTTCTTAAACTTAAATGTTTTGCACTCTTTGCAGCAATTTCATTTTGTTTAGTTATATTAACTGCTTTTTTAATGGAAGCAATGCCCAAAAACTGCTGGCTGAGCGAATCCTTGTTTTAACCCTCATAGCATTGCTGAACATTCCAAACCAGTATGTCGAAGCTAAATTTGAAGTCTACATCAGGAAGTGTCTCCTCAAGGTGTGAATTAAACATCTCTTTCAGTTTCAATACCATATTTAAAAATGATTTATTTTAGCATAAATGGCAATTTCAATGGGTTTTTTTTTTGTTGAGGCTTTAGTGTAAGTGTAAGGAATTTATCTTCCATTGTTGACAAGCAGCCAAAAAGTGGCAAATTTTATATTTGCACAGTTTAAATTTGAACTAGTAAAATCGGCACATGTTTCAACTTGTAGAGCAGCATACGTTTCAGGTAGCAAAGCAGTATAGGTTTCAATTTGTGATTTCAACCAGTAAAATATGGCTTTTGCCAGTGGTGGTAAGCCTTTGGCAGACAGAGACCTCTCTTTTGACAGGCAAGTTCTTTTTTTCTTAACAAGAACCTCAGTATTCAGATTTAATGGGAGTCTTGGCACTTTGTGATAAATAATTGAGTTTTTGATTTCAGTTTGGGAATTCTGTCTTTATAAAGGTTTGCTATCACTGGCCAGTGTTAAACAATAACTTAACTTTGTTTTATGCAAGCTATTTTATCTTTTTAATGCCTCTATCCAAGTGTTACACCTTATAAGTATTATTTGCAATGCTATAATCCTAATATTTTACATATAATCCTATTTTAAAAATCAGCTTGTTGGTAATTTCCCATTGTGGATTTTAGCTGGATTATAAAGCAGTGCCCAAACGACTAAAAACACTTGTTGATGAAGTCAAGAAAGGTAAAAAGTACCCTGACATAGCAAGAAGTGGGGCACAGTACTTCAGTATTCAAAATCACAATGAACTTATGTTTTGTAAATGGCAGAGTCATTCAAACTACCTTCTGGTGTATACAGAACTTAATATTTCAAACTTTCCCAACATACTATTCTATGATACTGATAGACCAGATGTGATGGATGTCAAGGTAAGACAAAAAATGAAATGAGTGTAAATTAACTCCATTGAATTTTATGTTCAAGATTCTATATTTGATAAAATAAATATATATTTTATTAAAAAGTACTATCTATAGTATATTAAATATTTTTTCACATCTAGTTCCTTCCATTTAAAAAAAAAAAGTTTAAAACAATTTAATACCGGGTATTTTTTTTTAAAAATGGGAAGAGTTTAAAAATTAGGATAATTTTTTAAATTTTATTTTCTAAAGAAATTCCACATTGATGAAATACATGAATCACCCACAGACAGTACCAGCCATTAAGAGCTGGCTCACAAGTCGTGAGAATCTTTTATTTAAAAAAATGTATTAAATTTATTTATTAATTATTTCATGGGGTATCTGTTGAATTAAAATACAAAAAATATTGTGAGTACTTAAGTATGCTGAAGTTTTTTTTTTATTTTATCAACAAATTTCTTACCTTGTTTCATCAATATGCCTTCTTCAAAGTTCTTCAGTAGGCACAAACAGCGTATGCCTATTGAATTGATGATACTGATAATGAAAAATAATGCCCACTTACCAACTGTGACTGATTTAAACCAATATGCAACAAAATCATTGGGCATACTATGCAAAATTAATGATGAACTGTCTTCTTTCATACATTTTAACACTATTTTAAGTACATCATTGTTTTTTTTTTGTTTTTTACTACATATGTATTTATAATATTTTTATTATTACTACTGATTATGCCTATTAGTTGTAAACAGTATTTCAAAATTTGGGTCACCATTTAAAAATATAAATCTGTTCTTGTTTGAATCCCAGTTGACAATATGCTAAAAATCTAGCTATTCTTAACTTTCGAGCTTGTGTCAGTGCCACAGTTAAACGATGGCAAGAATTACTATGCCTGTGCTTAATTATTTAAATTATTATCATTTTCAGGACTCTGAACATCTCTAAGTAATAATTTAAAAAGAAGTGCAAAAATATAACACAAAACAGAAGGACCAACAATTTATTTTTGTCACATCGAACATTAGGCATTGTTTTTTTTTGTGTTTTTTTGCTGTGGTTGTGGTTGTGGTTGCACAGAAAATAAAATAAATGTATTGATTGATTGATTGATTTTGATAGTTATATCGCACTGGCATCCATGCCACTTTACCATGCTCACTGCGCTCTGGTTTTCTGAAATCTATTTAAACAAAAAAGTTTTTAAATGTTTCTTAAATGATTTTTTAGCATTTACAATTCCCCTCAATGTACCTTCTTTTAGAAATATTATTTTGATTTTAATCACAACACAAGCCATTACTTAATCAAATCCATTGAATATTTAACTTTTTTGTTTAAATTTGTTACATCTTGCATCCAGTCAGCAAAAACAAATGTTAAAAAGTTTGTCTACTATTTACTCTATCTTTTCTTTACCTACTTTCTACACCAATTCGTCTTGACATAAACTACATGAGTGTTTTCCAACCTTTCATATCCTCTGCAACTCTCTATAAATTATTGACAAGTCTGGCACCTCCTACAAAAGTACTGTTAACACTGCATCTTAAAATTTTAAAATAATGGACTTCTAACTTATTTATTGAATGGCTCAGAGAGCTGTAGAGTTTAGAAAAGGAACCTGTAACTTATTACATTAAGGTAAATCTCAATGAAGAAATGTTTTAAAAAATACATAAAAATATACATGTCACAGCAAAAGTCTTCTGTTTTTATAATCTCTTTTCCTTGCACCCCCTAAAAGTCAACCTTGTAAGCACCACAGGTTGGGAAACCCTGCTCAACACAGTACCTTGTTCTCACACACTCCTACACTTACTTATTTTCTCATAGTTTTTAAAAAAAATAATTTGAATGCTTTTCAGCATTCAAGTTCTATCCTTGCATACTGTTACAGGTTAATATACTTACCTTTTCATACAATAATGTTACAGCCCTCTTTATGGTTATCAAGAAATTGGCATCTAAAAATAATTATTTTATCATCAGTCATGTTTTAATGTAAATGGTCATTTGACACATTTTTAACCAACATTCCCATGAAAGGCATGTTTAAATGTACATAGCCCTTAGTTTTCTACACATAATTCTTGATTCCCATAATTAGGCCTATGTCATTGCAATTGCTGTTGCAAGATGTTGTTTACCTTAATGAGTGCCTAAAGCTATGGTATATTATATTTTGCGAGAGATATATTTACTCTATTTGCAATGTTTTCTTAATTTTCTCCACCTAAAAATCAGAAGACTATCGCTATATGTACCGCAGTTTAAAAGAGCAATACTTTTTTATGCATTGAAAGGATCTCATGATAATATCTTGTAATCACTGATGAAATGGCATTGATAATCAGATCAATTGTAATTGACTTATTACGCTTACGAACTGGTAACATTGATAGTTATTTGGGGTATTTAAATGGCTTAAATATGAATTATATTTTCTGATGTTATGATTTTCTCAAACAAACACAACTGGCAACACTAGTTTAAATTTAAGCAAGCTCGCTCAAAAAAAAACGTTAATTTTTAAAATGAAAATTGCAAGTTATGTGAATATGTTATGTGTTATACACTTGAATAAATATTTTTAAAATACCTATATATTTCTATTATAGTTATACCTGGTATATCAAACAATTTTTAAATATACAACATGATTGATAGGTGAATGACTTTTTAAAATATTGTTTTGCTGTGATAATTTCCTTCAAATATTTTTTTAAATTTATCTGATGTACATTTTAACAATATTTTTGGGGCCAAAAACTTCAAGAAATAAAAATTTGTATACCAAAATGTAATTTGTTTGTTGTAATTGTGACAAGCCATTGTTATTAGTTATTTTAAATAAGAATATATTTATGATCTAGTCCTGGCCAATTAACATTTTCCAGAAAAGCTTTGTTAAATTTTTTTTTTTCTTTCTTTGCTTAAAAATGATAAGTGGCTTATTTTGGAGGATCTCAGAATTATTAAGAGTGTGCTAAGCCATTAAATCACCATATAAAACTATATGAAATGCAATTCCAAAAAGCTAATTAAATGCAACACTTTCGCCGCATATAATATAATGCAACTAGTTTGCTGGTCCCATGTTTCCACAAAGAAGTAGGCCTACTAAACTTTCCATTCTTTATTGAAAACACGACACATGGCGTCCACTTTTCTTTGCTTATTTTACTTAGTAGCCACAATGTGGGGTGAAGTAAAGGGGATATATGGATGACTTTGTACCGCGCTTTGAGCCTTAATTAGGGATGAAGCGTATTTTTAAAATGAACTTTATTATTATTATTATTTTGGATTGGGAAAATGAAAGTAAAACACAATATTAAGGCACTTTCCCTTCATTTGAATATTTAAAATTGATAACTGACATATTTTATTTTCAGATTCGTTATTAATTTTCAATGTTTTTCCAGGAATAAGTTCGTTTTGCTTTACCATACTTCCGTCGTCAGCAGGGAGCGGTTGCCATAACGTTAATTTCGTCAGTTATTTCCCGCCACCACCCACCTTATAGACACAGTCCACTCAGACCTTCCCTGTTAAATGAAAGGTTTAAAAAAAAACATTTTTCTCCGCACACACAATCACCCGCAACTTCATCAAGCTGTACGACATACAGCTACAATTTGTGAACCGTTTTAGATGGCCTCTGATCAGCTGTGTTATCGGGAATTTCCTTTTATGTCATCACATCGGATAAGGAAAATGAAAGCAAAACAAAAAATTAAGGCAACTCCCCTGTATTGAAGTATATCCAGAGCTAGGTTTGATGTCAAAATTTATCACATACGTTTAGTTGCATTTTAATATTACAGTACAGTATAACTATAATTTATAATAAAAATCACTTGGCAACAGCTTCAACTTCAACGATTTGAATATGTGGAACAGATTCCTCAAATTTCAAGAGGGCTATCCGGCCTATCCTGCAAGGTGGGTTTTAAACTACTAATACTTTTAAAGTAAAAGTTTAAAAGTTTACTAAATTTAAATTGGACCTTGGTGAAAGTTTAACTTTTTTTATTTTTTCATTGTTGGTTATTTTGTTTATATATTAATAATATATAATAATAATATAATTATATTAATTTTAATATCAATACTTAAACTTAATATTAATAAGTAAGTATAAGTGTAAAGAATGTCTACTTTACTTTATTTTATTTAATTTATTTCATTCTGAAATGTTTGAAAATAAAAAATAAAAGACACCAAACTACTAATTACTACTACCGGTATTACATTTATTTATAATTAATATTAACGATTTCAAATGTGCCCCTTTTGAAATAATTATACTATTAAATCATAATAAGTATTAACTTTGCGATTCTGTTAATAACCATGATGTCCTGCCACAGGTTGTATGCTGACTTATGCCGTTTTGAGACTAATGAGGAGCTGTGGCCTAGGCGTAGGATATTCGAGAGTCAGTTTATCCCTTTTATTTGAATTAGTGATTGCTAAACAAATGTAGTAAGGATGGAATAAGAGGAAGCTGTCTATCAGTTTCATGTAGGATTAGCTTATTTTTAAATTGACTCTTGAACAACTTTATTATATAAAAAAAGAATATATTTATATTATATGTTGTTTTTTAGATATAATTTATTATGAAGCAATCTATCTTGTGTCTTTTAACACTATGAATATGTAGAATAATATAAATTATTGCTTTTTTATTTTAATTTAACCATTGACAGGGGATGATTCTACGACACTTGAAAAGTTAGCAGACTTAGAAAGAAATGGCAACCATTGCTTCAGCGAGGAAGATTACCATGGTGCCATAAAGGTGTACTCAAAGGGAATTCAGATGCTTGAAATTGCTCGGTCAAAAAATGAAGGTGAGATGTGGGAACTTCACTTTTTAAATCTTAGTGTCAGTTGCTAGTTGTCAATGACAGCTGCTAGAGGACAACAGCTACCGGTAGACATAGACAGGTAGTCGTGAATGACAAATGCAAGATTTATAAGTGGACAATTACAGGTACTAATGGATGACATAAGATGACAATTGCAGCTACTATTGCGGCAATGCCTCCCCACCCACCCCTCTTCCCGGGGAAAGTCAAGTACCTTTAACCAATTACAATTAGTGAAATCTATGAAATATCGCTACATTCGATATATTTGATGATCCGTATATTTAAGGCTAATCTTGTAAAAGGCTTACAGTATTCGATTATAAATATATAGCTCATATAGGAAAAAAAAACATTTTGGGCCCCCGGCCCCAAACAGAATGTTATAAATAGTTCATAACCCCTTAAGAGTTCCTTCCAGATAATGATGGATATATTTGCCAAGTTTTGTCAAGATCCATCGATCCGTGTAAAAGCCTTTTTGGAACAAACACTACAGACAGACACACAGACCCACAAATTTTCACATTTATATATTTATATGATGATATTAAAAAAAAGCACGATTTGTATACGCCCTCAATTACTGCCCCACATCCCGATGAAAATGATCGCTAATTTTGGTGACGATAGATACACTGCCTAGTTCCATCATGCCTAGTATTAGTGCCATCATGGGCGGCCAAATACTTTTGCCGCTCTTCCTTTCACGATACAAACTCCGCTTTGTCCAAATATGCTGCACATCTATTTTAAAAAAGTGACACCCGAGTGAACAACCTCATGCTCCCCCTTTCTACGCCATTGGCAGGGGCATAACTAGAGTGTTTTGCGTCAGGGGACATGATTCATCATACACCCCCAACCCCTTCAACTCTGAAACTAATTATTTTCATCCATTAAATATCATCAAAGCCCATTTTGTTGCCCCCGCTAGTCTGCACCCAGGGGACGTATGTCCTATCTCCCAACCCTTAGCTACACCTCTGCCACTCCCCCCACCCCCCTCCCCCTTTAAGTGGCAACAGCAATGTTTGAACTTCCCATCTAATAAAGTTGCTTGATAAAACATGAACTCGGGTAACGCACAATTATCCCAATTTTTGCCACACTCATTCCCCCATGATACCTCAGTGAACACTTTTTTTTTCACGCCCATGAAACTCTACTAAATATACTGATGTTCCAACCACATTTAAACCAAATTTAAATAGTTTAAATTGAGAAAATTTCATTTTCCTAAAAGAAAATATTACAATGACATGCCAAACACAGTTGCGTTATATCAACAAAAAAATATGATTTAGCAAAAATATTCAGGAATTATATTTTGCACGCTGTTGAACTCATTATTGAACCATGCTTCCTGTTAAACATATATATTTAAAAAAATATATAATCTCAATACCAAATACGCTGATTAGGAAGCAGCAAGCGTGTTAGGAAGCAGACGGACAAAAGACTCTCCAAGCTTAATGGAAAAGATTGGGACGAAATACTTGCACAGCTCCATGGTAAACGCTCAGAATGTTGGTTCAAGTTATCAGAACGGAATCAATGCCTGGAAGATGCCAAGAGAAATGTTGGCTATCTTCCTGAGTGGTACAAGGTAATAGGATGAGGCTTATATAACTGAGGCATTATATTAATCAGTCTTTGAATACATTAGATTTTATGTAATGTTTGATGGAGGAATGAATATCATTTTGTCCTTCTACTTGACATGGTCTTACATAGGATACTGTCCTACTTTTTATTTCCAAGAGGCTCCTGATTTCTAAAGGAAGGTTATACTCAAATTTTATTTTATCTGCCTTTGCCCTTATTTAATAAGCAGTCCTCCCCATAATCATATGCAGCATGGGTCAAGGGGGGTCGTGTGTCATTATTGATCAGTGTTGTAAATTAATTCATCAGTGTATAATTTTTTTCATCAGGGTCATTATCGTGTCGCTGAAGCCTACAAAGAGCTGGGGCAGTTCAAGGAGGCTGTGAATGCGTTTGTCAAAGCCTATAACAGACTGACATCCTCGGATGGGGAGGATCTGGACAAAAAAATATTAAAAGACTTGATAGAGACAGCGTATGTTACAGGTAAGTGCAGTGAGTCAAAAAATGGTTTTGTTAGATTGCAAATTTTTATTTTTTACACAGACACAACTCTTATACCTTAAGGGCTATAGCATCACAGGGATGGATGTCCAACACATAATATTAACTCCACAACTAATGTGATTTGCTGCCTTCTTTCACAGAGTCACAAGTTGAGTCTATCGAGACAGAACTCAGAAATGTACCAGCCACTCTTAGGGCACATATCATTAATTGCTACCTAGAAAACAAAGATTGGAATACTGTAGAATTCATTGTGACTAATGTGTGGAGAGTAACAGACAGTGATCTCAGGAGACCTACATTGTCAAAAAATTCAAAGTGGGTTGTGAACTTAGTGCATTTCTGTGATAAAGATCTTTTGAGCAAACACTGGTGAGATGTTTAGTTAAATAGCGTCATATAGTAAGACTAGATTATTAATTTTGTTTCTTACATGCTATGATCATTTATATTATATTAATTGTAATTATCTATTCTTTCATTAATTATACCTATTCATTCTTACATTAATGAACATTTTAACCAACTATATGAATCTAATAATTTCTTTTCTTTTTTTTCTTTCACATTTTTTAAAACATCCAATCATTCCTTACATCAAATCATCCCTTACATCCAATAAGTCATTACATGTAATAATTACTTAAATCCAATAATTTTATTACATCCAATAATTTCTTACATCATTGCTGACACCGAATTGTACCTCACTCTATACATTCATTGATTGTGGATTTCGTCCTGCGAATCATTCTTTACATCCATTCATTCCTTGCATGCAATCATTCTTTACATTCATTCATTCCTTGCATACAATCATTCTTTACATTCATTCATTCCTTGCATGCAATCAGTCTTTAAATCCATTCATTCCTTGCATGCAATCATTCTATACATTCATTGATTGTGGATTTCGTCCTGGGAATCATTCTTTACATTCATTCATTCCTTGCATATAATCATTTATGACATCATATTGCACCTTATTCCTGCTCATTCAGGTGGGTGTGTAAAGTCCTGCATCACTTCCTAGTGTTAAAGTCAGACCATCATCAGCTCAAGTTCCACTCCGGAGACACCTACTTCCATGCTACCATCAGCATTGTGGTACAGTCAAACACACAGAGACAGGAAACACTAGATCTTGTCGGTGTAGATAATGTTCATGACAATCCCGATGTTGATCATGATGGTGATAGTAATGCTGATGCAACAGAACTGCTCCGTTATGTTGTAGAGAATATTGTCATCCCCACAGGAGATCTGAACATTCAAGATGACAAGGGAAATACAGTACTGCACCACCTGGCAACTTTAGAAGTAAACAATGAAAATAACTCACTGACATTTTGACAGACTACTGACATTTTGACAGACTACTGACATTTTGACAGACTACTGACATATCTTCTGTCAATTAAAAAAAAAAAAATAATTTTTAGCTTTCATGTAATGACTACTATTTGAAAGTTTTTTTGTTTTTTTCTAATTCCAAAATAGCGCCTAACTTTTTTTTTATCCATTCTTTATTGTCCTTTAACTTAAGTTAAAACATTAATTACTGGTGAAGGATTATTAAGCTCCTTTAAATACTACTTTTAGATTACTATTACAATTAAAACAAATGTTTGTTTTTTTCTGTTTTGTGTTTTAAAATCAACTGTAATTATAGGTTTTTGCAGTGAGAGGCCATCCATAAATGATTTCATGTATCCAACAAGGGGCTNAAAGGGGGGGGGGGGGGGGGGGGGGGGGGGGTTTGTATAATGATATGTTATCAGGGTGTCTAAATTTGGTGACAGGTTTGTGATGATTAATGGAGTGGGGTGGAGGAGGGTGTCAAAAATCTGTCAAAATAGTGTGAAACATATTAAAAATATAAATATTTAATTTCAGAAATGTTCCATGTGTTAATTTTTTTTTCTTTTATACTAAAGACATATCCAATATCTGTACTGAGCTACATCCTGAGCAAGGACGTAGACTGTTTGAAAGTAAACAATGTTGGTAAAACTGCACTGGACCTTACCAACCAATCTGATAAAAGGAATTTATTATTTGGGAAAGGTAGGCTCTATTTTTTGGTTAATTTTAATTTATGCTTGTCTTGAACAATACCAGTGAGATGAAATGCCATGACTTATTTTATGCAATTGTGACATAGTGACAGGAATAATACTTTGAGAAAAAATAACATGACATGTTAAAAGTAATTGTGATACAGTTACAATATGATATATATGAAACAATAATATGAATAATTGCTCTTTTTTTTTAATTGAAGCAATGACAGAGGATGATTCTAAGACACTTGCAAAGATTGCCAGATTAAAAACAAATGGTAACCATTGTTTCTGCAGGGAAGATTTTCATGGTGCCATAAAGGAGTACACAATAGGAATTCAGATGCTTGAAATTGCTCGGTCAGAAAATGAAGGTGAGACGTGAGAACTTTACTTAGATCTTAGGGTCAGTTGCTAGTAGTCAATGAAAGCTGCTAGAGGACAGCAGCTACCGATAGACATAGACAGGTAAAAGTGGATGGCATATTGCAAGTGGACATTGACATCTACAAGTGGATGACACTTATAAGAATAATGACAACTTCAAGTGGATGACACTTAAAAGAATAATGACAACTTCAAGTGGATGACACAAATAAGAGTAATGTCAGCTTCAAGCGGATGAAATCTACAATTAGACAATGACATCTACAGCTGGATGACATCTAAAATTGGACAATGACAGCTACTAGTGGATGGCAGCTATTGGTTGACAATGTAAGCTAAAAGAGCAACAAGTAGACACCCACACTGTCAGTAATTGGTTGACAATGACAGCTAATCCCTTACAGACAGAAGAGTTCTCTGTGTAAATAATAAGTAAGTTTTGTTTGTTTTTTGACATTCACCGGCACCAGAGCAGTTTTAAATAGACCTCTGGTATAAGTAGATGTGCTTGTTTGCAGGAAACACTCAGTTTTACAAGTGGGACAAAAGTCTCGCCCAGCTCCATGGTAAACGCTCAGAATGTTGGTTCAAGTTGGCAGAACTGATGCAATGCCTGGAAGATGCCAAGAGAAATGTTGACTATCATCCTGAGGGGTACAAGGTAATAGGATGAGGCTTACATAACTCAGGCTTTATCTAACTGAGGTTTTATATTAATCAGTTTTTAGGTTTTATATAATGTGTGGCAATGTGCCACTTTTTGTAACTTTTATGTTTCATTTTTATATGTGGCTGGGTGCCACCTATGTTTGCAGGGTACCACCTATGGGCATGCTCCTGTGGCACAATGTTAACCGTGTTCACAACCACTGAGCTGGGCATACCTGTCCCATGAGGCACGGGTGAACAGCTCATGACGTCGATGGCACAGTAGCTAGATAAGGCAGTGGAATTTAAACCCGCGCCTTCTGTTTTTCTGAGCTGTGATCAAGTAATCAGCCCTGGCTGAGTTTGTAGATTGATATTGTTTATTGTGTGTGAAAACGGTTACACATTCGAGTCTGTTGACAAGTGAGACATTTGACAGTCTGTTTAAAGGATTGTACCTAAGAATAAAAGCTATAGTTCTCAGACCTGCATTTCATTGTTTGTGTACTTATACTGTAAGCCACGCCACCTTCCGGGTACACATGTTTGATGGAGGAATGAATATCATTTTGTCCTTCTACTTGACATGGTCTTACAGATGATACTGTCCTACTTTTTATTTCCAAGAGGCTCCTGATTTCTAAAGGAAGGTCAAATTTTATTTTATCGGCCTTTGCCCTTATTTAATAAGCAGTCCTCCCCATATTCATATGCAGCATAGGTCGGGGGGGTGGGGGGGTCGTGTGTCATTATTGATCAGTGTTGTAAATTAATTCATCGGTATATAATTTTTTTCATCAGGGTCATTATCGTGTCGCTGAAGCCTACAAAGAGCTGGGGCAGTTCAAGGAGGCTGTGAATGCGTTTGTCAAAGCCTATAACAGACTGACATCCTCGGATGGGGAGGATCTGGACAAAAAAATATTAAAAGACTTGATAGAGACAGCATTTGTTACAGGTAAGTGCAGTGAGTCAAAAAATGGTTTTGTTAGATTGCAAATTTTTATTATTTACACAGACACAACTTTTTTACCTATGATGTATTACACATGTGAGGCAGGCAAAAGCCCTACATGGGCTATAGCATCACAGGGATGGATATCCAAGGCATAAGATTAACTCCACAACTAAAGTAGTTTTCTGCTTTCCTTCTCAGAGTCACAGCAAGCTGATTCTCTCCAGACAGAACTCAATAAAGTACCTGCCACTCTCAAGGCACATATCATTAATAGCTACCTAGAAAAAAAAGATTGGAATATTGTAGAGTTCATTGTGACTAGAGTGTTGAAAATAACAGACAGTGATCTCAGGAGACCTACCTTGTCAAAAACTTCAAAGTGGATTGTGAACTTAGTGCATTTCTGTGAAAAAGATCTTTTGAGCAAACACTGGTGAGATATTTAGTTAAATAGTATCAGATAGTGATAGCAGGTTATTAATTTAGTTCCTTACAATATTATTTATTCTTAAAATAATTGTAATTATTTATTCTGACATTAATCATACTTATTTATTCTTACATTGGTTATACTTATTTATTCTTACATTAATTAAGCATTTGTATCAAATCATTTGAATCTAATAATTTCTTTCACCCTAAAAATTGTAATTAACAAAAAATTATGAAAATTTATTCATTCCTTACATCCAATAATGTCTTTCAACTAATCATTCCTTCAATCATGCCTTACATGCAATCATTATCTACATCCAATCATTCCTTACATCAATTATTCCCTACATCAAATCATTGCCTACATCTAATCATTCCTTACATGCAATCATATGTTACATTTAATGATTCCTTACATTCAATCATTCCTTACATACAAAAATTCCCTACATTCAATCATATCTTACATCAAATCATTCCTGACACTGAATTGAACCTCACTCAGGTGGGTGTGTAAAGTCCTGCATCACTTCCTAGTGTTAAAGTCAGACCATCATCAACTCAAGTTCCACCCCGGAGACACCTACTTCCATGCCACCATCAGCATTGTGGTACAGTCAAACACACAGAAACATGAAACACTAGATCTTGTTGGTGTGGATAATGTTCATGACAATCCTGATGTTGATCACGATGGTGATAGTAATGCAGATGCAACAGAACTGCTCCGTTATGTTGTGGAGAATATTGTCATCCCCAATGGAGATCTGAACATTCAAGATGACAAGGGAAATACAGTGCTGCACCACCTGGCAACTTATGAAGTAAACTATGAATCTAACTCACTGTCTTCTGACATTTTGACAGACTACTGACATATTTTCAGTGACTTTTTTTAAATTTAACTTTCATTTATTAAAGTTCTGTTATTTTTGCTTCTAATTTCAAAGTAGCGGCTAATTTTTTTTCTCCCATTCTTTATTGTCTATAATTAAAACATCATTAAGGGTGAAGGATTCTTGAGCTTCTTAAAATAGTACATATAGATTACCGTGACAGTTAAAACTAACTTTTTCTTTCTTTTTGTGTTGTTAAAATTGAAAACTAATTATAATTATAGGTCTTTGTAGTTCCAGGCCATCCAGACTTAATTTTTTAAATATCCAAAAAAGGGTGTTGGTGGGTCATGAATTTGTTATGATTATGTTATCAGGATGTCTAAATTTGGTGATAAGTTTTTAACGGTTTGTGTGAGGGCTGGAGGGTGTCAAAAATCTGCCAAAATAGTGCAAACCATAGTAACAATATAAATATTGAATATCATAATTTTTTTCCTTTTTAATAAGTTAATAATTTTTCCTTTACAACTACAGACATATCCAATATCTGTACTGACCTATGTCCTTAGCAAGGATGTAGACTTTTTGAAAGTTAACAAGGATGGTAAAACTGCACTGGACTTAACCAATCAATCTGATAAGAGGAATTTATTATTTGGGAAAGGTATGCCCCATTTTTTATTTTTTTTTTATTTTAATTTATGCTTGTCTTAAACAATACCAGTGAGATAAAAGGACATGACATATTTTAAGTAATTGTGACATATTGACAGCAATACAGTCAGAAAATGTTTTTCATGCTGTATTCTTTTCTATTCTATATGTAAAGTGTTGACATTTATTTTTATTTACAGTGGTAGCTCAGCTTGTAGCATGCATTGACAAACACAAACATGTAAAAAATGTCAAAGAGAAGAAAAAATTGAAAGAAAAAAGTATCCAAGCATTAACCAGCTTGTTGCCTTGCCATGTCAACCCAGGTAAGTTGATTGTGAAAGAAAACTGGTGGTTTTTGTGAAAGAAAACTGGTGGTTTTAATGAAAGAAAACTGGTGGTTTTTGAAGTTTGTATTTTTTTAAAAATATTTTATTGTTGTTTGTATTATTTAATAGAGGGATTAGTGTTTGTTTAGGCATTTAAATGTTAGAGTTTCATCTTAACTTTAATTTTTGACCTACTTAATATTTTTTTGGTTTTTAGTAAATTAACTAATCTGTAGTAGGTTCCAGTTGGTTATCTGTGGTCTTTATATATTTCACGCTGCCAGTCATTCCAAAAGAACTTTTAAAAATAAGTGCTGACAGCTGTAAGGATCTGCTGACGAGTTTTGCTGATGCTGGCAAATGGCTGGTGCTGAAAGAACTGGTCATTCAGTTTCAACAAGCCAAAGGGGGAACTACCCTGCCCACCTTTGCTAAAGAAATGTCATTGACACGAGTGGTGGAGGCACCCGTTCAAGAAATGATGGAGTCAGACAAAATTGATGTGGTCCGGTTTTTGGTCAATCATGAAGCAAGTGTGGATTCACCAGGGGCCATTGAAGCAAGCATTCAAAATGAAGAATGGAAGGTACGGTTTCATTTATGAAAACCTTTTCATTGAAATGATTTTTTTCTTGATATCAGTCCCATGCAGTTAGCCACAACCTTTTCAACACTAGGCCTCCCCTGTAAATTATTAGACATGTCTCGCACCCCTCCAGAAAAATAACAATACATTTTAAAATAATGGACTTATAATTTATTTATTGAATTGCAAAGAGCACTGCACAACTTGGAAAATATTCTTGTGATTTATTACATATAGCAGGAAAAATACATAGACATTTATATCATAATTTAAAAGTTAAAGTTTTCCCTGTTTTTATAATCCTCTTTACCTTTCCTCAAACACCCTGAAATACCTTCTCAAATACCCTGTGGTGCAAGCATAAAAAGGTTGGGAAACTCTGACCGAAAATTTGCACTCTCTTTCTCTAAAATCATCCTCAATATGTTTTCCTCATCAGACTCATCACTCAAACACTCAATTTCTAGTTTTCCTCATCAGACTCATCTCTCAAACACTCAATTTCTAGTTTTCCTCATCAGACTCATCTCTCAAACACTCAATTTCTAGTTTTCCTCATCAGACTCATCTCTCAAATACTCAACTTCTATGTCTTCCTCATCTGTTAAACATTCAACTTCTGTTTTCCTTTTCTCCAAGAAAAACTCCAGATTTTCTTTTGGTTATCTGGGAATCTTGCTCATTAAGTTTTAAAATTTTTCATACAATTTAATAAATTCAAATGATGTAATATTCCAAGCAATGTAAATTCACCACTTGGAAGAACTTCCCAACTTGTCTCGATGTACTATTCATTTATTTAATGAATTAACTTTCTTTCACCGTCACTTTACTCATATTTTAATTGTTAATTGCAGATCTATTTAAAAATCATTATTGAGTATCATAATACTTTAGTTACAAATTTGGGTTAATTTTTATTTTTAAAGTTTTTTAAATAAAATATTAACCCTTGATCAGCTAACCATGGAACTGTTAGACCTGGGGGTGAACCCTGATGGAGTGACCCTTCGACCCGGGGACACACCATATCATGCAGCGTTGGATTTGGCTTTAAACAAACTTGATGGTAACGTCATCGTGTGAAGATTAAGTTTTAAGATCCATTTGTCATGATCAGTTTTATCAATCTGACAGAAAGAATCATTTGTTTTATTTTTATTTTAAGCAATCTAAAAGTTATAATCTTGATCAGCTTAAAAACACAACAATTGCTTTGTACACAACATCCCTCCCACGCACAATAACCCTCCCCCCCTCCAAAGTGTGACACATCATGTTTCTAATCAATGACAGGAGATTTCTCCATGCTGGAAAAACTCAAGGAAATTCATGACCAGAAGAAATCTCTCAAGAAAGATGTGACAGTTACAGACAAAGATGGCAACACCCTCTTGCATATGGCAGCTCAGGTATTTTATGGTCAAAGACAAATTGTTTACATCATCTGTGTTGGAAATGAATGAGCTTGTTTATTTTTTCTGTAATTAAATAAAATAGAAGGGGAGACAACTTATGACACACAAGACATATGACATTTTTATATATTTACTAGCCAATATACCAGCTGGTGTGGCCTGGGATTATATTCAGAAAAAACACTTTCTGAGGCCTTTTAGCTAATGTCCAAATTAGTGGGCCTGTTATAAACACATAGCCAATATTTTTTTATCTCTTCAATTTAAATTGTCTACTCTAAAAAAATGTTCTGATCCCAATCCCCTCACTGTTTGAATCCAATCCTCCAGTTTAATAAAAATAATAAAAATAATAAAGTTTATTTGAAAATCACGCTTCATCACCAAAGGCTCGAAGCGTGGAATGCAATATTGGATATTATAAATCTTAAATGCACAGATAACTCGATATGGACTATGAAGATCCTGATAAGATTCTGATCCGGATTAAATCTAGATGCTGATTTGATCCTAGTGCCGATGGGATTTCGATCCTTATCCCAGTGTGATCCCTTTCCTTTTGGGATCCTGACTGTATTGGGATTCTGATGGATCCCTTTTATGGTGGCCTCCTGTTCTTTAATGGGATCCCATACCCATTGAGATTCTGTTCTCCATGAAATCCATTTTCTTTGTCTGATCCCATTCCCTGATGGGATCCCATTCACCAATAAGATCCTGTTCATTGTTTGATCCCCTTACTAATGTGGTAATGTGATTCATTTCCCTGTGAGATCTCATTCATGTTAGGATATATTCTCTATTTCAATACTGTTACCAGGCGGGGATCACATTTTCTCATATGGATCCTGTTGCCCGTGAGGATCCTGTTCTTCTGTGGGATAGCATCCCCAGTGGTATCTTGTTTCTTGGTGGGATTATGAAGGGTATGTTATACCAACTTTCAATGCGTTTCCTCGAATTGAATAAGAATTAAAGATTATTTTGGAAATTTCTTGAAAGTTCCAAATTAATTGTCGATTATGATGGCCTAAGCTATATACATACGTGAAGTTGAAAGTTAATGAAACATAATAAACATGATTATGAGCATTTACATAGTATTAAAAAAGATAATTAAAAAAAATAATAAAAACTTCTAGAGTAATGTAGAAACTTCATGAAACTTGTAAAAAGATTAATGTGGAACAATATAGAACTTTCTGGAACATTCTAGATTTAAATTTAAAATCTCCTCAAAACTTTTCTACATAATTATATTCGAATATGAAAAATTATACAAACCTGGTGGGGGCCCATTTTATAAGTCTACCATTTTAGTTATGCCTGAGGTAGCGGGCACTTTAAAAATCAGTGAGATAAATAATGGATAAATTTCAAAAGTTGTCCCATTTAAATTGGCTTAAAAAACCCATAGACATAATAACCTATTTAAATAATCAAACTTTCTGGAAAATACAAGACAGGCCCTGAGTGGATTGGATATTATCAATTTTAAATGCCCCGATCATTCAATTTGGACTATGAAGGGTGTTATGTACCGTTGTAAGATTAGAAAATTTAATCTGTTATTTGTCTATATGGCCTCGTGAGGAGATACTGATCTTCTATTGACCGCCTCCCCAAGTGGTGGATAGGGGAAAGCCCAGCAGATATGGAGGGTACCGGGGAAATAAAATACCCGGGGTGGACCAAAATCAGTACCTACTGCCTTGTAGGAAGTGGAGGGATCCACATAGGATAGGGACCCGACCCAATACAAAGGCAGCTACCCCAGACGGTTGTGCGCAGGGCTGACGACCCTGTCATTATTAAAAAAGCTAGTGTTACAAAAGTTAAACCACATACAGAAAAACGGACTCGTATTTATGGATTTCGACCCATGCCTGACCAAAAATATTATATACGGATAGTGACTTGGAATGTACTTAGTTTATACAGAGCAGGTGCCTTGGCCTGCCTCAGTGATGAATTGCTTGGATATAGAATCGTGATTGCGGCACTGCAGGAGATTAGATGGAAAGACACATATATCCTAAATACTAAGGAATATACAATATTCTACAGTGGAAACAACACAAACACCTTAGGAACAGGGTTTGAAAAGAGAGACAGTAAATGCATTCATTGGGCTTAAACCAGTGAGTGAAAGATTATGCTCTATAAGGATTAGAGGGAAAATGTTTAACATTACGTTAATCTGCCCACATGCTCCAACAGAAGATACAGATGAAAGCATGAAGGAAAATTTCTGGGAAACACTGGAAAGAGTATTTGATGAGGCTCCACACCATGATATCAAATGAGTCATTGGTGATTTCAATGCGAAAATTGGGAAAGAACTAATTTACAGACCAGCAATTGGAAAGAAAAGTCTGCATGACGAGAGCAAATACAACGGAACACGTCTTATGGGCTTTGCTACAGGAAAAGGAATGACAATCAGTAGCACAATATTCCAACATAAACAAATGCATAAAGCAACATGGATATCTCCAGATGGATGTACCCATAATCAAATAGACCATGTACTCATCGACCAGAGGCATGGCTCGGACATATTAGATTTGAAAAATTGTAGAGGTGCGGACATAGACTCAGACCACATGCTTGTTAGAATCAAATATAAACAAAGAATTTGTAACATCCACAATAAACAAAATAAAAGAGAAAAACATTACAATAGTCAGAAATTGAGTAGGGACCCTAAAATTACTGAGGAATATCAACAGAAGATTGAAACTCAACTGGAATTAACCAAAAGAGAATCAGCCAGCAACGTTGATATAAACCAGCAGATGAAGCAAATAGTCACAAGTGTAACAGAGGAAACGATTGGATTTAAACCAGCAGTGAAAAGAACAGGATGGTATGATGCAGAATGCAAAGAACTCATAGAACAAAGAAACAAAGCTCAGATAATGATGCTGCAAAGGGAGACAAGAAGAACACAACAATTGTATAATGAAACAAGAAGGGTGGCCAGCAAAATTTGCAGAACAAAAAAACGTGTTGGGAAAAAAAAAAAAAAAAATTGTAGAAACAGAAGAGTTGGCAAAAGAAAGAGATGTGAGGGGAATGTACCTAGAATGCAAAGAACTCAAAGAACAAAAAAAAAAAGCTCAGATAAAGATGCTGCAAAGGGAGACAAGAAGAACACAACAATTGTATAAAGAAACAAGAAGGGTGGCCAGAAAAATTTGCAGAACAAAAAAACGTGTTGGGAAAAAAAAAAAAAAAAATTGTAGAAACAGAAGAGTTGGCAAAAGAAAGAGATGTGAGGGGAATGTACCTGAATATAAAGCAAAGAATGGCTTTCAAGCAAGATCCCACATGTGTGAAAGTACGGATGGAGAATTTATCACAGACAGCAGTAGAGTATTAGAGAGATGCGCACAACACTTTGAAGGCTTACTGAATGGCTCAGGTGGAGGAACCAATGAGGATTACGCTCCGCCACAAGGAGCACAGGACTGACTGGTCAACTAACCAACATTAAATGAAATAAAAGATGTAATCTCCACCATGAAAAATAACAAAGCCCCAGGAATAGAGCCTTTCTCTGCAGAACTGATAAAGCTAGGTGGTAACGAACTTCATATGAAAATACACAAACTTATATCCAGAATCTGGCAGGAGGAAGAAAAGCCAATTGAATGGGACACGGCACTCATAATCCCAATTCACTGAAAGGAACTAAGTTGATCTGCTCAAACTATAGAGGAATCTCCCTGCTTAATTTAATGTACAAAATCCTCACAAAACTTATAGCAATAAAACTGGAAAAGTATATTGAACAGATCCTAGGGGACTATCAATGTGGATTCCGGCAGAATAGGTCAACCACGGATCATATTTTTACCATAAGATGTCTCCTGGAGAAATTTTATGAATATAACATCAACATACACCAACTATATGTGGATTATAAAGCAGCATACAATAACGTAAACAGGAATTACTTATACAATGCTCTACAACAGGGGTCTCCAAACTTTTCAGCCCGAGGGCCGCATTAACTATCAAACAGGAGTTCGGGGGCTGACTACCCACTCAATGTCCAAATAAAAAGAATAAATTTTAATTATTTATTTAATATTATTTTATTGAGTCATTATTTAATAACTCATTGGTACACTACACATGAACACATGTATTAGTGGGAATGGTGAAATTGTATCCTGGATCCCAAAATAGCAGACATTTCTGGCTTTAGATTTGATATCCCTAACATCAACAGTGACCTAAGTTTCTCATAGGACAAGTTTGTTCTAAAATCGTTCTTCACATATTTCATTCTTGAAAATGTTTGATAACACAGGTATGTTGTTCCAAAGATTGAAAGGTACCTTGATGCAAAAGTTTTGACATTAGGAAAGTCTTTCTTGGGCAAAAACTGGTAAAACCCACCAGTCCTTCTTTGAACTGGTCCATAGGAAGTCATTTGCTTGCAACTCAATGACCTACAGCTGCAGTTCATCTGGTCCTGGGCAGCTGGCCTCATCTGCTTCAAATGGGTTTTGAAACAGACTGACTTCTTCTGCTTTTGAATCTAAGTTAATAAACCGCTGCTGAAACTGTAGAAGGAGTTCTTTGATGATCTCACATGCTAATGACTTGTGGAACTCTGCTGTTGCTTCAGCCATGACGACCTTGCACTGCCGAAAATGTGTCAAGTTGTTGGCCTGTACTTGTTCCAAAAATAAGACGAGTTTGGATGTAAAGGTCTTTAGGTGGGTGTATAGATCAGGAACTAGATTTTCCTCTCCTGGGCGACAAAAATTAAGTTCAGAAAATTTAAAGGACTAGTTATGTCTGCAGCAAAGGCCAATATCCATACATACTCTTCATCAGACAGTAATGCCTGTGTTTTGTCTTTACTTTCCAGGAAGTCACCTATTTCCTTTATTAATTTAAATACTCTGCTTAAAACTTTTTTCACAACTTAGCCACTTACTGCTGCTGTGGAATATGGTAAATCTTGCTATTCTGTGTCTGTATCTTTCAACAGATCTCTGAACTGTCTATGGTTGAGCCCATGTGGCCTTATTAAATTCACTATCTTCATCAGCACATTGCTAATGTCCACATAGTTACCACACAAAGCTTGCTGGTGAATAATACAGTGCGGGAACATTGGTTGTTGAACGTTTTTCTCATTACACATCTGCTTCACTTGTCCAAACAAGCCTTTCTTTATACCACGCATGTTCTTTCCTCCAACTGAGCCTAGATTAGGCCAGTCCAAGTTATAATCAGCAATTTTTTTTCAACTCTTTGAAAATATCCTCTCCGGTAACAGTGCCCTACATGCTATGTAAGGAAGCCAGCTCTTGTGTTATGTTCATGTCTTCATCCACACCTCTAATGAACACAAGTAATTGGAACAGCTGTCCATTAATTCATCCATTGCTATTTAAAAATGGCGAAACTTGCTTGAATTTTTCTTTGTTTGCGTCACAATGTTTTCACCCATCTCTACAACATGGCGGGCAATGGTATTTGCACCCAACGTTACATTTTCAAATTGTTTTGACTTTTCTGGGCAAAGTTCCTCAGCAACCACCAACAAACATTACTTACTACCTCACCATCTGTAAACAGTTTGCCACTTTTAGCCAGGACGAAGGCAAATTTATAACTGGACTTAGTTTAGGATTCATTTTCATTTCAGGATTTACAATGTACTCTGAGATTTGAGTTGATTTTGTAAGTTAGAGAATTTTCAGCACGGTCTTTACCCTCCAACTGTGCATATTTCTCTTGATGCCTGCTTTGATAATGACGGCGAAGGTTGTAATTTTTCCTCACAGCAACGTTTTCTTTGCAAATCGCTCAATGCTTTCGCACCGGATTTCAAGAAGAATTCTTTCAAATTCCATTCTTCTTGAAATTCGCAACACTCATCATCTATTTTTCTTTTCCTCTTCTCAGTCATCGCAGGGGCATTAAAATAAAGTGATTTCAACATGAATAAATAGTGAAACTGAAAATATCTTGCACACAATATCGCTAAAAAAACTGGTTATGCGAAATAATTTTGTCTCAATTATAGCTGCAAATGACCCGAACATTTTTTTAAAAATTCTTATGATTTCCTAAGTTAAACTTACCTGAATAAAGTGTGCAAATATATCCTTCATTCTTTTGTTTGTTCATTTTTTCATTCTATTTTAAAATGTGAATACTTAATTTTGTTCATCCTTAGGCAAAGTCAAATTCAACCAGCTTAAAAGCAGTGCAGCTCCTTTCAAAATGGCAAATACCAACTAACATAAAAAACAAAGAGAATAAAATGGCTATTGATTATCTCCTGGACTGGGAAGATGATAGACATCATTACATTCAAATGCCCACTAATTCTAAAAGTAAAAAGAAAGCTAAGGCAAAGAAAGGTACTGTGATATTATAACTATTGTCCTATGATTTAGTTCAGAAAAGTTTTGTACCTTAAGTTTTATTTCCATAACATTTTGCTTTAAAATTGGTTAAAGAGATTAGCTTTAAAATTGGTAGGGAAAATCAATCTAATATCTGTATCAGGACAGTCTAAAAATCTGTATGACAGACTAAAATATCTACAAGGACATTAAAAAATCAGTATAAATAAAGTTTATAATCTGTACAAGGACAGATTAAAATGAGTAAAAATAGAAGAGTGTAGAATGTAAGGAGATTTAGTAGACTTGCAAGTATAAATTGTCCATGGATTAGTAAAAAATCAGAGCTAACAACAAGCCTTGAGGTTTCTATTCTACTAGCTTCTGTATTTATAATTAAATAATGTAATTTAAAGTAGAGGGAAATCAAACGATAAAATTGTATTTTAAACAAAACAAAAATTAGGAAATCCTTGACTTCAGAATATGCATACAATAAGTATAATTATTATTTTCCTGTAGCAATTGAGGGAGCTACGTCAAAGACTGACGGAGATTCAAAGCCTTCAGAGAGGGAGGTATGTTTAAGGATAATGTATAAAGGGAACAGTTATGCATCAAGATAAAATGTTTTGGGATAAGTGAACGTACTATAAAGGTTTATCATGAGTTAATGCAATATTAGTGCTATGAGTTGACTCAACAATGTGATACAATGAGCTCACATACAGTGAGCCATCAAATATTGATCTTGCCTACAAATGCTCGTTCAATTTTGCTGTTACTTTTAATTTTTTAATCACATTTTTAAAATTTATTTTTTTAGAATTTAGAAACAACAATTTCAACATTATTGTCCAAACTACCAGGAGCCACTGGTTTTCTGAATCCAACACAACTGCTAGATTCTGCTGATGACAATAATAAAGGAAGAAATGCACTTGATATTAATTTGGGGAATTCTGACTTCAGTGAGTAAAATATTTTTCAACTAGGTTTTAACCCAGTGCAATTTCTTTTTTTTACACCTGATCTGGGTATTTGGATAAAAGCCTGGTAGGTCCAAGTGTTACAAAAAAAGAGTTAACTTCTCATTTTCTATAATATGCAACAAAATCTTCTGCCCTGTGTTGTAGTGAGAGTGCATTGCCTTTTGACAACCACTCATAGGAGCCGGAGTGATCAATACATTGATCGTGGGCCCTCAAAATATAAAAGAAGAAGAACTGTTGGTATCAAGAAATAATTCACTGATAGAACAGGCAGTTGCCAGATCCAAGGATAGAGGTGACTTTGTTCAAAAACCTGTAGATAGAGAGGATATCATTCAATTTATAACAAAGACTTACAAAACAACAGTCGGAGCATAACAAAATAACAATGCCTTTCTGTACCAGGATATGGAAAAGACCCACAGGTGCACACATGCCCAAAGTGAAAGGACAGTCCATGACCCAGTTCTGTGTGGTGTGCAGCCCCAGAACAAAGATGTGACATTTGAAAAAAAAGTTCTTTGTAAAGAACAAAAATCAACCAATTTTAATGGAGTTCAGACATTATGCATGAATCTCGCTGTGTGAAAGCCTTTTTTTCACTTAGTTTTATTAAAATAAAACATGTGGAATTTGGGGTGGGGGGGGGGGCAGTTCTGAAGAGGAAGCAGGATGCAACAGAAGCAAAATATATATAAGAGATATCAGTAAAGAGTAAGGACATTAGAATTAAAATATTGTTCCATGAAAGTAGAATGAAATGACATCATCATTGTTAACTATTAGGTAGGTAATTTAAAGGGAGAATTGTTATCATAGGAAAAAAAATATATTATTTAAAAATATATATCTATAATTCGCCAGCAAAGGTCAAACACCACCACGCAGGCTATATATAGATACGCCAGTGTGTGGTTAAATAATAGGTTCACTAGTGCGCAAAATATAATTCCTGATAACTATGCTAAATGATATATATATATATTTTTTATAACGCAGTTGCGTTTTGTGCTTAATATTTTCTTTTCGGAAATGAAATCGTCTCAATGTAAGTATTGTGTACAATATATTCAGTTTAAAAGTGGTTGGGACATCAGAATATTAATATAGTTCATGGGCGTGACATAAAGAGTATGCAGTGACGTATCATGGGGGAAGGGGTGTAGCAAATATTTGGGATTCTTAAATGTGCGTTACTTGAGTTCATGTCTTGTCAAGTAACTTTACTAGATGGGAAGTTCACGCCACCAATGTTTGGCAGGCTCTATCTAGTTATATGTATTTAGCATTTACACCTATGGTGAAGATGTAATGAGATTCAGTAACACTGAAATTTTCAGCTCAATCTTGACTAAAGACTAAACAGAAAAGCAAAAAAAAAATTGTTTTTAATTAATATCACATATATAGATGGACCAACAGGAGAGGAACTCACTCAGGCTGATATTGATGAACTGGTGCTGACTGACCAGATGGACATTGACCCAAAAGACTTTGACAGTTTAGAGTGGGATATTGAATGTACAGGTAAATGAATGGGTGGGATACTGAATATACAGTTATAAAAGGTATATTGAATATACGGGTAAATCAATGGGATATTGGATACACTATGGGTAATGGATGAGTCCAACATTGAATTTAAAGATAATTAGATGATTAAGATGTTAAATGTACAAATAATTTGAAAATATGATTTTAAAAAATATTTTCTTTAAAGAATGTTTCTGTAATATAAACTTTTTAAATTTCAAAAACTTAAGACTTAAACTAGTTTAAAAAATCAAGTTTAATAACAATCAAACAGTCTGGCTGAACAACAATTCTATGTTGTTAGTTTGACAGTGCAAACACTAAAAACATTGCTATAAAACTCTATTTTCTTAGAGTCAGTTTGGAGGTCCTTAATCAGCAAAAGACAGGCCACTGTTGACATTGGTTCACAGAAATTATCCTGGAGAAACCTGATGCTTATGAAGTTAAAACAACTTGGTTCAGGAGATTGGAAGAAACAGGTCAGTTCTTGTAGGAGTTTGGTCATTTCATGTAGGAAGTAGTTAAGTTATTGAGTGTATCATATATTCTGGTTTCTTACAATTGTTCCTTTCATTTATATCTGAACTCTTCCTTACAACCTCAGTTTCTGTTTGTAATGTATGGCTATAGAGGTGTAGTTATGTATAGTATGATGATATATGGGTTAAGAAGTATTATGGATCTAAGGGTATATGGACAGGACCATATTTCCCATAGACCATGGCCTAGGGCAAAAGGCCTATGAGGGCAAATATACAGAAGAAATCACAACTCTTTCTTATTGGTGCTGATGAAACAGGACTTTAGATGAATGAATTCTTTCAGCTGTACCACTCGGCATAACTGGATATATTTATGAACTGTTATACTAGTTGAACTGCGTGTATGTGACTGCTAGCGGAAAAAATGTAAGACATGAAATCTAATTCCTTGTTCAAGTATTTGAACCATGTTCATTTTAATCATGAAAATTTTAAAATAAAAACTATTAGAGCTTAAAAGATGAGTTTTTTAACTTAAGTTTCTCTTGAACTAAGATGAGATAAATCTGTAATTTCTAACAACCAGGTGGCTCTGGAAGATGTGCCTGAGACACTTAGACTGTACTGTACACCTTTGACTTCTGGTGCCTTTATTTTATGGGAGAGGGCCATCGCCTTTTCACCCCGTCTCAGCAACCTGCAGGAAACAAGAGGATCTCATGACAGCCAGGAGTCGGCCATCCGAAAAGGGAGAGTCTATGCCGAACATGTTCGAGTGTGGGAAATAGGACTGAAAACATCTAACTTGCAAACAGCCATTGCCAAAGTCATCAAATCACATTGTCGTGGGCAACAGTGTGTGGTCAAGGTAGTTGTTTTAAGTGGGACAAAACAACGAAAATGTTGTGGCTGCGACTAAAAGGGTATTAATTGATTCAGAAGTACAGAAAGAAATAAAGCCAACTCCCCCAATCCAGTCTAGACATAGATACTTACCTGACAACATTTAGAAATGAGGGAAGCTTCATTGCTTATTGGCACCTTGCCATATACAGTTTCTGCTCCACTGGAATCAAATAAAAAAATGTTTGTTTTTTGTACTGATGAAGGCAATTGTCGAAACGTGTACATTTGTATTTTGTATAATCATCATTAAAGCTGAACATAAATAGTGTTTTATTTACACAACTTGTTTGTGTCTAATTAATCTACTTTACAGCTTTATCGCAGTCCAAGAATCTTATAATTAGTTAATTAAATATAATTGATTGCTCCATTAATTTTTTAAAAAGTGTAACTAATAGCTTCGGTCAGCTATTCTGAACTATTATTACTTGTTTCAACCCTCCCCCCCCCTTCCCTTTTTTTTTTCCTCCCCTTTTTCTCCCCGTTTTCTCCTCTTTTCCACAGAAATTCCTGATCAGCCAAAAGGCAAAACAGTCACACCAAATTGAGAAGACCCTTCCAAAACTTTTCAGAGAATGCACTGACCTACAGGAACTTGATGAGGTACAGCCAGGTCAGGTCATCCAACTCACTCCGCCGGCCAGTCTACATGAGAATGAGTTCACCATCCTTAAACTGTACACATTGTCATCCCAGATGGTGGAGGCCATTCTAAATGATGGGGAGTCGAAGGTGACTAGAAATTTACTAACTTCTTAATTGAGAATTATTTAACCACTTTATTTTGAGTTTCCTGGCAAATTATCTATACTTAACATAATGTTTTTAAAGTGTAGTGTAGGCATCAATGATATCATTCCATTTTGCTCCGTCTCTGTCCTTACCGTGTCTGCCCATTCCATGTCTCTGCCCATTCCATGTCTGCTATTTCCATGCCATGTCTCTGCTCATTCCATGTCTCCCCTTTCCATGTCTCTCCATGCAAATCCCAAAGCTTTAGGTACTCTTTATATACTGTATTTTCCGGCGTATAAGATGACTTTTTAATCCATGAAAATCTTTTCAAAAGTCGGGGGTCATCTTATACGCCGGGGGTCATCTTATAAGCTGGTATAGGGCATGCTGAAACTTTGGGGACAGGTGCCCTCTAGTTCCAGTTTTGTAGACAGCTTAGAAAACAAACAGCAAGGCAGCTCCCATGGGTTTATTGTCTTATCCTTCCTTTCAACTTTAAGAGTGAATAAAGAAAAGTTTAATCCACTTGCACTGTTTTATGTTTACATGTTTGATGACAAACAGCCTTATGTTTACAATTGACAGTTTTCCTGATAGTATCTGCATGTCATAAGCATTTAAATTAAAATTAGCATATTGAAAACAAATCTGATGTTTTTTAAATTTTTAATTGGTGTGCGTTGGAAGAGGTGTAATCTTATATAGCGATCATAGCCCTAACCCTATATTTTTACAGGAAAGGTAGGGCGTCGTCTTATACTTATATGCCCAGTCGTCTTATACGCCAAAAAATACGGTATATAAAACTCTTTTCCAAACATTCATTTGCATCTCAATCCCTTTTACTGAACAATTATTGTTTGATTTCAAGTTGACTTTCCATTCACAATGGCAGAATTACAAAATGTTATTCATTTTCTGATTTCAGGTAGAATTTCCATTCAGAGTGACTGAAATCGAGCACACATTCATTAATTTAAAACCTGAAGCTCCTCTGCTACTTTTAGGCCGCAGTGGGACAGGGAAAACCACCTGCTGTCTCTATCGCTTGTTCAATGAGTTTTTAAATTATTGGGAGCTGGCTAAAGATTTAGGGAGGCCCCATATTGAATGTCTCAGCAGTAAGTTTTAGGATGATAACTCTTTCAGTGGGTCGCCAAAAAATTTTTCCTAAACTTTTAATAATGATATCTATTTAAAGTTTCAATCTAAAAATATAATACAGTGGGGCCTTGGAATCACAAATATTATTTATGGCAAATTTTCACTCAAAATTCAAACGCTGCTTTGGAATTTGAACCCCCAGGATGTTTTTCATGGGATTTTCGTGCATATATTTCACCAGCGCTCATACAACTCGTATGCTTTGTCTTTCAGTTTGTTGTAAGAAGCTGTAGTGAAAGTATCATGTGTTAGTTTCACTGCCAACCGTATGCTTTTGTATCTGTTTTGTGTTATTTTTTAAATATTATTTGCCATGGGTCCTGAAAAGTATAGTGAGGAAAATAAGAGTAAGAGGACAGCTGACACAACCGCAATTGAATTTATAAAGATGTTTTATAAAGATGTTATCACTAAGCATTTGGCTGATTGTGCTTCTAGATTTGGGATGCCTAACTTTTTTATGATTTTGATCAATAAAGTAGTTATCAAATCAGGAGATTGAAAAGTATAGAAGAGATTGAAGAAACTCTTCTTAGTTTAGATTAATGAAAAACAGCTGGCTGTTGATGTGATTTGTGAGAAAACCAAGGTCCCTTACCAAGGTTTAGTCAAAGAAATGCTTGAAAGTTAGTAGGTGGTGGTTCGAGAACTTTAAGAAAAGGACTGGGCTCCACAGAGTTTGTGGGATCCAGTTTCGATTATTTTAAAGGAAAAAATTGTCTTGGAACACAAACGATATGGAACTCGATCATTGGGGGATTCAGGAACGTATTAAATTCAGATTCCAAGGCCCCACCGTATGCTTATTTTTAATTCATTAACTCAACAACAGCATTTGGTTGGCCATGGCTAATTTTTTTAACAAATCAAAACAATAAAAACAAAAGATGACCCTCAACTAATTATTGCTAGAATTAGAAAAAAAAAATATGCTTCCTCATAAATCTGTCAAGACTTTATATCTTCATGCACCCATGAATTTTAGCTGTGAATTATTGAATTTTTCACCAGTTACGGATGAGGCCAACAGTGATGGCCTGGAAGTTGCAACCCTGGAATGTGAAGGAAATGAGAGCCAAAGTAGTGAAGACACAGATGAGAGTGATCATAATTATGAACATCTGCATCAGGTAAGTGAATGAAACATTTTATCATATAACCCAATTCTGAACCTTTTATTCTGAAATAAAGTCATTGGTGAGTCTAGGAAGTGGTTTTGAATCTTATGAGAGGCATTCAAGAGTTAAATGTTTGAACCTTATGAGAGGCATTGAAGAGTTAAATGTTTGAATCTTATGAGAGGCATTGAAGGGTTAAATGTTTGAATCTTATGAGAGGCATTGAAGAGTTAAATGTTTGAATCTTATGAGAGGCATTGAAGAGTTAAGTTTTAGAATATTATGAGAGGTATTGAAGGGTTAAGTTATTGAATCTTATGAGAGGTATTGAGGGGTTAAGTTATTGAATCTTATGAGAGGCATTGAGGTGTTAAGCTGAGGAAAGAGATTCTGGGACTTGGAAGACCCAACGTAGCCCTGATAATATTTTTACTTAGATTTGTATCTAAGGCCAGGCTCAAACATATAACTTTGTCAATTATTTGCCAGGCAAGGTTTTAGCCAGGCTAAATAAAGGACTTCTGGGGTAAAACTTACATAATTGATTATAAGCATTTTATATAAGGAAAGAGGGGGGATAAAACTGACCACTTGATTGTAACATTTTATATTAAGAAATGGGGGGGGGGGGATAAAACTGACCAATTGATTGTAACATTTTATATAAGGAAAGGGGATTAAACTGACCAATTGATTGTAAACATTTTATATAAGGAAAGAGTGGGGGTGCGGATAAAATTGACCATTCACTGTTTAGTTTCATATTCCTTAATACTCATAACCGCAGATTAATATTATTGAAATAATTTTTTTAACTTATAAAAACTATTTTTATTAAACAGGAAATGGTAGGGGCCATTTAACCACATATTCATAAAGATCTAAACATGAAACATTTAAGATTTAACACAAAAATTAGCCCTTATAGTACTAAACTCACTCATTCCTGTTGGAAGATGTCAATTTCAAATAAAGGTCTCATAAACTTTGTTGGACCAATCAGAATTCAGCTTTTGTTTTCAGGGTTTCAAGAGAAACCAGAACATAATATATTTGGGAGGAGATTAAAATTGTTGCAATTTGGAAAAAATTATGTTTAATATTAAAAACAGAGAGAATCAGACATACACAGTCAGCTTTTATAGTTTTAGAGTTTTTAAAAAAAAACTTGTATTTTTTGTGTCTGATTAATTTCAGATTTTTGTGACCAAAAACCCAGTTCTGTGCCAGGAAGTGGAGAACAGCTTTGTTAAACTTTGCCAGACTCCTAAATGGCTGTGTGATCAAGTGGCTGAGAGAGCAGAGGACATTCCAAATCAACTGCAGGCAAGTTATTAATTTTTATATAAATTTTATTTAAGTCATGACCACAATGTCCTTGGAAGTAAGAATATGAACATGGCCTGGGATTAAAATTTGTGTCCACAAAAAAATAGCTCTCACATGACATCTGCAAGTACAAAAAGGAAATAAGGAACATTGTCATATGTTTTTATTCCTTAGTTTACATAACACAAAAGGAAGTCTTTTTTTGTTAAAAATTTATTATCATAGTGACACTGTGAAGAATATATCATTTCTTGCAACACCATCATTGAACAGGTAAGATTGATAATCTTTAGGTAATTTTTTATATAATATGCTTTTGTTGTTATTGCATAAGCTCATGTGAGAAGCTGTAAATAAGTGCAAAATTTTGTAAATTAGAGTAAAAAGATTTATGTGAACTAAATCTCACTATAAACTAAAGACATTGAACATACCAATTATGATGTTGTATAACTATGTTGTTACATATCGTTATTGTTTGGAAGATTTAATTTGTGTTAAGGTTTTAGCTCATACAATAAAAAATACGCAACAAAGGACTGAGAAAAACAGTTTGTAAAGAAAACAATAACAAAGATAGTGATACTTACAATAGTGAATTTACGTAGTGATACTTACAATAGTGAATTTAATTATACAAATAAATATCTATAAAAATACGAATTCGAGTTCACAAGCACAAATAAACTGTGTCAACTTACAGCAAGTCAAATATGCCTACTCCTCAAAATAAAAATATGAATTTACACACACAATAATGTTACATCTTGTACAGCAAAAATTTCTGTTCACTCTCTTTAACTGTCTAACGCTATCTGTTTCACTCTATCTATCTAAGTCTCACTGCTAAGAAAGTACACAGCTTCTATGTGTATGAACCAACTCAGAACGTTCTGGTACAGAAATTCTCAAAATTGCTTTACCTAATGACATTCTTGAGACAAAATGAACAGATTTGAATGTCAACAACTATTTCCCAGCCAAGGCAGGGGCAGGTATGGAAGGAGTGACACAGGTACATATGCTCAGTGATGTCAATATCAAGGCCATACTAATGAAACAAGTCTAAGAGGTGTTGGCTAAAAATAAATTTGTGTTGCATTGAAAAACAAGCCAGATGCTATAATAGGTTACACCTAACAATGTGCACCTAGATCTTCAGTATACCTTACCACATGATAATTTTTTTTTTTTTACGTACACAAGAAAATTCTTGTACATGTTTGTGTAAGCAATGAAACAAATGTAAACAATTCATAAGTCAAGTTAAAGTCATGTTTAATAATTATTGGTAGTCCTAAACTACACAGAAGGTATACTGTGCTAAGCACTAAATTCCTCTGACAATATGAAAAAACAAGATACAATGATTTGCTTAAAAAGGGCGGGGGTAAATGTTTTTGTTTTAAAACTAGCAGCATACCCTCCATCTTACTGTATAGAACTGTGGTTAAGTAAAATATTAGCAGTTGCCAATTTCCTTTACTTTTGCTGATAAAACCATTCTAACTGAAGAAACACATTGTGTAACTAGCAGCTATTTCCCTTCCACAGGAAATGAAAGATAACTCCTTCCCCCTGTTCCTGACATCCAGACATTTTTTACTTATCCTTGACGCTTCTGTTGATGGGCAAGCATTTTTTCCTCGAGATGAAGACCTGGGGATGAAACTGTATATGCCTGGCTGGGAGCCACAGGAAGATATTTTCAACATTGGTCAGCAATTACATAGAATGAATGCAAGAGGTTTCCAAAATGGTCAGTAAATGATCATTGCTTAGTATTGTAACAAAATGACAGTACTCAATTCACTCATCTCTTTGTGTTCAGAAATAAAACAAATTTTTAGGACAACTGAATCTGTTAGGGTCCACACACGCTTCACTATTAAAAAATTATTCGATGCCTATAAATACTTTTAAATATTATAGTGTATCTTTGTGTATTGAAATTTTTTAAAGTATATAAAAATACTAAAAAAAAAATACTGAAGTATATCCTTGGTGCACAAGGATATACTTCAGTATTTTTTAAAAGTATTTTTATAACCAAAACTATTTATAAATTTTAAAATGTTTTTAAGTAATAAAATAATTTTTGCGTAACACATTTATTGTTTTTTTTTTTTTTTTTTAACCAAAACTATTTATAAATTTTAAAATGTTTTTAAGTAATAAAATAATTTTTGCGTAACACATTTATTGTTTTTTTTTTTTTTTTAAATACTTCTGATAAAAATACTATAGTGTATCTTTTTTGCCACAAATTTTAAATTTAAATAAAAATTAATTACAGCACCAAGAGCACAGAGACAAGCAGATCCAAGAAGGGAGAGTACTTATGAAATTTTTGCTCATGTGATCTGGCCTAAAATAAATAAAGAGGTAGTAGACTAAAATTATTATGAAAGAATAGATATGTAAAAAACATTCAATATATAAATATACCATACACATGATACCTACATATATACAATATATAAAATACTGACATAATTTTACACATTTTCTAACAAATACCCTTACGTTTTACCAGAGCACCTTCCATCCATTACTGGTTTGGACAGAAATCATGTCATTTATAAAAGGATCCTATGAAGCCCTGGAATGTTCAGAAGGTTACCTCAGCAGGGACCAATACATTTCTATTGGAAGGAAAAGAGCCCCAAACTTTGATGGTGACAGGCCTCTCATATATGAAATATTTCAACGTTATCACAAGTACTCAAAACAGAATCATTTATTTGATGAGGCCGATGTTGTTTTTCATATCTATGGAAGGCTCAAGAAAACCGTAAGCATAGATGACAGCTCATTCCTTGTTTTTAAAAAAATTAATTTAGAAGAGCCCTCTTGCCTCTCTTTTTTAAGGGAAACAGTTTCAAAAAGTTTTAGTCCATATTTGGCCATTAAATTATAATAATCTGGCCGTATTATTCTTCTTTCTTCTTTCAGTCAAATGGAATTATTATTCATTTAGTTATGGGTTTTTTTTAAAATATATTATAAAATGTTTAATTTTGTTTCCGCAAACTTTTGTTAAAGTATGCAAATTGAATTTCTCAAAATCATGTTTAAAGTTATAATTATTTATACAATAATTCTGGATCTTGTTCCAATGATTTCACAGTCAGGGAACATCTACTGGAGTCCCCACAACATTTACATCGATGAAACCCAGGACTTTTCCCAAGCAGAGCTGGCCCTTCTGGTGTCATTATGTCGTGAACCCAACAAGATGTTCCTTGCTGGGGACACTGCCCAGAGCATCATGAAAGGAATATCATTTAGGTTTGCTGACTTGAAGTCCATATTTTTCCATAGGACTCACCAGACAACGGTTGGACAATCCCAAGTGAAAGTTAGTGTAGAATTTTCAGTCTTCTTGCTCTTTGGTTTATTTTCTCCTAGTTAAGTCACCAATTCTTCCCATTTATCTCTGTTCTGAGCTATTACTTTAAACTCATTCCACTTTTTGCCATTTCTCTCACTCAATCCTTGCGTGTGTCCCTTGGTCTTTAACTTTATGTGTTACCCTGTGGATACTATGGCAAAGACTGTTGAGTAATATTGAATTTTGCTTTCCTTAGTATACAGTCAATCCATCTAAAAAAAAATCCATCACCATAGTAAATACAATTCCAATGGTCTTTGAATATTAAATTTTCACTAGTTTAGATTTTGACAGCAGACCAAAAAACCCATCAAATTCCATTACCTGTCTAAGTTTACAAAAGGAAACTGAACAAATAATGTTTTGGATTTTACGTTTTGTTCAAGTTTGTAAATTACCAGGTAACCCATTTATAAATATATTAATTATTGCCTATTAAATTTAACTAAACAAGGGAAGAAAAAGAAAAGCAGAAAAAGATAACAAGGAATTACAAAATTATTTTTGTAGCAAAGTTGTTTTAAAATAAATGCAAATTGGATTGTAATGTATTACACTGTTTAAGACTACAAAAAAAAATTCAATGTGAAAAGTTTTTGTCTCCCCCTCAGAAGCCTGACAAAATTCGACAGCTGCGACACAACTATCGATCTCACACAGGAATTCTTGCCCTTGCCTCTGCTGTCCTTGACATCATTATGGAACTATTTCCTGAAACCATTGATAAACTTGAAAAAGACCAGGGAATGTTTGATGGACCAAACCCTGTCATTATTGAGACTTGTAAACCAGGTTAGTGATAACAAACCCTGTCATTATTGAGACTTGTAAACTATGTTAGTGATAAGAAACCCTGTTATTATTGAGACTTGTAAACGAGGTTATTGATAACGAACCCTGTCATTATTGAGACTTGTAAAGTATGTTAGTGATAACAAACCCTGTCATTATTGAGACTTGTAAACCAGGTTAGTGATAACAAACCCTGTCGTTATTGAGACTGGGAAAGCAAGAGTAACAAACCTTGCACATGCACCCCTCTACACATACAACCCCACACTCACACAAAACTCCCTACCCACACCTGCACACACTTCTGTATATAGCTATCACTGCTATAGGTTTTATATTTGAAAAAACAAAAAAACAAATTTGATTTACAGGAATTAAATATAACTTTAAAACTCGTTTATAACTTTTCAAAAGAGATTTTATTTGTTTATTAAAATCTTCCGAAAATGTTATCAATAAAAATTAAATTCAGCATTATTGGTCGAAGTTATCATTAGTGTGAATTGTTATTGTTGACATTTCTAACATGGCTTTTTTTACATATGTACAGAGGACTTAGCTCTCCTTTTGAAAGGCAACACAAGGGACACAACACCTATTGAGTTTGGAGCCCACCAGGCCATTTTAGTAGTTGATGATGAAGCGAAAATGAATCTGCCCCCAGAGCTGAGGGACGGAATTGTTTTAACCATCTACGAATCTAAAGGCCTCGAGTTTGATGACGTACTCATCTACAACTTTTTCAAACATTCCCAGGTTCTTTATTTGAATTAACTTTAGTAATTTTATTTTTATACAAAAATACAAAAATAAAATTAACATTAATTTGTATAATTTAATTAAACAGATCACTAAAGTGATTTTCAAGTTCTTCAATTTTTTTGCTGTTTTTAAAGGCATTAAAAGAGTGGAGGGTTGTGACTGCATTTCTAAACGAGATGGATAAAGAAATGAAGAAGCCAAGGAATCATGAGACTAGATCTGAGAGTTTAGTTGTTCTCAACCAAGGTGAAACATTATAGACAATCCATTCTTGACCCTCTAGACATGACAATCCAGGTCGGATCTTCTAGAAATGGCAATCTAATCTGGATCTTCTAGAAATGACAGTCTATTCTGGATCGTCTTGAAATACAAAGATTTTATACATTCCGTTCTTTAAATCAATTAATAGATTAAATTTGTAGATATACTTTGCTGTTATATTCAGTGATAATGAGATAAAGCAATTTGTTTTTTAAGCTGTTTACCCTGATGAAAGTACAAGATAGATTGAGCTTATTTAGAGTGAACATGACCTGTCTGACTGTTGGGTAACAGGGAAAGACAATGAATACCAATGTGAACCATTAAATGTTAAGCTATGCATATAACTCCATTCTTTAGAGGTGCTACAACAGCCAGGTCGACCAAGAGGTCTCACTTTTGAAAAGCATCTTCACAAGCTGCTGGACACTGACCTAAAGCAACTGTACACAGCAGTGACACGAGCCCGAGTTAAATTGTGGATTTTTGATGAAGATGCAGAGAAACGAGCCCCGATGTTTGACTATTTCAAAGTACTTAACCTTGTGAAAATTTTAGATGGAAAAGACAGAGATAATGATGAAGGTATTTTAGCTTCTTTGTTTGTTTTTAAAAAAAATTATGCTGCTAACCATTGAACAGTTCTGAGCTTAGGTTGCTGGTCTGGACTTTGTACACTAGTGGGTCCAAAGTACAATCCACCAACAACTTTGGTAATACAATAACACATTTGCACACTCACTACTATAAAAACTCCATACATGCCTGTGGCACTACAGCCCCTGCAAGGCTTTGGCATGCCTCAACACATCCTTCCACTCAGGCTTAACTGATGCTTTTATTTTCCATGCTTGGATTCCCAGCTGCTGTAGATCCCTCTCCACATCATCCATTCATCTCAGCCTAGGTCTGCCTTTGAGCCGTTTTCTTCTGGGGTTTTGATGGTGCAACTTCTTCACTCCTCTGTCATTTGGCATTCTTTCTAAGGGTCCCACCCAGTGTAGCCTGCCCATTTTTATTTTTGTTACTAGCGTGGGATCCTGATATAGACTATACAATTCCTGGTTGGTTCATATTCTCCATCCATATTCATCCTTAGTAGGTCCGTACATTTTCCGTAGAAATTTTCTCTCCCATGTGATTAATAGGTTTTATGCTTTTTTTGTTAAAATCCAAGTTTCACTTGCGTATGTATGTCAAATCCAAAGTTTCACTTGCGTATGTCAAATCCAAAGTTTCACTTGCGTATGTCAAATCCAAAGTTTCACTTGCGTATGTCAAATCCAAGTTTCACTTGCGCATGTCACAACTGGTCCGACTACAGTTTTATGTTTAGTTTTCTTTGTTTTTCTTGTAATGTTTTAACTTTTGAATACTTTGTGATTGCTGAAATATACCCTAAACACTGCTTGCAGAATATGTTTTTTTTTAATTTACAGGAAAAGTTTTCACAAAAGCATCAAACCCAGAGGAATGGCGGGATGCAGGAGACAAACACATGAGCCAGAAACAATATAAATTGGCCGCCACATGTTACAAGTAAAGCTGTTAATGCTAAATTTACAACTTTTTTTTAAAAAAATGTTTTTTTTCAAATTTTTATCACATTCCATTTAAATAGATTATACTTAATACAATCTGCTGAGAAATGTAATATGTATTGCATATGTGAATATTCAAAAAATTGTGGTTGAAGTCAATTAACTTTAAAAAAGTATTATTTCAAAAATCAAATTGTCACAGGAAAGCGAACAAACCACACAGAGAAAAGCGAGCTAAAGCCTTCTTAACCGCAGAGGAAGCAGCCAAGGAGCTCAACACAGTGGAGAAAAGCAAACTATATCTGAAAGCTGGAGCCCAGTTTTTGTACTGTAAGGCCATGGAGCACGCTGTTAGATGTTTTCGAAATGCAAAGGCAAATACATTTGCTGCACTCACTTTGGAAAAATCAGGACAGGTAAAACAAAATAATTTTTGTTTGTGATGCACAAGCTCACTTAAGGTCATGTCAGTAATGTGTACCCAACACACGTAAAAGGATGCTTACCCCAAGAACAGAGAATAAATTATAAAATATATAAATCTATCTAGACAAAGTTGTTTTTATTTTTTATCATTTTACTGTCAAACTTTTAAAGCCTTATCAGCTAATTTTGAAATTTCAGGCCCCATACAAAACATTTGGCTAAAAAAAAAATTTAATTTAAAAATAAAAAAGTATCTTAAAAAGAATAGATTTATGATATCCTTGTAAAATTGAACTTTGTGCCCAGCCCATTGCAGTTAATATTCAAGCTGGTCCCTGTCAGAAACCATGATTTAAATACCAGTCGGACTTATAAAAGTTGTGTAAATTTAAAAAAAAAAAATGTTTACCAATGCCCAAAAAAGCTATGGCTGTGTATCACTTTAAAAAAGATAAGACCCTGGTGGGATTCTGTTCACCAAAAGTGCCATTTTAATTATCCCTGAGCCAGAGGGCCATATGAAAGTCCTTTAGATAACAATTTAAGTTACATTTTAAAATGTATTGCCTTTTGAATATTTTTTTTCTTTAATTGATGGTCCTCATGTACCAAAAAGCATTATTCTTAATAATTTTATAGCAGTTTAGTATTTTAGGTCGGACAATGAGCTTTTACTTTAAAAGTAACCCCATTAATAGGTTTTCAAAATGCCTAAGATATATCCTTTTTTATTATTAAAACTTAATTTCTATTAAAATTTACATTGCTTTAAACCCCACTCGCTTCCATGGTCTGAAGCTTTTGAAAATGACTTTTCTATCTAATCCTTTTTCTGATATGAAAACAAATAGAACAAATGACGTAACAATAGTAATTTTCATTCAAGTTTAAAGTTTCATCCAAAAGTTGCCCATTAAATTAGCCCTATGAAACCTGTTAGATCAATAATGGAATTAAAACTGCAAACTTGTCCCATTAAAATAAGCATACCAATGCAGGAGAACTAGCATTTTGAATTATTAATATTTCAGTGCCCCAGACTCCAAATGGAAGGAATATAATTAGTTTTAAATCCGCTGATATTTAAGTATGGATTATGAAGGGTTAACTATCCCGTTAGATACCTGGAGTTACCCAGGATTGCATTCGGAAAAAAACTAGCAATTTAGCTTAAATCAAAATTAATGGCTCTGTACAAAAACAAGTAGCTAAAGTGAACAAAATTAATTTTACTTTTTCTCATTCATCAAAATTTATGGAACAACATTTCTTTCCCCGATGGGTTCCCGTTCCCACATGTAATCCCATTCCTCGATTGGATCCTATTTTATTGGGAGTCCTCTAGGATCCCCATCGTAGTGGGATCCCATTCTCTGATGAGATCTCATTTCCCATTGGAATCATGTTCTCTGAAGGGATTATAAAGCAAATGTTTACCAACTTTGGCCACGATCCATAAATACACTTAGAAGTGTATACTGTAATCTAACCCTTCAACTGCATTCATGCTTAGGCCATCATAATGGACAATTAATTTGGAACTTTCTAGAAACTTCCAAAATAATCTTTAATTATTATTCCATAACATTCAAGAAAACCTGCTGAAAGGTTAATGAATCGTAATAAATATGATAATGGCATTTTTTATAAACTTAAAAAGATTATATAAAAAATCAAAGCTTCTAGAATAATCTGGAAACTTATAAAAGACTTGGTGCTACTATAAAAATTCCCAGGAAAGTATAGAAATGAATAGAACTAAACTAATAGTTCAATAAGATTTTAGATCCCACTATATTTCCAAATGGAACAATATAGAACTTTCTAGAACATTCTAGATTAAATTTAATAACATGGAAACATGTGACAAATGACTTTACTACTTAATAAGTTTTTGAATAAGAAAAATTATTCAATGGTGTGGTACCACTTTAGTTATGTCAGAGATAAGGGGCCCTATGAAAATCATTCAGATAAATAATGTAAATAAAATTTAAAAGTTGTCCCATTAAAATGGGTTTAAATGCCATTTAAATTATCAAACTTTCTGGAAAACTCTATCCCTGAACCCTAAATGTACTGCATATTATTACTTTTAAATCCCCCAAATATTTCAATGTGAACAAAGTGGTATTTCTACCAAGTTAGGTCTAGTTCCATCTATTCACATAGAGTCTATAGAATTGCCTAAGCCTGGTGGTACATTTAAATAGCTGAGATGAGGAAAATTGAAATGTGATCCCAGGCCCCAAAGGAGTGGATATTATGAGTTCAGAATTTTAATATGGATAATCAAGTGTATCTGTACTAAATAATGGCTAGATCTATCCACTCCTGCAATAGCTATGTTTTAAAATAAATTTATATAGCTTATATAAGATAAAGACAAATTTAGGGTCTCTGGCCCCTAACAGAATATTTTTTAATGTTCAAATACCCCAGTGTTTCATTCTGGATAATGATGGCTATGTGCCAAGTTTGATAAGATCCATCAATCCATATAGAAATATATACAGAACAAATCCACACAAAAAAACGAACCCTAATATTTTCACTTTTATATATAAATATATACATGGTTATGGCAGAGGTGTCATATAAATGTTAATTTTTTTGTTGTAGTTTATAGAAGCTTCAGAGGAATACAAGGAGATCCCTGACCTCTACAGTTCAATCCGTTGCCTTGAGCAGATGGGCCTATATAGGCAAGCCATACAATTGAGGATGGACAACAAGCAGTTTTATGAAGCTGTGGATTGTTTGCACAGATATGAGAACCTTGTCAAGGTAGGTACATAATGTTTCAATTTCAAATTTAACTTTTTGGTTTTGGCCAAAACCGAAATTAGGCCATACGTGATCAAATGGCCCTTTCGGCACCACAGCTGAAATTTGGTCGATCTCTAATCGTAGTTTTATTTCTTTCATTAACTTTTTTATAAACAAGGAAAAAATTACCACAAGTAATGCGCAAACAAAGTACGCCATAAAAAAATTTACTGCTGCTAATCAAAATGCATAAAAACTGATTTTTTAAGAAAAATTAGCAATAACTAGCAATGGCAGCAAATACAATTTTCTGGTCTTCTGCACCTCAGGGCTGGGGAGGTACTTTTACCCCTGGTTAAGAACCACTGTTTTAGTGAAATGTGTCTGACACAGGTGCAGTAATTTGATATCCATGAATGGGGAATTTCTTAAGGGTTTGTAAAGAACAGTAGTGGATACAGGGAATTTTGGGGTGGGGGGGCAGAGATTTGTGAAATTAAATTTGAGGGTTGGGGGTCTAACTTTTTGTGATGATTTGTGACAGTTGGGGGGGGGGGGGGGGGTAAAGAAATAGTCAAAATTTGTGTGACATCATTTATGAATGGCCCCTATAAGGCTGGTGTAGCTCTATTTTACAAGGCTTGTCCTATTATTACTATATATTGTTAGGAACCAAATAACAGCCAAAGGAAGTGCTAAATAATAGAAATATCATTTGTATTTCATCAACTCTAAGACTTAGAGCATTGGAGAAACATTCCAACATTAATTAAGAAAGTATGTTAATCAGGAATTGGTGGTAACATGCATTCAGTTCAGTGACTCAAGGCTTCAGTAAATTTAATGAAAAGATCTTTAGATCTAATTTAATTGAAATTGAACAATATATTCAAATTAATGTTAAAACTCCACATGTTCTTAATAAATAAAAGATCACATGTATTTCTTTTGTTGTTAATGTTGTATTTTATAAAACATATGTTAAAAAAATTAATGAAGAGATGATGTGAAGTATAAAATGTAATTATTTATTGATCAACACTTATTTTTAAAACTAGATATTATTTAATTTAAACTACCAATTAAAAAAAAAAAATTAACAAATTGTATTGTAATACCAATCCATGTTGTTTACATAGGTTTTCATAGTGTAGGCGACACATGCCCTGTCACTTAACCAACCCACTCGCTCTTTTCTCCATGGAAATAGAACATTTATTCCTACATGCTCACATCTCGTACATAAGTTATTTTTTTAAATATAGGCCTTAAGTTAATAATAAAAAAATTAATTTCTTCTGTCTAATTTTCTTGCTGAAAAAAGACTTTTGATGTCAGAGGCCAGGCTGTTCCTGAAATTCTTGTTGCTAATAAACCCAAAGGAGAACACTCTGAGAACATTTTATGGCTGAGGTGATTATTTACAATTTTAATTATTTTTTTTTAAACTATCAATCCTTTCCATATTGTTAGATAGTTAAGTAAAAAAATAATTTAATAGATTTCAGCCTATTCTGGAACTTGACTTGTTGGATGAATAAAATACTAGGTCACTGAATTCGATCAAGCAGAGTCATATGGTTGTTAGAGATTAATTCATGCAAAGGGAAAAAATCCAGCATGCTTTAACATTACTATTGGTTGATTCACTTTATCAACAGTTTTAAACCTGAGTTTAAATTAATAATATTTCTCCTTTAATTTCAATCTTTTTTTTGTAAATTATAATCATCATTATCTTCCAATTACTTAAATTTATTATTATTTTTAACATTACTCAGGCTATTGTAGTGAAACTTGCCTTATTATAATGTAGTTATTGTAGTGAAGTTTGCAGTTATGTCAAATTCTTTGTAAAATTTAAAAAAAAATATTTTTAATAACATAATAATTCTTGTAACTATCAATCAATATTTTACAGTTTAGCTGAGCTTCAACTCAGCCAGGGTAAACTGGAAGACTTTTATAAAACGGTTGGCAAGGTGACAGATAAGCAAAAAAAGATTTCTCTCCTCAAAAGATTTGAATTCTGGAAAGAAGCAGCTGAACTATTGCATGATGATGGTATAGTTACTCTGTCATGTAGGATTAATCATACTATTATTTTTTTAATGGGACTATACCTTTATGTTTTATATTGTTAATACTAATTTGTAAGACAGCATTTTTAATTTTTTTTGGGATGGTATAAATTGGGTAAGGTGACTGACACTTGCCTTCTAAATTTAAAAAATTTACCAGTAAAGTTTGAACATTTCTTATTTTCCTAGGAACTGAGGAGGAAAGAAAGGAGGCTGTCCATCTCATGATGAGAAGTGGACAACTGGACACAGCTCTTGCATATGCTGAAGAAGGATTTTTTAAAGCATTAAGGGCAGCAATCCACATTTCCATGGCTATGGGATCTGATAATGATGTGAGTTTGGGGAATTTAGTAATTATAGGCCAATGATTTATTTGAATAATTAATTTTTTTTTAAATACACTGATGGTCACGACTTAAATCTCATCACAAGTGAATTGCCACATCATTCTTATATACTACAGAGTACTTATTTACTTATGCCTTTCTAACCCGTCTGGGGCATCGGCCGTCTACAAGAACTTTCCACTCATCACAGTCCTGTGCTTTCCTTTCCAATTGCTTCCAGGTGTATCCCATATTTTGCGTGTCCTCCAGTATAGCCTGGATTTGGCCACAAGGTTTCATAGCTCTTCTTGGAGAAGAACAGTCCCCTCTTCTCAGGGCTGAAATTTGTTGGTTTTTTCTTGCTGACGTTTCTGTAGCAATTTGTTTTTATGGGTGAGGTAGCTGGCCTCACACCAATCCTCCTTCTTTTGCACCCGGGCTTGGGACCCGCCTTGGCGGAGTTTACTACAGAGTGGACATGTATAATTTTAAAAATAAAAATAGTGGAGTTTTCAGAAACCGTTGAAAATTTTAATTTTTTTATATTTATAAAATTTAGTTTTATTTCCAGCTCAAAGTTAAAGAACATTTTAAAGCAGCCAAGAATATTTATGCTGAATTGGGAGATCGTTGTGGTCAAGGTCTTGCAACACTTTTGCATGGAAAATATGCAAAGGAGCTGAACACGCTTAATAAAGGTATCTTATAACTGAATTATTTTACAGTGGTACAAATTTTGGATGACAGTGGACAGATGCTTAAAAGAAACATTTATGCTTAAATAATACATGTTTATATTTGGCAATATATGGAGATAATAGCAAAGAAAAATTTATCTGTAAGGTCATTTTTTTATTTTCAGCTTACAAACTATTTGTTGACCAAGAATCTCCACACATACCTGGCCAACTTGAAAGCTTTGCTGCAGTTGTTGAACTGTCTAACAGCAAGTCAATGCTATCACTAGAAGAATGCAGTATTTTCATTAAAAATATCATTAACTCAGGACTGAAGGTGAGAACATGGACTCTTTATTTTACTGGGCTTACATCCAATAGTATTTGCCAGTACTTTGTAAAGGTTTTTCAATTCAAAGAAACATTTTTTTTCACCAGATTAATAGCATTTATTAATGTTTATTTAATCTTTCTAAATGTTATTGCTTCAAATTAAGTTATACTTTTTATTTTAAAAAATTAATCAGTATTTATGTTGCCTGCATATTTTTACATATTTTTTTTTTTTAAGTTTATATTAATTTTGACTGGTGGTAAAAACAAAGAATGGCGAGAATATATGGAATTCTATGGCCTAGAGCTTGATGTGACAAGGCAGAAGTTAACATGGTATCCCCACCAACATCCATTATATAAGAAAATACACAAATGTGATGATAACACCAAGTATTACACAGTGGATGTAACTGAAGTAAGTTGGTACATAGAATATGGTTGAATTGGTTTGTGGATTTGAGGTGATTTGGTGTGTGGATTTGAAGTGAGTTGGTGTGTTGATTTTAAATGAGTTGATGCATGGAACAAGGGTGAGGTGGTGACCAAATAGTGAGTGAGTTGGTGTGTGGAACATGGGTGAGTTGGTGTGGATTTGAAGTGAGTTGGTTGTGTGGATTTGAAGTGAGTTGGTTGTGTTGGTTTGAATTGAGTTGGTTTATAGATTTGACATGAGTTAGCGTGTGGATTTGAAGTGAGTTGGTTGTGTGGATTTGAAGTGAATTGGTTGTGTTGGTTTGAAGTGAGTAGGTGTGTGGATTTGACATGTGTTAGTGTGTGGATTTGAAGTGAGTTGATGCAAGGAACACGGTTGAGGTGGTGACTGAAAAATGGTTTAGTTGGTGTGTGGAACATGGGTGAGTTGGTGTGTGGAAAATGGATCAGTTGATGTGTGGAACATAGATTATTGGGTGTGTGACACATGGGTGAGTAGGGTGGTGTTTGGCATATGGTGAGATGCGTTAGTGTATTAAATTGTGGTCAATTATAAGAGGAGCTTCCAAAAAATTTCACTTCCCTCTTACCATTGAATGTATGTTTTTTCAAGTGAATACATATTTCTGGAAAATGTTTTCTCTTTTACATTAAAATGGGTTCATAGAAATGCCGTATGATTCAACACTTAAAGCTTAACATGTTAGTTTCATTTAATGACTGAGAAAGGTGTCATTATGTCAACAGGCTGTCAAAGTGCTGACCAGATATACTGTTGAGAGTATAAAGGAGCTGACAAAAGTTGTTAGAAGAAGTTTACTGCAATTGACTGAGGAGAAAGAACAGAAGATAACCTGTAGAATATTCCATGAAGAACTCAAGTGTGACCAGACATCCTGCAAGAATCAACACAACTGGAATTCCAACAAGGAAGATAAGGCAGCGGTTCTCACTTTGTTGATCTTAAATGTGAGAATTTTTGTAAAATTGATTTAATCTGTAGCACAGCTTACTCAGTATCAATATAAAGACATAGTCATACCATATAAAGGGCCTTTGTGTTACCAGGCTGTCTCGTCAAATAGATTGATTCTGAATATATGATTTCAATTTGACACCATTATACCAATTTTAATAAAAATTTACCCCCCCCCCCCCATGTCACTGGAATTTTTTAAAAGTACAATTAGATTAGGTTACACTGTAATCTGAAAGCCACTTTCTCAATATATAATCGTGCTCTAACATCTTTTACCCAATGACATAAATGTTGACTTGGAGGATGAAAACCTATATTTAAAGAATCCCCAAACACCTGGACACAAATAATTGGAAATTATGATCCTTTTTTCCATCCATAACTGTTTCGCCTGCCTCACCACTTCCTTTCACTCAGACCTAAATAATGCTTTTCTTTTCCATGAGTTGTTTCCCCTCTAGATCTTTATCTACATCGTCCATCCATCCCAGGTCTGCCTTTGAGCTTTATACATCTAGGGTTTTGTTGATACTCTTCACTCCTCTGTCATTGGACATTCTTTCCAAGTGTCCAGCCCAGCGTAGCCTGCTCTTTTTTATTTCTTCTACTAGCCTGAGATCCTGATATAGACTATACAATTCCTAGTCGGTTTGTATTCTCCATCTGTTTCATCCTTTGTTGGTCCATATATTTTCCGGAGAACTTTTCTCCCCCATGTGTTTAATAGGTTTTCTGCCATTTTTGTTAGGGTCCAAGTTTTACTTGCTTATGTTTCAACTGGTCTGATACAGTTTTATAAATAGTTTTCTTTTTTTACTTGTACTGTTTTTACTTTTGAGTATTTTCTGACTACTAAAGTATGCCCTGTTTCCCGCCGATTATCTTTCTTTTATTTCTGTTAGTAATTCATTGCTTTCATTCAATAAAGATCCTTAGCATTTAAATTGATTTACTTTTGCAAAAGTGTGGTTTCTAATTTTAATGGTTTCATCTGCATGTTATTCTCTGGACATAATCATGTATTTTGTTTTTTGGTTACCTTGTAGAGATGCATCTCCTAAGTTATTAAAAGCTTTTGATACGTCTTTACTACTTTTCCCTAACAGTGCTATGTCATCAGCATATGCAAATTACTGAAGGGGTTGGTTGTAGAGAGTGCCTATTGGTTGTGGGTCTTGTGTTTCCCTCAGAGAGTATCCCGTTTTTGAACCTCGGAATTATCATTTTTAATTTTTAAAAAATAATATTTGTATAAATTGATCATATGTATTCAATTAATTATCATTGTGTTGAATACATGCATCCTCTGTCCTTTATAAAAATGTCAGGATTTGTTAATAGTCTATAATAGAGGCAAGATAAACAAGAATTGTTCACTATTACAAGATGCAAAACAAAGAAGCTTTAGTTTTGGAGAGGGTTAATTACATCTTGCTATGTTGACTATTTTTAGTGATATTGGCCTGACTAAATTTATTCAAATGTTTAGTGGACATTAAAAGAGTACTAAACACTGACACTGTAATTCTTGCAAAGAATGATACAAATGGATTTATAATTATGATTTATGCCTAATACCAACTGAAATCTTCTCACACTGATGACCACTTTGGTCTCTTTGAATGGACCAATTAAGATTTTAGTTTTGTTTTGACCAACACTGACTTTTCTTGTATTAAGTTAACAAAGGTTACAATTGCCACCACCATTTTTGAGTGTGTGCAAATGTATTTTTTTCTAAGTGAAAACCTGTACAAAATGATTTACATACAGCCACACATATCGAATTTAAAAAAAAAAAATGTACAGTGTATGGGTAAACTATCTCATGAACTATCTATCTCACCAGGTTGAGTTGGACAACAAATTGTTCCAAGCAGCTGAGAAGCTAGAAAGGTGTGGCATGGCTGACATGAAGACAGTTCTTCTTCAAGAATCTAGTTGGAAATCAGTGGAAAGTTTGCTAGAGTTTCTAGTTCCCTCAAGACCTTACCCTGAAACTGACATTGAACAAGTCTTGGAGCTAGTTGCCAATATGAGGAACTCAAAGGAAACCCTGGCTCAAGTAGAAAGGTTGAAATTTTAAGTTGTTAAATAAGTGTTGCAATAATGAGCAAACTAGTGGATTCCTGAGAAATTTAAATATAATATTTAATCACTACTTATATACTCAGCCTACAAGTAATTTTAAATCTGAAGTTTAAAAAAACACTGAAATAATGGGTTATTAGTTTGAATTGAATTTTGTTTTTGTTGGATAAGTCTTTCGTAAAACTCAATAAAATTATTTATAATTAAAATCAAAAATAATTTCTGTTTTGATGTTGATAAGGAAATTGTTACAAAGACAAAAGATCACTATTTTTACTTTCAAAATATAAATTATTTTCACGTATATAAAAATTATCTGTAATGTATTGAATTTCCCCACATCTTTTCATTGATTTAAAAAAAAAATATTTTAGGTATTGCTGGGGGGATGTCAACACTGAGATAGTGCCCAGAGAATTGGTGAGGTCAACATGCTCGGTAACTAAAGCAGTGTTTTGGTCATCTTTGCTACAACTGAAGGTGGATGTACAGAAAGAAATTAGAAGATTTGAGGTAAGCCTCTCACACTACTCACAGCTCAGGAAATACTTTGTTGTGATTAATTTTAACAGTGTTTAACACAGTGATATCTTTGGGAAAGGAAAGAGTAGACATGTGAGATAAAAACATGACCCAGCAGACAGCTAACAGAGACATGGCATATTCATATAGAGAATTGGGAGAAAGTGGCCTTTCTCTGTTGTTACATCAAACACCTGTCAGCAAATGACAACTTTAAATCATTGCCCCTATTCATCTATGTTAGCCCTTATGGATGATGAACTTAAAATTAACCAGACATTCCTGCTAAAAACATGTCACTAGTAAGAACTGAATAGAAGAAATATATTTACGCATGTCCTGAAATCTAAACCAGTGGTCACTTTGGTATCAAAATTGGTATTGGCAAAGCAATATTTTTAAGACTATGATAAATAACAATTAACTAATGAACAAATATTTGACTGGCATTGTAACATGTCAGTTAAATTTATCTTGATTTGCTTTGATAATTTGTTGCATAAATTCATTGAGTGGACTTTAAATAAGATTATAAAACTTGTACCAAATTCTTTTTATACTGAGACAAATAATTTAATCACTTTTCAGACTCAAATAAGTCAGAAATTAACAAATAAAAGTCCTACAAACTTATCATATCTTGGACTGTATCTGTCTGAGCCTGAAGCAGGAGCTCAACAACAGATACACTTTGCTGGCTCATTGTTTGTGCAATCATTCAAAGAGATCAGCTGCTCAGGGGACATGCACAAGTCAACCAACCTTTTTATAGAGATGATGAACCTTATTGGTCAGTGTGGTCAGGGAACAAGGCTGGCATCTTCAGACTTGGAGTATATCATTTTCTGGATGGAATTTCATTTTTGTGTGTCCATCTTTACCTTGGCCAATGTAAGTTTTTAAGAAGTTACATTTATCTTTTCCATTTGAGAACCATCTGTTTACTACTAATTTATCTATCAATTCTCTAACACAAATCTTATATTATGCAAAGTTCCTCTTTCTTTTTACTGTACAATAAATAACATTATTTTTTTGTTGTTGTTGAGATTGTTACATTACATCCCACCTTGTACTGACAGATATATACCATACATTACTTCCCATATGTGTACTTCTAAGTGACAGTACTGTGACAGAAAATATTAATTTGCCTCTGGTAATTGTTCACTTGAATTGAAGAAACATCAAAACTTTCCATCCCTAAAGATTATAATTATACACAGCTGATTTCATTATCTCATTGGTCAACATTAAAACATCATTTTAAAAAAACAGCACAAAAAAAAAGCACATGGTTTCAATAAATAATACCTTTCTGAGTTTTTCCTATCTGATATTGTTTTTAATTTTGTTATATGTCAGGTACAGAGGAAGCTGGCTTTCTACTTGTCCAATTCTTTGCTGGCTCGGGTCAACTTGGTCAACCCTTGTAAAAAACAAATGGATTCAAATCATTCAGACAAAACAGTGCAGCTGGTTGTTTTAGAGCAACAGCTTTATCCCGTAGATGTCATTATGAAGACACTAAATGATCTGACCAACATTTTACTTGGCACTGAGGAAAGGTAATAAAAAAAATGTTGTCACATTAACAGTTTTGGGTGTCATGATAATTTGGACCTGCACCATGTTGGTTACTTGCCTTTCAGCTTTCGTGTTTTTCTACTCATAAAGCAACTCCTTCCCAAGATTAACTAGCCTGCTGCACTGATATGTCCAGCTGGCCTTGGTGTCTGTCAATAGCTGGCACCTCCTCCCCAAGATTAACTAGCATGCTGGGCTGATATGTCCAGCTGGCCTTGGTGTCTGTCAATAGCTGGCACCTCCTCCCCAAGATTAACTAGCATGCTGGGCTGATATGTCCAGCTGGCCTTGGTGTCTGTCAATAGTTGGCACCTCATCCCCAAGATTAACTAGCATGCTGGGCTGATATGTCCATTTGGCCTTCATGTCTGCCCATAGCTGGCAACTCCTCCCCAAGATTAACTAGCATGCTGGACTGATATGTCCATCTGACCTTGATGTCTGCCCATAGCTGGCACCTCCTTCCAAAGATTAACTAGCCTGAATAATCCATAGTTAATTTTCCCCTAGGAGCCTTCCATAAATGATGTAATAATAATAATAATTATAATAATTAGTGGTCTTTTATAGCGCGGTACCCCAGCCTAGGGGTTAAATAATACTATTTTGGCAGATTTTATGCCACCCCCTCTTGTCACACAGTTTAGACACACTCATACACTGTCACAAATTTGTGACCTCCCCCTCTCGATGGATGATGCCATTTTATGGATGTACTCTTAATCCAAGGGTTAACAAATAACATGAAAATATTTTTTTAACTTTTACATTTTTAATTTCTTCATTTATGAAAGTAAATCCTTATACACCTATCGACATACTATTTCTTATGTTTGTGTTCACAATTTTCAGCAGTTTCAGTTTGATTCGCTATGTCAAAGGCCTGTGTAAAGGAAACAGTGCTGAGAACCTCCTGGCTGAAAGAATCCTTATCTTAACTCTGGTGACTCTACTGAACATCCCAAACGGTTATGTCCATGAGAGATTTGAAGTTTGTATCAGGAAAGAACTATTCAAGGTATGAGTTCATTGTTTCTGTATTTTAAATACTAAATAGTTCTCCTGTTATGCCTTAATTACTTCTTTGCATAAGGTGGCAAGACAAATTTCCTGATACAGAGGTCCTACAACGGGAACATTTTATCAACATTTACACGCTCCTACAAAAGGGACAAGCCAGATGGGCAGGACATGTTGCAAAAATGCCAGACCACTAATGTTTGGTGAACTCTACAGTGGGAAACAATGGGAAACAGCAGGTGGGCAGAAAAAAACGCTTCAAAGACTGTCTAAATGCTTCAGTCAAATCCATGGACATTTTCTCAAATCCAATGACATTTACCTTGATTCATGGGAATCACTTGCTATGGATCGTATAAGCTGGCATGGCAGACTGACTGTTGGAGCACAATCCTCAGAGAATAAACACACTGCCAATGTCCAAAGTAAGCGCATTGGAAGGAAAAGCAGAATTGACTCAAATCCTACAAGGACCCAAAGCAATGTGTCCCACATGCAGAAAAGCATTCTAGACACAAATATAACTGGCAGACCTTGGTCATATTCGCTTGCAAAGGACAAACAACAATTACTTGTAAACTTGATATTTTAGTTTAAGATTCATGTTTAAAAATCATAGTTTTTACCAATATTTCCTATTGTTGATTTCAGATTTATTTTAAATCAGTGCCCCAACGATTCCTACAAAATCTCATTCGTGAGGCCAATAAAAGTAAAAGTTACACTGACGTAGCCAGAAGCCTGCAGCAGTTCTTTAACATTCAGAAACACAATGACCTTAAGTGCTGTATTTGGCACAACGATGGCAACAACCCACTGGGGTTAAAGCAACTTGAACTCTCAATGTTTCCTAACATGTCTTTCTACGATCATGATATAGCACAGATGGTGAAGGAGGAAAAGGTAAGACACCAACAGTTGGTGTTATCGTTTGTTGTTAAATTTACTTCACAACTTGTTCCTTACTCAATATATACATGAATATAAAGTCCAGTGCAGGCTTATCAGAATTTGTGGCTGTAATGGTGATAATTAGCTCGTTAATGTGAATTTTTCTTGGTTTTGAGTGTGGCCATTTTATCACGTGGTGGTCCAGAAACATGAGTTCTCATGTAAATAACTCTTTAAAAAAAAAAAACTATTTAAAAAACGAACACATTAACAATTTCTCAGTGATGATCTGTCAGCATTTTTATCTCCCTTGTATGTGTAACTACCTTCCTTGTATTTGTATGCTAACTACCTAGAAGTTTTGAATTTTCAATTCCTAATAAAATCCAGTTAACTCTTTCGCTGCGGAATTTTTTCATCCAAAAAATGTACATTTTTTTCGAAGAGAGGAAAAAGAGTGAGAGGTTGGGTTTTTAAAAAAAATATTTAAAATATTAATCCTTGGTTTATAAGACTAAACTTAGTATCAAATGAAAGGTAATTGAAAGGACTATTTATTTGTACACTAGTTTCTACAGTTTAAAAAAAATAAGTTACACGAAAGAACCATAAAATGTGAAAACATTTTATGATAAACCATTTTTCCCCAAACCCAACGATGTACGCATACCTCATCTTCAATTCTATAACTCAATTCCTCTAAAACTACTACCATCGGAATCATGCGATGCATCTAAATATAAATCATCTTCGCTGTCAAAAGAACTATTATAAAACAATTTCAAAGCTTTTTTAACTGTTAATCGTCTAGGAAACTTACCTACTAGAGCCTAGGGTAGGCATAGCAACAGTAAAAAAAAAAAAAACGCGAAGAAAATCGTCAAAATAATGCTTCAATTGACAATAAATAAGCCTTGGTTTCGATTGTAAACAATGAAGTACCACTCTTCTATGTAAAAGTCTTATTTAAAAATAGCTCTTAAAAAGTTTAACCGAGAAATAGCAAAGAAAGAAACGTGATATTGAAACAACGCACAGCGCGTTGGTCCGTGCTTTTGAGAACGGTGGAAGAACGCAGTGTGCGTTGTTCCGCATTGAAAGAGTTAAATTTGTGTCTTTATCTGAAGTAAGATAAGTTAATTCTTTTAGCCCCAGGTTAGATTCATTCAGAGATTGTGATGGTCAAAACTACTGGACTTATTACTTGCTTATTGACATATTTCTGTTTAAAACTTGAACTTTGACTTAAGTGTCAGAGGTGAGAGCTGTATTTCTGCTATGGATAAGAGCTGGATTTCTGCCATGGATAACAGTAACTAGCTTGTAATATTCCTTAACATTCTCATAATCTGTTGGATTAGTTTTAATTAGACCTGTTGTCTTATTCAATTCAAAAGCTTTTTGTCTTGTTGTTCTTGATATCCTGCATTAAACTTAGACAAAAGTTCATGAATCTCTGTCTATGACCTGCACCAAGCTAATGACAGTTTCCAATGCTACACTTTCATCCACAACTATTTCATATAAGTTGGAAGCAAACAGCCGTGGGCTGTCATTGGTGGTGTCCTGAAGTCTGATGGTTAGCCGCATAATCAGGGTTTCTTTCAGCTATATCCCTTAAAGGGCACTACCCCCCCCCAGCAAAAATATGTCCAGCAATAAATCAACTGGCACTTCTGGCAC